AATGTTTATATAATCACGTGGTTAAATTATTGCACATTGTGTTGTTTGCACGCTTACGTAACAGGAATTCAATCACGAAAAACGTAATCGTGTTAACAGCTTATTCACTTAAGGGTGCTTTCTTTCAGAAAGTTTCGTCGGATCAAACACAGTATACATTTTTACTATTTCTTTGAACGTGATAGGAATTTTCAATTAACCCACAAGGAATTATTTGAATAATTTTAATTTATACATTTTCTCTTTTACAGATACCGATACTATGAGGCCTCACGAATGGATGCGTAACACATTTGAAAAGAAATTCGAAGGTACGGTTGTTACTCATTTGATGCTTTCAATCTTTGCACCCTTCAAAAAAATATATTTATAAAAAAAATATATTTATAAAAAAATATATTTATAAAAAAATTTTTTTTAAATTTATAAACGATAAATATATTGCGTGGATGAGAGATCATTCAAAGTATTATGTCCGCTAGTAAAAAGTTAGAAACCCTTTTACGCGGTCAAATAGAGAATCAATTCTCTTCAAAGGCGCAGATGCTCGTTACGATGTGACAATAATAAGATCCTAACAAGCGCTCGGCGCACCTGACATAACGCTTATACCTCGTTACTGCACTCGCATATTGTACATCGGATCATTAATATAATTTCAGGAAGCGTAATATTTTTTTACAGTATAATTTTATGAGAGGTAAATTGTATTAGATTTGCAAAAAAAAAATAAATTTATTAATAAATAAATAAATATATTTATACGAGATAAATATGATAAATCGATTTAATCACATTAATATTTACGTGCCTCAACGTTCAATCTTTATTGCAAATTACATGTATCTCAGATGTCTCATTTATTTTTTTATTTATCTTATTTTTTATCTCTACCTATGAAATATCATTAGTTCCATCTTGCACGCTGTTTTATTGCTGAATCTCAATTTACTTCGTAATTCGCTGTCTTGTTCATTTGAGCGTAAAGTTTACTCGTCTTGTTCCTTTCGCGTCTCGATGCACAAACGACAAATCGTCAGAGACGATGGGCGTCCAATTATAAAAATTCGCGCGACCGATGAATCAATTAAGATTTAATAATTCTTTTCGCGATGGTTTTGCTTGCAGGCACTGCTATGGTCCAGCCAAATGAATCGACGTATGGAAGAGCTCGATACGAATCTAAAGGTAAGATCATTATTATTATTATACTGTTGCTTCTCCCCTCGTTAATTATTTTGACGTTTTAATTGTCAAATAAATTAACCATCTTTTCCTTGCTCGCGCGATGACACGTCAGAGAATTGAGAATTATTGAAGGAGAGATAATAAAGAGTGATATGAGCGTTTTCGCTCTAGATATTACATACATATAGATGATAGAATGACACAATGATTGTAGTTATGTCTGAGAAAGTATTGTGTTACGAGAAAAGACGCGGTCAGTGTCAGCTTACCAATCAATGTTAAGAAACGAATTCTAGAATCACTGGTCAGTTCGGAATTCGAGGATATAACCGATGTTCTCGGCGATAATCGAGGTAAGTTGACACTCGAAATACGAGAGGATCACGAAAAGAATATAGAAGCGCAATCTCTCTCAATTATACCCAACGCAATAATGTTAATGACATTACATCAATTGTGTTATTTCGCGATTTCTTAATCGCAGCTTGATTGATAGTATAATAAAACGATTTAGTTTTGACGTGGGTGTTATTATAAACGCTTTAGTTTTATTGAAAAGACAGTGATATTACACTCTTGAATGTTTAATGAATAAGTAAAGAGAAGTATATAATTAAAGTGTTTACTAGAAGTATAATGAATATAATATAAAAAGAGTATAATCATACATACGTTTAATAAATAAGTATGTCATTATACATACATACATACATAAAAACATTAGAAATTATAGTATAAATGATCTTATGTTAAGAAAAAAATTATGAAGTCCATTTAATAAAAAAAAAAAATATATATATATATATATAATATAATATAATTTTTTCCATATAATTGATACATAGAACAAATTCCAATAAAAATAAAATTACTTCTAATCATTTTTATTGACGACTTCATATGTCGATAGTTCGCCGAGCGGCTCTTTTTTTTTTCAAAAATGCGTTATCACACTTTAGATAGCAAAAGAAACGTCGCGCTTTTTATTTTCAAATTTCGTCGGCGGTGCGGCAAGCGCTAACAAAGGTCAAAGATCGTTATTGAAACCCCGATGCTTTTCAGCGAATAATTGGATAAGCGCGCACGCGGACAAATCACTGAAAATTAATCGGCGGGTAGGAAAGGGGGAGGAGAAAAAAGAGGGGTTGATCTCTCCGCGGGCGGGGGTCGCCGAAAAATCACGCTAATGAATGGACGAGACAGAAGAGGGAGGGAGGAGAAAGCAGGTTGCGGTCACTTCAAACGTCAATGCCGATCATAAACCGGGGACAAGCGTATCGACGATAACAATTACCGCTCCGTTACAAACGGGTTGTTCCGGTCAGGGCAGATGCGCGCGGCTGAGGCAGGCTTAGCCCGTTGTAATTAGCGCTAATTAATACAGTGCGATCGCGGCTCGGCTCGAAATCTCGGCGACGCCCATACAAAGGGTCGAGAGTGCGATCGAGGAAAAGATCGCGGCCATCCCTCTACATGTGTCGAATTTTTCATTTTTTTTTGTACGCAGAATTTTTTGGTACAATCATACAACAAAATTTTCTCTTAGAATTTAACGTGAAAATCATGGTAATCGTGAGACAATATGGTATTGGGAGAATTTTATAGAATTTCTCTGATTAATATGTATATATTTATCACAATAAAAAATATTAATATCTACCATAATAAGATATAACATGTTTAATTAATTTTACTATGTACATAGTAAAATTTACTATATTAATATTTTTTATTACATGGGCAAATTTGCTCTCTTTTTGAATAAACACTGATATTCATTTTTGCATATTTAATATAAAAAAAATAAAAAAATAAAAAACAAAAAAAATTAATTATACTCCCCTTCTGAAAGAAATCTTGCGGACACTCATGCATGACTTTCGGGATAAATTCTAAAAGAAAATTCTCTCAGCTTGCACTCTTTATATCTACGCATTTTTCGATGATAGTCATAGATTGCATTTTTTTTAATAGAGAAATGGAAGATATATTGCCTGCATATCGAGAAATATCGATATGTGTTTCTGCTTTTTTTTATTAAAATTTTACGCAATAAGATGTAAAATATCATTAATTAAATGCTCGACGAATGTGCTTATTGCTAATTGTTTATGAACTAACTTGGAAAATGTCGACATTTACATCGACATTTAATTGACAGGCTAATATAGAATGTGTATAATTAAATTAACACGATACTTAAGAAGCGCCGATAATTAATTAGAAAGTCTCACATATGGGAGAAGAGGAATGTGAAAATTGAAGCGATATGAAAAATTTGTAGCAAATGGCATATTCAATCGTTTATTATTGCCGATATTAAGCGAATTGCGCGCAATAATAAACCGGTTGGTCGAAGGTTGGTCGAATGTTTCTGTACAAAGTAAAAGATAAACTTGCGAATGTGCATGTTTTATAAAGAATAATCGCGTGCGGGAAAAGATTACAGTCGTTCACTTCGTACCTTTTCCATAATGCATGATATGAAAACTAAAACGTTAATTCTAATTAAGTTATATGTCAATCAAATTATGCAAGAGATTAAAGATAATCAGCGTTAATTAATCGGCTTTAAATGCACATGCATATTGTTGTACATTATATGATGAAACACGTGTTACGTACTACTTAATACTGTGAAGGTTCGTAATTTTCAAATCCATCTAAAAGCCCGCAGGAAAGAGTTTATTACAGGAATTTATATATTTTTTAAAATTTTCCATTCACGCAAAAAAATTACATATACGTTGATTTTATTTGCATTAATTTTATCAAAACAGTGTGCGTGTTAAATTTTATAATGTTCGAAAAATGCTAACAAGTGATTTGAAAAACATATTATGCGTTTATAAATTACATGTTGTAAGTTACATCACGTAGCGGCTGATTGCTACCGTTATATCCGATTTCCCAACTTATAAACAGGTAGCAAACAAACCACGAGATACACATTTTCCTCGGCTTGTACTGTTAATAACACCTTTCTTTCCTGAGGACTTAAGAACCTTTCAATTATTTTGATAATATAATTTTTAATAGATTCCGACAGTTTAATTATATTTTACACGGACAATTAACGACATATACATATTGTTGCACGATTTTATCTTCTCTTTGATTATGCATATTTTTTTCTGGTGACATGCCAAACTTAATAAATCTAATTTGCTAGTCTTCAGAAATCAAAGGTAAGAGCGAGAACCGATTATATTATCACACATTTCTATCTAATGTTTTTTAATATTCCGATCATCAACAATTGACTATTCTATCTTAAATGACTGATCGGTCCTATTGGACAATTAATACATATTGTTATACGATTTTATCTTCTCCGATTATACATATTTTTGTCTTGTGACATGCCAAACTTAAATCTAATTTGCTTATCTTCAGAAATCAAAAGTATAAGAGAGAGAGAAAGAACCAATTATATTATCGCATATTTCTATCAAATTTTTTAACATTCCGATTATCAACGAATTGATTCTTTCCATCTTAAACGATCGATCGATCGATCGATCTTAGCGAGGAAGAGGCCGACAAAGAAAAATTCTTGCGTTCGAAAAAATTGCCGCGATACGCATCCTCCCTCGTTCGAGGCCTCCTTCCTTCCCGCTTGCGAGGGTGGCTTCGGGGGTGACGAGTCGTCATCGCGGGGGCGATTTCGCGGCGCAGGGCGGTTTCAGTCACTCCCACCTGTGTCGACATCGCGCGACCACGTGGTATCCGCGCCCCGGTGTAGCTCAGTCTGTTGACGACGGCACCTCTCTATCTTCATCACCGTCGTCGTCGAGGCACCTCCACCACCACCACCACCACCATCACCGCCACCACCACCACCACCGCTACCATCATCACCACCATCGTCATCATCACTTCCACCCGCGTTCTCAGTGTCAAACGAACGACGCGTCTGTTGATGACGAGTGCGTTGTCTGTCACGCGAGGAGTCCGCCTGGAGAAAAGACCTTCTTCTGCGAACAGCGAATTTCTATATCGATCGATATCGCGTCCGACAAGATACCGATACCCTGTAATCCCTCGAGGGAAGAAGTCTAGGCGCACCGATATCATTCTTCGTCTTCTCCTTTCACCGGCGGAGATTCGCGACGCAACCCCCGTCATTTTCGACGTCGAGGAGGCCCGACCCTCGAAATACGAGGGCATCGCCCGCCGAGAGGAAAGGCGATAGACCTTCCCTCGACGACGACGTGGATGGACGCTCTTGGTAAGAGGTTTCCCGCTTAATTGAACGCTCGCGACGCACACGGAGTAGGATTTTCTTCGACATTCTCGAGGAGGCCGGAAGGTGCAACGAGAGTGCGGAAGGAGAAACTGAAAAACGATACCCCCCAGTGCGTCCAGACTTCTTCTCTCGAGAGATTATAGGATATTCGGTATCCTGATGGACGCGATATCGATCGATAAAAATTCGCTGATCGCGGAAGGAAAAGATCTCTCCTGTCAAATTCCTCGCGCGAGAGACGACGCATCGCGAGCGTTCTTTCTGTCAAAGGCAATAAGAATGACTTGAGAAAAAATCATCTTGGTCTCTGCGTGTATATCTGAGGACGATTATCTCGTGAAAAAGATAATTCACCGAAAAAATTGATTCGATGTCCGTCGCGCAATTTTTATTAATTACTCGTATAGTTAAATGGTGTCAAGAAGATCCATTCAGTTTTTATTAGTTTAATCATATTTCGCATGTTTTATATAATATTTCTAGACAGCTGGATGCTGATGATTGACGGCAATTATCCATATTTTTACTCATCGTAGATCTATCAAATTAAATCGTCATCATGTATCAGTCAATTATTTCTATAAAAATAATTTATAAACGAATTCGATAGTAATTTTTAATTAAGCAGAATCAGATGAAGTCTTGAAGAGTGCATTCTTATCGAACTGGTTTCCTTGACAATTGGGGAACACTTGTGTCAGTGACGTATTGTGCGCCGTCGTCATCAGATGCAATTTTCGTCGATGTATCATCGAATGCATCATTCCAATAATAATTGCTGGGATATTCTTGTCGTCTCAGGTATTGTTTCCCCCCACTTTTTGTCACAGAAACTGTAGCAAGTTCTTTCTATCTATAAATTACGAAGAATATCTCCCATCTGAACCTTTGTCTTCTCGATCATCACTCGAGAATGAATTCATTTTCCATTCAAATGACAGCTCTTCGAGATACACTTCTGTCGAGAAATTTCCTCCATCGTTTCACAATTTACAACAGGTACTATCGTTCTCCATTAATAAAACGTACCGCGTTATCAAAGATTGCGCAGCTCTTAGTTAAAATCATTGTTGCTATCTCAGTCGTTTACATTCTGAAAAATTTATAATGCGTCATCAGACGAGTCTAGTCAAGGTGTTGTTTACGTTTTGCGCGATAAAGATCTTTATCATATAGTTTTATGTAATAACTTATCAATCGTAAATGTCATTGACATCTCATCTTATAATCGCGAGCAAACCATGCGGGAAACTCTATATCCTGTAACGATACTTTTATATAAAATAAAAAAACATTCCAATAAGAAGATGTCTGCAAATTTTTGTACTTGAAAAACTTGCATTAATCGCATCTTTTAACGCAATAGAAATCGCGCGATATGATATACATCGTGCATATGGCGAGGCTTTTAATGAAGTGGTTTACGACAGGTCGTATTTAAAATATCATACTCGCGCAAACTCTCTCGACATCTCTTTACGATTTTATTATCTCGTTTCCTCGATTTTTCTAGAAATCAAAAGCTATTAAAAGTTACATGTGAAAGGATTTCGTATTTAGCAACACACACCACGCGGACTGGAAGACGCGTCTGAAATATTACGCCAGGGGAAAATATCTCTTTCTTCTAAGCCGTGTCTGTATCGCGGCTTCAACCCCGGAACTGGTTTTCTGAACTGACACAGAAACTTGCATCTTCGTCTGACAAGACGAAGAAATTCCTCGCTCTTTCTTTCTCTCACAAGAGCTGTCGTCTCTTAATATTAGCACGTGTATGGAGCTAAGCAAAATGTCATAAAAGTGCGAAATTGCCTGGCAGCCGAGGTAGCAATTAATGCGAAGGCGGACGATTCGTTATGGGTTTCGCGCGCGAACTGTTGATTAATTGCCGATTTCGTCGTCGATTTCGTTCCTCGCCGATCTAGGGCCGATCTTGCGCAACGCCCCTTGCGAGATCTCCTTTTCCCCGGATAAATGTACGTGCGCGATGAGTGTTGCTAAAATTTTTCGAAATCGGGGAAGTATATTATGCCGAGACGGAGATCGGTAACCTTTCGCATTTCGTTCGCGCGTTTGACTCCTCTCATCTCGACGAGATGATCCCGCCGCGAGGATCTTCCTTTTCTAGGAGAGTGTACGAGTACCTTTCTCTTTCTCTCTCTCTTCTTCTCGAGTACCTATATATACGACTGTTGCATCATTATTAATACTCTATACGTGCCGTTGACGCATTCCAAAGTCGCGCGACTATCTGACAATACGTGTCCAACCGATTGCATTCGCAATCGTGACATTGGCGTGCTGTCATTCAAGGTTGGAGACCATGTATACATATATGTATATATATGCGACCGATTTATTCGTCTACTTTTTCCCTATCGTGTGCGAAAGATTATACTGCTCAACGAGAAATTACTTTTTTCTCGAACACCGGAATGAGACTAGTCATTTCTTACAGTTTTTGGGATGCTGAATACGAATCCGATTTCCAAATTGCTCCATCATCATTTTCAGAAATTTTTACTTAAAGTTGCAAAAAAGGACTTTTTATTAACCTCGTCTTATTTTATATATTAATATGTGACGTGCTGGAGATGTTTTATTGCAATAATGTAACAAAGTTTGTGAAAAAAACCCGTTCTTGCAACTTTAATTAAAAATTTTTCAAAATCGTGGAATAATTTGAAAACCAGATTTGTATTCAGCATCGAAAAGATTATAAGAAGCGACTAGTCTCGGTCCAATTTTTTTGTCGAACAGTGTTATCTCTTTCATGATTTTTTTACTGGAATTAAACCATATTTTTGATTCGTATTATATTATGCGTGACATTATAAAAAAGACCTCACGATAGTAACTTTATCTCTAAATTATTTTGAAGTAATCTTTTAATCCGCGAGATGATTTTCTGAATCTCGCGACGCGTTAAGAAAATCTGTTTAAATCAGGAACTGTTGAGATTCGTGTTTTGCATCACTGCAAAAAATTTTGTTGCATTCACAAAAATTCTGTTCGAAAATGGACAGAATTACTAGTTGGATCTACCAGAATTCCTGATGAATTGAACAACTGATTTGTTGCGCAAACAAGATGCTTGTTGCATTAGAAGGAATTCTGGCCAAATCCAGTAATTCTGTTTCGTCATTTTCGAACAGAATATTTGTTAATGCAACAATTTTTTTTCCAGTGATCAAGTGGGCATAATTATCCCTTTTAACGTCCAGATGATCGCCCACTAATCTCATTTTACATGCAAATTTCTCGCACGCGCGTTACAATTTTACAGAGATTTAATAACACGCTTGAAACGGCGCGCTTTCAATTTCATTATCACAAATGATAATTAACGCTACGTTACCTGTCATTTTACGAAGCACAAGATTTGTACTGTATGAAAAAAAATATTGCGCGTCGGAGATCGTCGCGTGGAGCCTTTAATAAAGTCACCGAAGATCTCAGAATTCAATTTGATCGTGTACGAATATAATTCGTTCGACGAGGAGTTTAAATCTTCGTCGTTGCGCGAAGATAAAGAGAAAAGCTTTTCGCGTCCTTTCATCGAAGATCTTCCTCCAAAGAGGCAAATCGCTCTATCGTTCTCCAGACGAGGGTGGTCTACTGCCGGACAGCGGAAGCGGCGTCGTCGAGAATAACGAAGCGAATGGCGCCTGCGTGAACGATCGCATCCTCCATTATCATCATCAGCATCCTCATCATCATCATCAGCAGCAGCAGCAGCAGCATTCGCCGACGGAGGAGCCGGAGCTGCACGATCTCCTGCAATTCCGCGAGACCGGGACCGGGTCGTCCGGGCCGGAACGGGAGGACATGGTCGCCCAGGAAATGGCACAGGGTTACACGCAGCTCCTACACTCGGTGGCGGTCCAGGAGCCGCAGGAGTTCATCTCCCTGCAGGAGCTGCAGCCGCGCATCCACCATCAGGACACCTGCGCGCAAATCGTCTCGTCCGTCTCCCAACTTTATCATCATCAGCAGCAGCAACAGGCGACCAACAGCCAACAGGATTATTATAATCTCTCGTCCGTGCAGAAGTAAGTTTGTTGGCTGTCTTGGTGTCGTGCTTGTTGGTTACAAAAAAAAAGATGTTGGAGAATCGCTGCGGATTAATGAATGTAATAATAATATATGTATATGTATATCGTACGAGAGAGAGAGATGTTGAGTCGAATATCGTTTATATATGCGTCACGTTTAATCGTAAGAATGAAACAATGCTACAACATTGTCATGCAATGTTACGACATATTTGCCGCGCGCATACCGATGACAACCGATAAGTCTATCTCGACTGGCTCCGTTGAAATTAGTTTCGATATTATGACTGATATTGTCAACACACGCCCAGTTAGTATAAAACTTGAAATTATTCGGATCATTAGTTATTCGGAGTAATATCTACCATAATTTAGACAAAATCGCGCTATTATCCTAATAGATTAAATTTTGCAGAAATGGTGAAATTTATAACAATATTTTTTTAACATACACAAATCTGCGATTCGATATATAAGACAAAAAGTTAAGAGAGTTATAATAGCTCTAAATAGTATACAATGAGTACCTTAATTACGACGTTGTATTTGATTTTTGCTCCAGTTTCGATCATCAGCATCTTAGAGATTTCACATTTTTCGATGTTCTTTCTCACCTTTTTTCTCCGAGCTTTATAGAAACTGCATAATGCAACATGTCTCTTTATCATTGCTTATTGCTTTATATTAGCGAGACTAATGCCATTTTTATGCGCTTTATTGCGTTGTTTGTGTTCTCTTTCACTTGACACCTTTGAAGCAAATTTATTCTATCCGTTCAAGCGGGAAGTAATAATATATATGTATACCTAGTCGTTTCTATTAATTATTTATCTCGATAATTATCTAGCTAATGCAATTGTATCGTTAGATTGTGTTTAGATTTCGCTTAAACATTCTTGCAGTGAAAACTTATTAGAGCGATTATAAAAAGTTAATACGGAACTCGACGATCAGATCAATCATCCAAGCGGAAAGTAATAACGATTAATCGTATAATTTTATCGCGATCGTCATCGGCATCTCGTTAGAGAGCTCTTTATTTAACGAACACTCCCGGCTGAACAAGCCGCGTGTTCATCGTTTTTGCATAATTATTATTTCGCGACAGAAAATTTTCGCAGGCGCGTGTGTAGAATAAAATAAAACAATAGATAAGATAATTGAATCATCGTAGTTGAATATGATAATTTGCGTAGTCGCGATTATCTGTTCAATTACTTCGTCTGTAATGTGGCATTTTACGATACGGTATTTTGGAAAATGTATTGAAATACGAAGAATTAAGTAGGATCACAAGTTCCTCGAATAGAGATTTTATCATCGTCGTCACCTGAAAGACTCCCACTGCATGCGAAATGACGTCGTCGCTGCATCTACGAATAATGGAATTACGCTGCATTACATCATAATACACGGATCTGTTGTTGTTGATGACGAGATATCTGGCAGACCTTGATTTTTCTCCCCGTTTTTGTGGAAAGATACAGAAAGTCATAGAAATACGCAAACATTATCTTAGAAAAACGTAAACATAAAACAAAGTTCATAATAAAGTCTTTGGAAAATTTTTCAATATAAAATAAAAATACATGTATGCTAAATATTTTATGTGCATTTTAATAAAATCATAAATTACATTTTAATGGAAAAACATAAAATAAAATCCATATTAATTTTTAGACAATTTTTTTCAATTAAAGAAAAATAAATATATTTTAATAAAATGATGAAATATAGTTGAAAAGAGAGACGAGCAAAAGAATGAAATTCAAAATTTAAGAAGTATCTGACATTCTAGAAGATATCCCCTTATTTTTTATGAATATTTTTAATCTTTATTTTGTAAAAATAAAGAATAATCTTCGATAATTTCTTAAAAGAACAATTTTTCGAAATTTTCAGACGCCATCGAATTTTTTTACAGCTACACTGAAAAAAATTGACTAAACCGTTCAATTAAATTACTATTTTATTAGTATTCAAATCAAATACACGCGTTAGATTCAATATATTATATATTTAATTTAAATTATTTTTATATGTTCGATTAACAAAATATTATTTAGTTGAAGGATTTAGTCAAGTGAATAACTTTTTTTTTTTAGTGTACGTTCGCGAGTTTAAAGTACCGATGAGGAATCATGTAATCAGCTACACAATTATATACCGGACTTGTCGTACATATATGCATATTTTTATGCATTTGATCGCGATTGATAAAGCGATAACGCGATCAAGATTTAATCGATCAGCGAAAAATATTATACGCGAACAAACAGCGAATAAGACAAATCGAGAGATCGGCTCGATATCGTTTGTAGAAGAGTAGATCGTAAGGTCGATGACGATGGTTCATTACTCCCGGACACGACGTTAGTGCAACTACATATTACACGCATATTATCGCGTATATGATTAACGTATCTGTGTACAAAATGTTGCATACTCCTACACGATTGCAACTTTTCCTTGCGTTCCTTCGTGTTGAAAATATTATATTGCAGATCACGTCGCTGACAACTGAATGAGTTGCTCGTTACACATTATAGGAGCCAATGATTAGAAATTTTAATAACAATTTATACCACACAGAATATAAGCATAGGTGGAATGAAGTTTCCACCTATATAATTAAAATTCCTTCGTCACGATAATCATATATTTCGAACATTTTCAGATATATGTTTCTGCAAACTTCTTTCCTTCACCTGTCAAAATATCGAATAGATTTTCCCACGTGTTTCATTGCGGAAAATCACGAGGTTTTAACGAAATGTCTCGCTTTCAGAAGTTCCTGCTCCACGGTTTATTTCGGCGAGATAGACACGGGTTCCGGGGTGGGAGAGCTAACCACCGCCTCGGCGGGGGCTGGTGGCGAAGGTCTCGCCCCGACTCCAACCCCCGCCAACAGCGGCAGCAGCAACAGCAGTGGCGTCAGTACCACCACCACCCCCAGCCCCAACCTAACCCCCAGCAGCCTCAGCACCGTTACAACTACCACCACCACCTTCACCACCAGCATCGCCACCATCCCGCAGGTTGCAACGGGGGCTGAACCGCCCCGGCACATGGAGACACCCCCGACGATGGTCCCCGACCAGCAGGCACCCGCCTCCGGCCATCACTATCATCAGCACCATCACCACCACCACCACCACCATCACCATCATCGACATCACCGTAGCATGTCTAACCATGAACCGGCGACCGACACTTCGGACGAGTTCGCGCCGATCGCGAAGAAGCGGAAGCTTTCTTGCCAGTAAGTTTCATATATCGAGGCCCTTCAACGTCTCTGAGGGATTAGCGGTTCATTTTGCCGAACTCTATTAAACCAGGCGATGCTAGCTATAATCTTGTTTTAGCTAGCTATGATCTTGTAAAGCTCTATTCAGTTTTAATAATATCTGGAGAAACGATCAGTTTAACATTTATTAAATTTGTAAGATAAAAAGTTAGATAAAATTCTGCTCGTTTTATGATCGCATATTTTGGAATAAGAAATAGTTAGAATGCTAGAAATGAGGATTTTAACGCGGAATCTCGCCGACGTGGAACAACGTATATCTTTGTCCGTGGAGGAAGACGAACGCATCTAAGAATTCGGTGTCGGCGGTAACAATCGCTTCGTTTTCTCGGCATATAAAGCGATTCGCTTTTCGCGTAGAGGAAACGTAGGTGGAAGTCATATCGAAATATTACACATTAGTACGTGCGTCTCGCAAAACGAAGCCCGCCAAACGTCTTCGAGCCAAGTCTGAAATCTCGAAGCAAACAGCACGCAACAACCCCCTCTTTCCTTCCTCTTTCTCTCTGCATTCCATCTTGATAGCCATCGATACCAATTTCGAAACGTTTCGCACGAAACGCCGATAGTTTCGAGTAATTACTCAATCAAGATATCGTGAGTCAAAGGGTTAAACTTCATCGTTGATAGAAGATTTGCCTTTTCTCTCTCTTGAGACTCACGGCGGGTCGAAATTGCCTACGGCAATTATCGTCCATTATCTTGTTTGGCACTGAAAAAAAGAATTTGTCAACTAGACTAAACTTTTCAATTAAATATTATTTTGTTAATAATTTATATTTTAAACATATAAAAATATTTAAATTAGATATAATATATTAAATTTAACAAAATTTATATTTGACTTAAATACTGATATGTTCAAGTAACAAAATAGTAATTTAGTTGAAAGGTTTACAATTAGTTAAGTTAACAATTTTTTTTTCAATATGGGAATGATGAGGCCGCACGCACTTATTGCAAATAGCATCGTTGAAAAATTGCGATTCTTTTGGTATTTGGCATCCCTTATCCGCGCAATAAGTTTGTATCCTTTCCCCCATCTGAAATCTCATGTTAATATAATGACACTAGACAAGATTGAAATGCATAAGCATATGTGTGCGTTTTTTTATTCCCGTAAATATCGCCGTGCGTGTTTTCCTTTCGCGACGAAGAAAAAATTGTGTCGACGAATTGTTTCGTCTCGTGAGGAACGGGAAACCTGCGTGTGACTTTTCGAGCTTCGAGGTACAAAGGAAAGGGGAGAGGAAGCTCTACATGGGGCGCGAAACTTGGCAAAATTTCCCCGTCAAAGGGGTAACGCACCCTCGGCGAAGGTCGTATAAATTGTCGAAGAAATTGTTTCTCTGTGATGTGATTTCGACCGAATTTCGGTCGTTCCGGTGGGACTTCGTTAATTACGTGCTTTACGTTAGATTACTTACGCGTGTGTGAACTTACATATCTTGCGAAAGAGGACAAAGTTACAGAATCTCATCGCAAGTGTCATATCTAATGTCATTCGAGATTTATTTTGCTACTTTAATTATTCAAATTTCCTCGTGTTTTTTTAATTATGCTCGTCGATAAAGCATTTATCTCCGTTTGTTTCAGTACTGCAAGCGATCTCTTGGACGATCAGGGAGACGACGCCAAGTCTGTTCGCACAAACGACGACAGTAAAAAGTAAGTGAGATGCCGAAAGAGAAATGTATAAAATATGAAATAATATTTATTAGGCGGTCGGAATAATTTCCGAGCGCGAAACGCCTTTCGCGATTCAATCGATCGCTTTCAAACGCAATCGGTCAGCGCGATTACATAGTATTATGTCAGATATTGCCAAGGTGAGTGCCACCTTGACCTACCTTGATTCTTTGCTTTGGCTTCATCGCGGTGACGTCACTAATCCACTATATTATATTTGTTTTGTTGTGTGCGCGATGCGCTATCGCTTCGAACATGTTCGATTTTGAAGTGTTCCATTGATTATTTGTTTGCGTCATATCGCTTTAATGCGATATGCTTGTTTATGGCGCATTAACAGCTCAAGAATCTGTTGGAAACTAAAGCTAATTATCTGGAGACGTCACACGAATATTTGAAGAAAAATGTTTAAAAGATCTGAAAGATGTCCTGATCCTTTGGACATTTTTCAGATATCCTTAAGATTTCTTCAGGATTTCTAATTTGTCATATATAATATATATTGCATATGTCATTATTATATAAATATATATTATATTTTCTCTCTCTCTCTTCCTCAATATGTTATATATATATGATAATGTAAATTTTGATAATGAATGAGTGACTGATAACGATTGATACCATATAGACTCATTGAAGCCGGATAAAAATTTAACGGATATTACGATATGTATTACGATATGCTAGGATCAGAAAATAATTATGCTATAACAGAAAGTCGGACATAGCTGAACGAAACCAGTTTTCGTCATCGCAACAATTTCCGCCAATTTGTCCTCGCGTGTCCTATGAAGGCGAATTCTCGGGAGACAAATTAGCAAAGCGTACTCTATAAAAATAGCGTTATTTTACTTGAATTGGTTTCCTCGTGCACAACTGATCTCATTATCGAATCGTCATTGTCGTTCATTGCGATTGCATGAATCTGCTTTTATCGAGCTGACTTTTACGAGAAAGTCAGCGTCGACGTAACTTTATGAATTTAAAACGCACGTGATTCACTCAGGTCCACGTGGATCAGACCTTCGCAGAAAATTCGCTGAAGCCGACGAGATACGTTTTATTATACTGTACGTCGTTCGGCACATTCCGATCTTGTTTCCGTTTCTTGTTTGCATAAAATGGCAATAGGATTCCGTGCGAACGGTGACGAAAGTGTACGTGTTATATGCATTTAATCCGTGGAACTTAACTTGAAGAAGGAAGCAGAAATATGAGAGAGAGAATAACACAGAGGGGGCCTGGATCGAAATATTAGAATCGCTTGTGATCGTGACCCTTCTTAGAAAGAATTATAAGAGCATTTGAACTCACATATATATTATACATATATTATATAATGGCTTATGTAATTAATATTTATATCTTGCGATACGAATACATAAAATTTCTTATACGAGCCTGTTTTTATGCAACTATGAAAGTTGTTACGTTACTGTAACGACGATGACTAAGCGATGAATTATATTAAACTTTGTTTGAAAAACGTTCTAGTTTTGCGTGCCATTAATAAACTTATAAATAGCAGCAGGTGAGAAATAGACTCATAATGTATCACCTATATATTTTCTACAATTTCGTACTATAACTTCTGTAATTTTATAACACCAACTTCTATGAAAACAAATCTCTCTTATATTTTTATAATATTTATTTTTAATGATATAAGACCTCAAAATAAAAACAAATATATTATAATATAAGATAAGAGAAATATATATAATATTTAATTATAAATTATATATCATTATATATAATATAAGAAATTATATATAAGAGTTTCACACTTTTTCTGAGGGCTTAAGGCAAAGACATATAATAAATTTCACTTTCCAAACTTCATCTCTATTAAGACATGGAACTAAAGCTCGATCTGTGCCTTCAGGCAGAACCACAGTGAAATTGAAAAGCGAAGAAGAGACAAGATGAACACGTACATTACCGAGCTCTCGGCGATGGTGCCAATGTGTCATGCGATGTCGCGAAAGTTGGATAAGTTGACCGTGCTGAGAATGGCGGTGCAGCATCTCAAGACCATCCTCGGTGCGGTTACCTCATACACGGAAGGTCACTATAAACCTGCGTTTCTCAGCGAACAGGAACTCAAGACGCTCATACTTCAAGTGAGTTTTTAAACAATTTTTTCAATATTTATTTACGTAAGAACGGCGCTGCAAATTTCATTTTTGCGATTGTCAATCGAAGCATAATCCAACGAAGTATTACATTGGTGTAACAATCTCTTATCTTGTAACTATTCTATCTTTGATCGTCGGTTTTTTGTTTATAAATCACGCTCGGATAAATGAATAAAATATATGTATGTACGCTTATTTTGTTTTTTGCTTAATTTTAAGAGCACTTCTAAATTAATCGACGAGTTATGTACAATAAGTCGACATAATTCAATGAACTGTACGGTATACAGTTCCTAGTATCATTAACGAGAAATTCATTTATGACGTGCATTTTTGCACGGCTCCATAAGAGACCGGTGGTGTCTTTTGTAATCCTTTTGCACGAGAGATCGAACGGAGATAAAATCGGTGGCGGTTAACTCCCTTTCTCCCGCGTGCTATACAGATTTTTATTGGACTTGGTCTCGTGCCGGCGAAAGGAAAGGCTCGAAGCAGTGAGATTTATAGTATCACGATAATAGTATCTTATGGTCTCTCTCCCTTCGAGGGGTTCTCGAATCACCTATGCCTTTAATTCCGAACCAATTAGCGTGAAAGAGAACGCAAAGAACGCGCGTCAACAAGCAGAAAATTGCAAATGAGCCTGCTACACTTGTGCCTTTCTTGAAATTTTAATTAATCAATACGTTTATCGAATCTCACCATCTTACTCTCTCTTTAATCTAACAATAAAAGAGACCTTTGGAGAGAAAAGAAGATAATATTTGCTTTATATAGGTATATATAAAATATAATATATAAATATATAATATATATATATATATATATATATATAATATATAATATAATTATATATAATATATATAATAAAGAAAAAAAACACGAATTGAAATTCATTCCGTATATTGCAGCTTCTACGAGATTGATTTTGATTTTGTAGGCGTAGAAAAATGGCATGTCATTATAGAAAACGATATACGAAACTCTACTACGTCTATAATCGAAGTTGTCACCTTCTTATAAAAATTACGCTGATATTAATCTCTTTTCTCTCTCTCTGTCTCTCTTTCTTCCTCTCTCCCTTGGAAGATAACGAGATGCAAAAAGAATATGCTACGACAACTGAGAGATAACTCCTATCCACCCTAGATTCAGCGTATATAGAGTTCGCGCTGTCGGATCCAGACATTTCTCATTGTCATGCATATACATACACGTTGCACACGTTTATCTTTTATCGAGATTTTTCTCGCTCGTTCGCCGTAGGAAAATATCCGAGAGAAGTGAATGACCACGCCCGAGACATACCAAGTTGGATCGGCATAAAACGTGCTTTAAACGTGCATAACCGCGGCATAAATCCCTTCATTGTGAATTGATACATTTCTCGTATCCGGCTTAGGCTGGAATAAATTGCGTCCAGTTATCCATTCGAGGCAAAACTCTGCTAATTATTGTGATCATTAAATCTAATCAGGGCTCATCGATTTTCGATGATCGGTATTTGGTCCTGATGAGACCGAGAGAAACTCTGGATGGTATAGTGTTCGAATAAAGAGAAGCGAGACTTCGAGCGTATTTTCCATCACAACAGGGGGGCGAACGCGAACTCCATTTGTGGAAGTGCATTGACATTAATGAATGTTACATGCGATCGACGATAATATCGAAAATACCGCGCGCGATTACGCAATACGCTCTTAAGAGTCTAGCTGGTGCAACGATAAACGATACGATATTGAGGCGGTATTTTGTGTGCAAGCACCTGAGGACGTGAAATATTATGAAAGAATTTTTCAGATGGTTAAAATATAAAAACGTGAAAAAGTTGATTCGGCTTATGTCGACTCATTACTTTATATTTGTCGCGTTTTACGCAAAAACAGTACTATTAATTAATATTCAAATACATATAGAATAATTAGTATTAAATACCGCACAAAATAGTCGTAAATGACGCTATTTGGTCTTTAACGTCTTCATTAATTTTTTTTCATAATTATCATTAATGAACTAAAACGTCTTAAAAGTTCGTATCTTCAAAAATCCATCACAAACTTGCGAAAAGCTTGTGCAATCTGTATTTTTAAAAAATAATAAGTTCAAAACAGAGTATATAAGCTTTTCAATTACAAATAGTTTAATCCCAACGGCAAAATGAAAAACAGCTTGTCTTATTTCAGGCCGCGGAAGGCTTTGTATTCGTAGTCGGTTGCGATCGTGGAAGAATTCTCTATGTTTCTGAATCCGTCTCGCAGGCTCTCAATTATTCTCAGGTAAGAGTTTTTTCGCTGTATTTAAATCTTCTAAATTTTTTTTCTCTTCTTCGAATTGCGATTCTGTCACCAGTGCAACTCTGATTTTGTACAAAATCGAGTTTACAATTATATAAATCGAGTTTGTGAGAACACGTATACAAATTAATGGCTAATTTTGATCATATCACACATTGCTTAATTATTAATTAATTAATTAATTTTTTGAAATTTTAATATAAAAACTGTATATCAAATATATCGATATCATTGCAGGGTGATCTGTTGGGTCAAAGCTGGTTCGACATCCTGCATCCGAAGGATGTTGCCAAGGTAAAGGAGCAACTCTCATCTTCCGATCTCAGTCCAAGGGAGCGATTGATCGATGCGAAAAGTAAGCAACCACTATAACAATAAAAGCTGCTGCTGCTGCAACTCTTTCTCTCTTTCTCTCTCTGAATCTCCATTCGGCAAATCAACTAGCTAAGTGCTAACACTAACTTCTTCGGTTGCGGAAACTTTTCACCTCCGAAGCCATTAATTATAGCATCTCTTTCGAGACTTCGTTGCTTCACACTTGGCCCGTCAATCATTTGCGAGCGCAAATTATTATTATCGCATCTCTTCCACCTTCGCCTGATAAATGTCAGTCGTCCGGCAGCATTTGCTCGCGTATAAGCTCTGTCAATAAATATCTTTGAATTAGCGTGCCTACCTAGATAAGAGCATTGCGAAAGTTGCTACGCCAAACGAGGCCAAAGGAGACGAAGAGTCGCCGAACCGGGTCTAATATGTCAGGATTCCAAGAAGTTACACTCGCACGATCTGCATACGATCAGAAAGTTCTAAGTCTTCCGAGTATCCAAAGTAATTGCAAACGTGAAAACCTTACAAGAGAGATATGATAAAAATATAACAGAGAGGGGGAAAAAGAAATTTGCGGTTGGGAGAAACAAAGCGATAAATAAAGGCAAATCGATCGCAGAACGAACTGTTGTTCTGTCATCCCTGATTGTTTTCAGCGATGTTACCGGTGAAAACTGACGTGCCCCAGGGTGTATCACGACTCTGCCCCGGAGCGCGAAGATCTTTCTTCTGTCGGATGAAGCGTAAAGTCGACGGGGTCCGTTGCGACGAGATGCAGGTGAAAGAGGAAGCCGACACCACCACTGGTTGTCACAGGCGGAAGAAACAGCAAAGCGTAGGTGAGTACGACTAATTCTTTCGAATTCTTATTATCTTCTCTATTACTGACTTTATTCGATTTTATTCAATTTTTGTAAATTTATTTAAATTTTATATTTGATATAAATTTATTACATTTACATTTATAAAGAATTATTCTAAATAAGAATTTTGAGATTTTTATAATTACATTTATAAAATTTTAATTAAAAAATTTTTAATATAATTAAAATATCAATTTTTATTATATTTCATATTCGATAAATAATCACAAATTTATATTGAAAATATTTATACATGTACATGAGTGTATATTGGTCCAGAAAAAAAGCAAAATTAGGAAGCTGACTTGATTATCGCGAATTGAGAAATTTTTTACTTTATACAGACAATTACGCAAATATATACGCGTCTATTTATCATTATATATTCTCGCAAGGTGATGCAATGGTTTTTTTAAAGAAAAAAGAATTCAAATTCCCATGTCCCTTCTCCAAAGACATTCAATTTTTTTTTCTCAAAAAACGAGATCTTGAGCCGATCTTTGGTGCGGAAAAATATGTATGGGACGATTCAAAGAGTTTGAAACGGAGATGCAAATGTGTCTTTCGGACACTGAAATTCGTATGCACGATCGGAGACATGGTATGAATGATGCTTGCCGCCTGGCTCGTCAAAGGTGAAAAGTAGAGACCTTACAGGTATATAGTCACCGGTGAAAGGGTCGTCGAGATATTCTCGAATAGCTCGTCGAGAATCATAAAATCTCTTTTTTACTTACTTTCTATGATTTCTTATCTTCTATACATAAATACTAAAGATGTAGCTAAATATGTATAGTGTATAAAATAAATTTTATATAATTATATATTAAATAATTATTATATTTATTATGTGTACACATAATAAATATATACATATATTTATATATATTTATTTTATATTTCTATATATAATACTGTAATTGACACATACATGTTTCAGATTGGAAATACTGCGTGATTCAATGTACGGGTTATCTGAAGTCTGGGCGCCCGCAAAAATCGGCTTCGAAGAGCAGGAGGGTGAAGCTGACGGTGAAGCTTGCAATTTGTCCTGCCTAGTCGCGGTTGGTCGGATCCAAACGGCGATACCAACGGCTACGTTATCGTCGAGAAAGCCTCATTTGAGACCTATACAGTTCGTCTCTCGACACGCGATGGATGGCAAATTTCTGTTCGTGGACCAAAGGTAGATAAATTGTTTAAAGACACATTATCTCGGACAATCTCCGAAGTGTTATCGCACGTTTCATGTACGTATGTCTATTTGAAAGAGCAATCTTTTTTTTTCTTTAGAGCTACTCCAGTATTGGGCTTTCTACCTCAAGAACTGCTGGGCACCAGTATGTACGAATACTATCACCACGATGATATTCCTCATCTAGCAGAGTCTCACAAAGCAGCGTTGCAGACCTTTGAACGCGTTACCACGCAGGTAATTAATATCAATTAATATTAATTAGTTGCATCAATTTTTGCAATGATATTCAGCTGTATTAAAATTATAATTATATCCGTTGCTGAATATTCACGTTTCCGCGATTTGATTCGAGAAGTGTACATTTTCATATAGATATCTCACGTATAATAACATTTGTATTTGTTCTTTTTGTAGATTTACAGGTTCAGGAGTAAAGACGCGAACTTCATTAGGTTGCAATCCGAGTGGAAGTCCTTCAGAAATCCATGGACCAAAGACATCGAGTATCTAATCGCCAAGAATTCTGCTATCTTGTGAGTAACGATTATGGCATCCCTCGCACATTCCGCACGACGATATCATGTAGAGAGCTCTTTATTACTTTTTTAGTTGCGACACGCGTTCGAGTGGAAATAACGGATCCGAAGATTCGAGCGTACAGGGCAACTACGATTACTTCACGCAGAGTAAGTAATTGATTTGAAATTATATACTTTCGCAAGATGGTAAACATATTGCCTGAGATCTCATTTTTTTAACTTGCAGGTAACGGTGAATTAGAGAGACTGATCTCGAGCCACGTGGAGGTAAGTAAGATCGGTCGGCAGATAGCGGAAGAAGTAATGGACCTACAAAGACGCGGGGAAGACTCTTCCTCGGGTAGTAGTCCTGGTCCAGCTGCAACAGAGCCCACTTTATTAAACACCGAGGTAAATATGTCTTGGGTCTTCAATCTAGATTGAAGCTTTTTATTATCTGCTTTCGATTCAAGTCGCAAATCACGACGACATCGCCGGAAATGGAAAGGATACCCGACATATCCCAGTCAGGTGGCATCGGCAATGACAATAATAGCAGCAATCCCACGTCAACGTTCAACCACGTGACGAACAATGTGCAGCTCAACAGCATCGCGAACGACCAAGGTCATAGCTATTACTGTCTCTAAGGAGTCGGGGTTCTTGGTGTGTAGCGCGATTGTCAAAATTATTCAGAGAAGACAAGGGATTATAGAGAGAGCAAAATTCGCGACTATGTATTTACATATATATGAGAAAAAGGAACATTTTTAGTTGTTTTGCTTATCGCACGGCAATTAGCATCAATTCTCTTGTCGGTGCAGCACAACCGTGTGTGTCGATATTAGCGATATCACGCACAACGTAACATCCACTTCCTTTTAGGAGTGTCACCAGATGAGGACATGATGGACATAATTGGTACCACGATTAACGAATCGCCAAATCCGATCCCGTCCGATGGCAACGACGAGGCAGCGATGGCTGTCATCATGAACCTGCTGGAGGCGGACGCAGGTCTAGGTGGTCCCGTGGACTTTTCTGGATTACCCTGGCCGTTGCCATAGTGTTGTACACATGTTTTAGAATATATGGACAACGAGATAACGTGTCTTAGTCGAACAAAATACTCGAAACGAGACTTGGTGCTGAAATATGGTGCTTGTAAGTAATGACTATATTCAATTAAACAAACTGTGTAGATCTTCTAAACGGAATTACCGTAATCGACTCAACTAACGTTCTTTCAACGAGGAAAAAATAATCATTGATTCGTACAACTATATGTACATACATATGCATATAGTTATTCGTGATCGTTAATTTGTTTGAAAAGGGGCAAATAATTCGCAACGAGCGAATACTGACAATAAAACAAAGTCCCATATAGAAAAGTACAGTGATGACAATGGTGCGGACAATATTATGCAAATAATAATTACGTTTTAGTGACAAATTGACGTTATACTCGTACGTGTAAATACGTAGGCACATATGTATGTGTACGCGTGTGATATGACGTTTTAAGTGTACCTAATTAAATCGTAAGAATATGTTCGAAAGACAGAAGACTCTTAGGGGTTGAATAAATTTTTATCTGATCAAATACAATGTTCACAGGCTGTTTTTGAAGTTTGTTTTCATTTTCGAAAAATATCAACTGCCAGTGAATAAGAGATAAAAAATAAATATTTATACTTTGATGCATTTGCACATATAAATAATAAAATGAAAAATTGAGACGTTTTTTTAAACGATGTCAAAAATATCAATATGTGAACAAAAACTATCGTTAAATACATCGTAATTAAGTTTAATTGCTTTGCAATTGAAAAAGAAATAGAAACAGTAAGTGATTAACTTTTCCAAGTTTGTGATTTTAAACCATAATAATTTTCGAGTAATATTGTTAGCTATCAATGAAGCGCGAAAGGATGACAAATAATCATGAAGTACAAACGATCTCGAAAATAAATCTTTTAAACTCAGTGAATTTACAGGCTAAGAGATTTTTTTATTCTTTGTACAAGTGACTTTCCGGATTATCGAGCTACAAATGCAATCTGTCGTAAAGTTTAATTTATAACACTTTTCTTCGAAGGAGCAACTGAATAATTACATCTATGTCGCAATTTTATTTTATTTTGACGTATAATTTTCGAATCAACAAAAATATTATAATAATATATTTACAAGAAAAAAACGAATGGAATGTGCTAAGATAATATAAGAATTCTAATGTAAATAACATGACATTCTGCTGTAATTTATTGTCCAACATTAAAAAAGAGATACGTATTTATATCTTAATACGTTGACTATTTGGTAAATCTTGTACATGAAGTCTTTCTCAAACTAATCCAAATTTCGAAAATTTCTGTATACAACAGTTTCAATTATTTGAGACATTTGCTCTCTGTTATATATACATATCTATATCCTATTATTTAATTTCTATACTATTCTATCTAAACTTTTATCAGTAAATAAATTTGATTTTTCAGTGGGTGAATGATTACGAAAATAACTTTCTTATGTACAGGATAATGAAGAAAAATTATTTGTGATTATTTACAGTAATATACATAATAAGAAAAATTGAATAAATCTACTTGTGTATTTTGATACGCGGATTTATCAGTATAATTCTCATCAAATATTAATGGCGTTAATATTTTGTACGCCAAATATAAAATTGTGATTAAATGTTTAATAGAAAGTACATTCCGTAATTGCAAGTGTCAAGATATTCATAATTGTTTATAAATATTTGTATTTTTTGGAATCGCTGATTAGAGAAAAGTAAGACTGAAATGAACCGTAGAGGCATACAATTTGGTCTCCAGTTGATTAATAATAATTGTATAATTTCAGAGCTTTAAATATTCAAATTTTCAATTTGCAGAATATATGACAATTACTTTACATACATTAAAATAATTTATATTTACCAATAAAAATGTTTTTATGTTCATATATATATATATATATATATATATATATATATATATATTTAACTTTATACATAATTTATTATTTCGCCGTTTTAACATTAAATTTATCATTGATTAATAAAAAAAATGCAAAGTTGTCACACAAATTTAAAAAAGTTATTTGTCATATATTTTTACTTTCCTCGCAGTGAATATAGTTGAGAAATCAATTCTACATGTTGTCAATAGAGCCAGAGAGACTGTGTATGCATACGAGTATTGGCACTTTTTAGTATCAGAAGTTATAATATATACTCAACTTATTGTCAGACTTTTTCAACTTTTATTTTAATAGGAGATTTTAATTCTAGATCCGAATCAAATTTCTCAGTTTTTATTACAATACGAGTTTTTGATTCTGAATCCGAAGATATGGATATTTTTCTTTTCTTCCTGCAATCTCCTAAGTAATCAGATGCAATTTCATTCTCTGTATCAGTCTCAAGAGACTTTTTGCGTTTCTTTTTGCGTTTATTCCTCTCTTTGTCAGAAGTAGCATCTTCTAATATTTTACTTTCAATCTTAATAACTTTATCCAGATTATGATTTTCGATAGCAGTATTTGTATCATGAATATTATTTTCAGTTTTAATATTTCTGTGAATATTTTGTTTATTTGTATTATTGATCAATTTGATATCATTCTTATCCTCAGAGGTAGATTCTATATCCATTTCATGTGATTTTTTATATTTTTTTCGATATTTCTTTTTTTCTTGATCAGAAATAGCATCATCTTTTAATATTCCATTGCTTGAACCATCAATTGTAATAGTGCTATTATTCAAATTGTAGCTTTCAGTAGCACTGTTTGTATTGTTAACATTTCCTTCACATTTAACATTTATGTAATTATCACTCTCTGTATTGTGCAATTTGATTTTATTTTTATTATCAAAGTTAGATTCTAAATCATTTTCATGAGATTTCTTATGCTTCTTTCGATGTTTTCTTTTCTCTTTTTCAGAATTATTTTCTAATTCTTGATAAATTGAACTATCAATCTTGATAGTATTATTTACATTTTTACTTTCCACAATACTATCTGTATTATCAAAAGTATTATCATTTCTTTCACATTTGATATTCCTGTAAATATCACTTTCTGTATTATTGCTTGATTCAGCTTTTATCTGATCCTTACAGAAAGATTCCGAAGCAATCTCACGGGATTTCTTATGTTTCTTTCGGTGTTTCTTCTTCTCTTTATCAGAGACAGTATCATCTTCTTCATTGATTGAATTGTCAATCTTAATAATGCTTTTCACATCATTTCTTTCAGTAGTATTATCCGTATTGTTATCTTCATATTTAATATTTTTGAAAGTATCAATCTCATGAGACTTTTTATGTTTCTTCCGATGTTTCTTCCTTTCTTGATCAGAAATGGCATTGTCTTCTGATACTTCATCATTTGTCTTCTCAATCTTGATAGTAACATTCAAGTCATGGTCTTCGGTAACATTTTCCATATGAATATTATTTATACTCTCTGACAATCTGCAGCCTTGCATATAATCGGAATTTAAGGTGGCACCAATAAAAGGAGGCTTACTCTTGTTGTTTATGTGATTTACACAGCATCTTATTTCTTGACCAATCTCTACCGAATCTCCTAACCATTCCTCCACATCGTCCGGTTTTGGAATAGATACAGTATATATTTTATGCACTAACACTACAATATGGTCTAAACCTTTCTTGTTCACTATACCTATAAATCAAATATAATTTTAAATCTTTTTATAATTGACTTTCAAGTATGTCAATTAACAGAAATGTAATTTACCTTTCAGATAAGATCCAACCATTGGACGAAATAAATAAAAGTCTGCTTCTATATCAACATGAATAAAGGGAGAGTCGTAGAGTAGCTCCCCAACATTACTAAGCAATTTAGGATTCTTAAAAGTTAGCACAAATCCATTCAACCTGAAATATACAAAATTGTTTAATTAAACTTAATGAAAATTTAATTTTTCAATATTTGTTATTTATCAGACAAATATTGTAGAATATACTCTTAGAAAGACAATATTTTATTCACATAATTTTACAATAAATCTAAGCATGCAATTATTTGTGACGTTACTTAAACATACAATAAATCAATAGAATAATAAAATTGCAACAAGAATAATCACATTAATAACTACTTTAATCTTGAACATTTTTCTATTTTCCATTTTTTTAAATAACTCAGATTTAATTAATGTTTGTAAATGAAAGATAAGGCATTTTTCACATATGAAAGATAGTAAATATGTTGCTTTCTTGTATTAAATATATAGAATATATGTAAAATATGAACATGTGTTTAAATTACATACTCTTTGTCGTAACTGTTTAATGATGATTTTAATATTTGATTCAAGCCTCGCTGAATGTTAGTCAAGTGATACGGATGTAACGCGAGATGCTTGGTGGTTCTCTCAAAGCGCACGTGAGCATCCTCTTCTTCCAAAAGTCCGGTGAGCTCCAGGAAACTCCACGTTATCTTTTGATTTGCCTGAGAATCCATTTTTCCTCGAAATTGCACGAAACAACGTAGAAATACGATTAGGTTAGAATTGCATGGTTAGGATCTCCTAACACTTTTTAGTCCGGATAATCTTGTATGAACACCATTGCATCTACCTACACGCACGATCCATTTCGCAAACTAAAATGACAAATCTTTCTTTCGACTATCGATAAAATCACAGCTCAATAGTGCATAATTTTTCCTTTAATTTATAAATATGTATGTCATTAAATATTTTTATACACACGTGTAGACGATACGCTGTGATACACATATATTCTTGACATGAAAAGGATTTTTCGAAAAAAATCTTCAGAGAAAGAAGAAGAAAGAGAGAGAGATGCGTCATCTCTCTCGCTTCGTCATGTGCGTAGTGGGAGACGGTGGTGGGGGGATTGGCGCGCGCACTGTTCCCCCACTTCGCGCCTGTCACGTGACGCGCCCCACTCGGCGCCTGTCACGTGATGCGTGATGCGCCGCATTTCAGCGCCGCCTAGAGGTCAAAGTCGATTCAAAGTCGCACGTATCAAGACGCATTCTTTCTCTCTCGCCACAATAATTAGGTATTGTACGAAAAATTCTTTAATTAAAGCAAAATGTTGTGCGGTGATATTAAACGCGTTGAAACATGCGAGACGTAATTATAAATGGAATACTTTGATCAGAGCAATATTACGAAATCAAGATACATGGCAGTGTTTCGTCTTAAATCCTGCTTGCAGCGACAACGAGACTCCTGTATTGCATTTTAACTGTATGTGTATGACGATCCTATTGCTATATATTGCATTTCTTTTCGAAGACTACATCATCTGTTTATATATGTATATATGTGCGTAGAATGCATCTTCGCGAAATAAATCCTCAATAGCGATATGTGACAAACTTTGCACACACGCATCTCTCTTTCCGCGAGTTTCTGTTTCCAATTTGCTTTTATCGAAATTTAGATGCGCGCGTGATTTAAATGCGCGCATTGAAATAATATAATTATAATATAACATGTATTATGCGTGTATTTCGGAATTCACATACAATATAAGTATCCTCTTATATCATATATACATATACATATATTGATAAAAAATAAAATAATATATATATAATATATATAAATTATAATAATAATATATATAATAATATATAATAATATATATAAATTATCTGATATATATATACATATTCCTCTTTTGTGAAGTATAATTTATTTATTTCTATGTCTATGAAAATCACTATATGCATAGTAAAATATCACTAGTTCCCTTCCCGTACTTGACAGCTTGGTATTTTTCACATTCAATCGTTGGTCACTCTGAGAATTACTTTTCACAACAAACAGTGACAGGAATAATAACAGTTGCATATTGTGTATATAAAAGATTATTCGAATTTTTAATTTTATGTCGATTATTATACATTATGTTATGCAAGTGTATGACATAAATAAGTAAGTCATTAAGTAATAAATAAATCGATATGAATTCGAAGAAGATCATAACCTTCGGCAAGATAAGCACCAGTTTGGAGAAGAAACCGGCGGCCGAGGATACCGTCGAGGCCTCCAGCTCCGGATTCGGCACGTTCGGCAAGAAACGCGAGGAGAACAATGTGAAGAAGATGGAGGAGATCAGGCCGGAGGACGAGGAGGAGACCCAGAATATGCAGGCAACGATGGGGATCACGGGCTTCGGTAAGAAAGCCAAGTGGTTCGATGTGCAGGAGATGCTGGAGAACATCAGCAAGACCGTCAGTAGGAATAAACCAGCTGCCCCTGTGACGGACAAGTCTTCTGACGAAGAAAGCACCGAGACAAAGAAGAGTGAGAATCAAGAGAGCGATGATGAGGATGATGATGATTTCATCGGCCCTTTACCGCCTTCGTTGTCCGCTAATTCGAATGTGGAAAAAAAGAAGAATGTAGAAAAGAAAAAGGACGACGACGACGAAGACGAAGACGAGGATGACGACGACGACGATGATGAAGACGAGGACGAGGAAGAAGTAACACTGGCGGAGAAGATCCCCTGTACTCATGAGGTCTCGATGACTCATGGCACCAAAGCAGTTATCGCCATTGCTGCAGACCCATCTGGAGCTCGATTAGCATCCGGTTCAGTTGATTATGACGTCTGTTTCTGGGATTTTGCTGGTATGGATACATCCATGAAGAGTTTTAGGACCTTGCAGCCTTGTGAGAATCATCCTATCAAATGTTTGCAGTATTCCACTACTGGAGATGTGATACTGGTGATATCAGGATCAGCACAGGCAAAAGTTTTGGACCGAGATGGCTTTGAGAAGTGTGAGACTGTGAAGGGAGATCAGTATATCACAGACATGGCACGTACAAAGGGTCATACCGCCAGTCTGAACAGTGGCTGCTGGCATCCATTTACCAAAGAGGAGTATATGACCTGTTCGCAGGACAGTACATGCAGAATATGGATTCTGTATAGGCCACGTGGACACAAGAGTCTGATAAAATGCAGAGCACAGAATGGAGTGAAGACCATACCTACCACATGTGCTTACAGTCGAGAAGGTGCAGCTGTTGCTTGTGGATGTATAGATGGCTCGATTCAGATGTGGGATCACAGAAAGAATTTTGTGAATCCGTCCCTTTTGTTGAGAGACGCTCACGCACAGGGTAACGAGATCTCGAGTTTGAGCTTCTCGTATCTTGGACAGATGTTGGCGAGTAGAGCTTGCGACGACAGTTTAAAACTGTGGGACTTACGAGCGTTCAAGTCACCAATCTTTGAAGCGCAGGGATTATTTTCACGTTATGATACAACGGATTGCATGTTCAGTCCAGATGACTCGATGATTGTTACTGGAGAATCATTAAACAAGGGACAAACAACCGGCAGACTGCTATTCTACGACAGTAAGACGTTTGACATAGTAAGAGAAATCCCTGTGACGAACTCGCACGTGATCAAAACGTTGTGGCATCCAAAATTGAATCAGGTGTTTGTTGGCTGTGGCAATGGCATTGTCAAGGTGTATTACGATCCCAAGAAGAGCATGAGAGGCGCCAAATTGTGTGTCATCAAGACTCACATGAAACAGAAACACATTGAGATAATGTCCACTCAACAGATTATAACACCTCATGCTCTTCCTCTATTCCGCCAGGATAGACCAAAGTCAGTTCGCAAGCAGATGGAAAAGGATAGGCTGGATCCAGTCAAATCGAGGCGTCCTGATCTACCAATTACTTCCGGACAGGGTGGCAGAGTAGCATCTTCCGGAGGAACGCTCAGCTCTTATGTCATACGCAATCTTGGACTGAGCAAACGAATAGAGGATGATCAAGACCCTAGAGAGGCTATTCTGAAATATGCGAAAATAGCTGAGGAGGAACCATATTGGATTGCACCTGCGTACAAGAAAACACAGCCAAAAACAATTTTTCAGGCTGACGATCCTGACAGTGGACCGAGCAATAAAAGACAAAAGACATAAACTTATATTTATATATATATATATTGTTTAATTTGCAGTTATATTTAGCAATTTAAATATGTACAGCACTTATATATAAATTAATTAAACAAAGATCTAATTTTAATTGTATTATAAAAGTTATATACATCTTGTTAGTATTTAATACATGTTACATTCAATATTTTTTAATATTATATTTGATAAATTTTCAGATTACACATGATCTTCATATTCTTTATATTTTATAGCATTAGAGTTATTTATATATTATATTTATTATAATATTTTCCATATATATATATATATATATATATATATATATATATATACAGGGTGTTCGGTAACTAACGGACCAACGATCACAAATGGATTCTTTGGTCAATTTGGGAACGATTTTTCCTCAGCGAAAATGTCAAAAAAGGTCATCATTTTTTACAACTTTCCAATATTTGTCATTATGTATCTTTATAACTAAGCCTCAAATTAAATTGTATTATAGTAAACTCTACCTGAAATTAACTGAAGAATGTAATTATGTTAGACTTTGAACTCCAAAACGTTTAGTTTTCAAAAAACCCATTTTTTTCAATCGCTTATAACTCGAAAATTATTGACTTCTCAACATTTTTGCTGAGGAAAAATCATCTTTTCACCTACCCTACAACCCCTCAACGGTTGGCACCGGAGTTCCCGAACACCCTGTATATTTCTGACATTATATTATATATTACTTTTGAAACTTATATAGAGTTTGTATTAAACTATGTATTCAAGATTACAGATTGCATTTTAATCAATTAGAACAAAAAATCTAAATTTTTAAATTCAATCAAATTCAATTAAATAATTTTATTTTATTAATTTTATTTAAATGTACAGTCTGAAATACGTGCTGAATGCTGTAAGCTTATTAACCAATCACAGTTAAGTATTTTGAATGTATGAAAATGGTTGATTGTGATTGGTCGATTAATTTACGCAGCTTTCCGATTACTTTATTTACGTTTTGAAGCACAACGCTCTTTTGTGTTTAATGTGTGTTTATGTTTATTGCTTTGTCCTGAAGTCCTTCAACGTAGTACGTTCTAGACGAAGACGAGGCGAAAATACAATATAATGGCTAAGAGAAGAATTTCAAGTCGATTATCCAAGAATACATTCTTCGGTTCTAAATTTCTCAATTCAGACACAGACATTATTGACGAAGGTAATAATATTTCCCCTTTTATTTTTCTACTTTATTAAAGTGAATCATTGAGTACTTTACTTTTGATCAACTAAATTCGAACAAAATTTTAATTTGTACAATAAAATTTGTACAATATAACCTAACCTAGCATAACCTTTTACAGAGCAAACACATTGGTGGAACAATTTGGATGAGAATATGTCTTCCCGGCGTTCTTCCTTATTTATTAATAATAAAAATGATCTGACTCCCAATTCACAATTACATTCTGATGATAACATATCAGAATGGTGGAAACATTTAGGATCTTCGGATGAAAGCTCTCTAACAAAATCGAGAAAAAATTTAAGTGCAGGTATAAATTTGCAAAAGTATAATTTTACAATGTGCATGTTATTATTATAATACTAATAGCATATTTATATTTTAGTATTAAAGAAAACTCATCTGATTGAAACAACTGATTCAGAGTCAGAAACTAATTTATTGAAGAGAAAAGTTTTATTGAGAGGTAGAAACAGAAAGAGTGATAGCAATGCTTTCTCGAATGCCTTAAATGATACCGAAGTAAGTATTAAAATGTTGGATGAAATAAATTAAATGTTCCAATTTGTATAACAATTACGATAAAGAAGATTGGAATAAAAAGTTACATGAAAATGAGGAGTTTAAAGAAAATAAATATGGAAAGTAAAGAATGAATTTGTTAATGTTTGGCTTTGATTTGAAAATATTTGTATTTAAACTCAGATTTGAATTATGTTCCTTATTTTTATATTATTTTTCTCGAGTTTTCTTTATTTGAAATGCTATGAAGAAGTAAGTGATCAAAATGTCTTTCAGAATATCCTAACAAAAGGTGATAGTTTGAAGAAAATATCTAGAAGAACATTAATATCAGATGATCAAAGCTCTTATTCAACAAAATCAGGACAAGATTTAAATGCAGGTATGAATTTACAAAAGTATAATTTTACAATGTTCATGTTGTAATTATAATATAAATGACATATTTTTCAGTAATAAAGAAATCTCATCTCGAAATAACTGATTCGGGATCAGAAAAAGAATCTAATTTATTAAAGAAAAAAGTTTTATTGAGAAGAAGAAGCAGAAAGAGTGATAGCAATGCTTTCTCAAACGTCTTAAATGATACCGAAGTAAGTATTAAAATGATGGATAAAACAAATTAAATATTCCAATTTGCATAACAATAAGAAGATTGGAGAAAAAAAGTTACATGAAAATAAGGAATTTAAAGGAAATAAATATGGAAAGTAAAAAATGAATTTATTAATATTTGGCTTTAATTTGAAAATATTTGGATTGAAACTCAGATTTGAATTATGTTCCTTATTTTTATATCACTTCCCGAGTTTTCTTTATTTGAATTGCTATGAAGAAGTAAAAAGTAAGAGATCAAAATATCTTTCAGAATATCCTAACAAAAGATGATAGTTTGAAGAAAATATCTAGAAGAACATTAATATCAGATGATCAAAGCTCTTATTCAACAAAATCAGGACAAGATTTAAATGCAGGTATGAATTTACAAAAGTATAATTTTACAATGTTCATGTTGTAATTATAATATAAATGACATATTTTTCAGTAATAAAGAAATCTCATCTCGAAATAACTGATTCGGGATCAGAAAAAGAATCTAATTTATTAAAGAAAAAAGTTTTATTGAGAGGTAGGAGCAGAAGAAGTAATAGCAATACTTTTTCGAATGCCTTAAATGATAACGAAGTAAGTATTAAATGGACAAATGATACAAACTAAATATTCCAATTTGTATAGCAATATGGATAAAGAAGGAGAAAAAGTCACATGAAAATGAGGAACTTAAAGGAAATAAATGTGGAAAGTAAAAAAATTAATTTCTTAAAATATTTTGCATTAATTGGAAAATATTTGGACTTTAATTTAAATCTGAATTATATTCCTTATATTTATATGACTCTGAGCCTTCTCTATCCGAATTTCTATGAAGGAATAGAGGAGTAAGAGATCAAAACGTCTTTCAGGACATTGAAATGAGAAATGATAGTTTGGAGAAAATATCTGGGAGAAAAACGCTCGAAAAAACATCCTTGACACTTTCAATGCAAAATATTAATGCAAATAAAGATCATAATTATGATGATCAAAGGAAAGAAAAACAATTATCGCAAACATTATCACTAGAAAATAATGAAGCTGGTCCATCAAATTTATCATCTTCAAGAGTAATGTTTGAAAATATTGCTGCGTCTGATATTAATAAGATTGTCGAAAATGATGGAAGTGATATTGAAATTAATAATCATAAACGTTTCAAATTTAAATCCTATCTTATGCAACGTGCGCAGAGAAGCGCGGGAAATAATAATTTTGAAGATATTCTAATCGAAAATAGAGATATAAATTTATCTCTTGAACATAATCAGGATAAAGAGATTGCTACTTCTCATCCAAAATCTCCATTAATATCAAATTCATTTAGCAATTCTCCAAGAAAATCTATTAATAGATCTAAGCAGAAAATTGATTCTAGAGACAAAAGTGGGTCCCTAAAGTCACCAATTCGTAGAAGCTCAAGATCTTTAAATTTATCTGAATATAATCAAGAAAAGGAGATTGCTATTTCTGATCCAAAATCTCCATTTTTAACAAATTCATTAAGCAGTCCTTCAAGAAAATCCGTTAATAGATCTAAGCAGAAAATTGATTCTAGAGACAAAAGTGGGTCCCTAAAGTCACCAATTCGTAGAAGCTCAAGATCTTTAAATTTATCTGAATATAATCAAGAAAAGGAGATTGCTATTTCTGATCCAAAATCTCCATTTTTAACAAATTCATTAAGCAGTCCTTCAAGAAAATCCGTTAATAGATCTAAGCAGAAAATTGATTCTAGAGACAAAAGTGGGTCCCTAAAGTCACCAATTCGTAGAAGCTCAAGATCTTTAAATTTATCTGAATATAATCAAGAAAAGGAGATTGCTATTTCTGATCCAAAATCTCCATTTTTAACAAATTCATTAAGCAGTCCTTCAAGAAAATCCGTTAATAGATCTAAGCAGAAAATTGATTCTAGAGACAAAAGTGCATCCCTAAAGTCACTGATTCGTAGAAGCCCAAGATCTTTAAATTTATCTGAACATAATCAGGATAAGGGGATTGATATTTCTGACCCAAAATCTCCATTAATATCAAATTCATTTAGCAATTCTCCAAGAAAATCTATTAATAGATCTAAGCAGAAGATTGATTTTACATACGAAAGTACATCCTTGAAGTCACCAATTCGTAAAAGCTCAAAATCTTTAAGAACAGGTAAGAAACATTTGTTAGACATCTCAGTACTAGTCCAAGATAATATTGAGCAAAATATGATCCATCTCTAGACAGTAATGTATTCTATGTTAAAAGACTTGTTATTTGAAGTTAAATTCAAGAATTTTAGATAAAAACATAAAAAGAATCTGATATTTCACTTAAGGAACTTTATGTAGACAACAGAATTTGATCGGATCTTAAAAATTCAGAAAACTAATTAAAGTATTGAGCAAAGATATTTCTTTGAATATCAGTAAAATAAATTCATCAAAACATTTACAAAAATAGACGATTTTTATAATGTTATCTTTCTTATCAATAGAAATGTGATTATCTCTAACTGACACAATACTATTGTTCTTTCTTGCATTATATTGCCATAAGTATCTTCTTGAATGGATTGTTAGTCAGGCTCTTTTTATATAAGTGTAAAATGCTGATTTTATTTAATTTTGAAATTTTTTACAACCACAGATGAACCATCTACATCGAATGTTCGGACGTTTCAATCTATCTTTGCTGAGAAGTATGAGGAGATTCAGGCAGAGGTTGCTCGTGATATGGCTGCGATGAAAATGGAAGAGAAGAAAAAAGCTGCATTAAAAGTAGAAAATAAGAAACGTCTTGCATTGTCTAAGAAACAACCCAGGAAGGAGGTCAAACCTGTAAAGGTAGTGAATAAGGCATATCTGGTGAATGGAAAGGTGTGGAAACCACCACCACTCCCTCGTCCGAAGCCCTGGGCCACTAATCATCTTTATAATTTTTTGTGGAAAAAAATGGAATCGAAGTATCAATTGTCAACTAGAGTGCGATCGGAAAAACTCATGGTGCAGCTATCCAAGATAGTTTCCTATATTCAGCGTTGTAAAAAGTATGAGAATTACAAATGCGAATTAGAAGCCTTGATGATGGAAATGGCTCGTTTAAACATTATCAATACCCGTAGGGAATTTCACCATTTCTGTCAGGAATTTATGCCATACGAATTTCGCATTAAAGTCATCCCTATGTTATTGCCCGGCAATTTGCGAAATATACCCTTTGAACCAGAAAAGCTGGATATTCCCTTGCTTTAGTAAACTTAACGATTTGAATTGTAACGCAAAAGCACGAGAATTATGTAAAAAGTATAATATTATATTTATATATAAAGATCATGCTTTTAATTCGAATCGTTTATTTGTAAACTTTAAATGTTTATATGTTGCATAATTGCATCCACTGTATTACATATTATCATATATAAATTAACATTATATAGAATAGATTAATAATAATATTTTTGATAATATATTTTTATTTTATATATTTTTGATTGATATTTAGATTTGTTATTCGAAAGTACAGATTTAGAATTCTTTGATAATGAAGACCCTATATAATTCATCAAAATTAAGACAAAACTTAAGATATTTGCAAATATAAATATATAGAATTTTGCAATATATATATGCATATATATATATGTTATAATTATCTATATATAATACTAATGGCATATATTTTTTCAATGATAAATAACATTAATCTTTTGAAAACAATATCTGCTTTAGAAAAGAAACTCAATTTGAGAAAGAGAAAAGTTGTGTTGAGTATAGGATATAGAAAGAGCGATATCATATTATCAAGAGCGAAATCGATCATCTGTACATTCGAGTAACAACTGAAAGTGAATATTTTTGTATACATATTCTAGATTTATATATATCAAAAATATATTATTCTATATATGAAATATATATAATTGAGATACAAAATTCAAGATACCGGTATCTTGAATTTTGTATCTCATATTTTTCACTTTGATAGTGTGTATGCGTTATACGTGTTAAGTATTAATAAGTATCATATGTGCAAATGAACGGCCGGAAATTATTTGTACATCGCGCGAACAGCCAATATTTGCGCTCTCACTCTGTCTCTGTCGACACCCCATTTGGCATGCGGCCCTTAGACGCGTGTGACGTTCGATACGCACTATTCCCACGCGTTCGAGAGATACTCGTATTTCCATTTTAGCCACTTTAAGCGATCCGATATGTATATATCGCGTGTTTATTTACTTTTTCCAGTGAACGTGCGCGCGTATATCGTGGCTGTATTATATATAGATCTATTGTGATCTCTACGGGGTTATAAATATCATCCTAATCGGTGGCTCTACTATACGATAATCTCTTTGCGCGAGCAAACAATCCCCTTTGTTTTCCCTCGGCGTTCACAACAAAAATCATTCATATGTTATGAATATGGATAGGATAATAGATGGTGAATTGTTGATACATAAGAGTTAAAATCTTTTTTGTTTCTTAAAATCGATGTAATTTTATTTATTTAGGTGTTTCTTGAATTAATTCAAATAATTATTACTATAAATAATATAGCCATTCCGAAGTATAAGATTAAGTACGATTCAACATGTTATATAAATAAACAATTTTGGCGTTTAACTTGTCGTTATTTATGCGATTCCAGTGATTACATTTTCTTACGTTTGACCTGGAAAGTTTAAATAACTTCTTGTTCAAGTAAATTTAATTATAAGAGCGTCCTGTATGGAAATTATATTTTGAATTCATGTGAATAGGCAAGTTCATTATACGAAGTTCAATTTATAGCACGATTTTATCAAATATGCGATCTACGCGAATACATATATAACGCTTGTGTTTTAAATACTCCAATTATGCGGGCGATAGTATCACGTCTATAACAACTAATAACGTGACGCCGACTTTGCAAATATTTGCGACAAATCGCAAGCTCGCGTTGACGTAACGCTCACGCAGTTCGTGACGCGCACGAACCGCGTGACTAAAAACTCCAAATTTGTGCAACATGCCTCGAACTGTCATCTAATCGGAATTACCGTGACCTCCTGACCTCGGGATTGGGTAAAATTTCCCGTATTACGCGAATGAACGCGGACGATTTCGTAATAATAAATCTCGTCTCCGAAAATAAATTAAAAATAAATGTTATTTAATTTTTAATTTATTTCCATTGATCACAAATCAATGTCTCTTTCCGAGGAAGTAGTGCGCGTTCTAATTGCTTATTCAAAATATATTTTTCTATAAAATCGTGCTATAAAAAATACAATTAATTTTATATACTTTGTTATCTAATATACAACTTGTCTTTTTTTTTCAAATTCTCTCTAACAACGCTACTCTCTCTTTTCCCGAAGGATCTCCAAATCCCTTTGGAAGGGTGAGTTTGTTTGCGAGATAAAGAAATGAGAAATACGAGTAACACGATCTTGCATTAATTAATCGCTCTCTCTTTCTGTCCTGGTTTGAAGTTTCTAATCTCTATAATGGAACGGCGGCCTCAATTAGGCCGGACTTATTTTCGCCGGGCCGCGATGTTTGAGCGCACATTTGTGTAGCCACGCGACCGCGCCACGCGTCACTCGTTATACCCTCGATAGGCGATTATTGTTAATCCCTCGTCGTCCTTCGCGAAAAAAACGATTGCCGGGTTCGCGTTGCAATAATCGTAATGCGGTTTCAATGAATCATACGAAAAATGCGACAGATTATCCGACGTCTCGATGACAGACATCTCGCTCCGCGGACTTTGACAGTCACAATATCGCAAGTCTATTCGTTATCACGTCCATTTGGACCATGATACGCGGTTCATTTGATGCTGGACCGAGTCCGCATGAGGGGGAGCAGAATTCATACATTTTTTTTTTTTTTATAGACGTACATTATTTTTCTCATCGGTGTGTATAAATATATTTTATTTTATCATTAATTCTCACGATAAACGCAATCGCGATTAGAGATAATATTAGAAGGGCGGGAAGGAAGATCAATATAACAAATCGAGGTGTACTTATAATTTCAATTTTGGGGAGCGATCTTTTTACGACGACGCGCTCGAATGTTATGACAATTATGAGTTTTTCGGGGCACCCGGGGGTGGCACGTGGCCCCCGACGTGTGCGTACGTTGAGGGGGGTGGGAGGGAGGGGGTGACGCGTGCCGCCGCGTGAGAACAGTCGCGCTCACACGCGTCACACGCACACGACACGCACGTGTGTGCAGGCAGCCGCGAGATAAAGGGAGAGAGAGAGACAGAAAAGTGTATGCATCTCGCGCAACCGGAATTTAATCTTGCACTCGCTCTCGACTTTTCGGTCGTTTAAATTTTGTTCGCGTGCGCTTGCAAGATATATCTCCCGTTCTGAAATAATCTATTGTTCAGATAAATGCATGTCTATTGAAAATATTTTTCAACTAATTGATAACGATGTAATATTTCATATAATAATTATATTTTTTGCGTTATATTATTATTTATTAAGTAATGTTATATATAGGATATATTATGTAATTACATCTATAAAAAGACACGTTCAATTTAATTACATATAACTGTGTCCATATAATTATAATTGATAGTATATTGATCACTCTTTAGATAATTAATATAATTTTGATGAATTGCATTCTGCATATATATTCGAAAATTAATAAGATTGATAACTATTTAATTTTCTGTGAAATTTATAAATGCTATTTTGAGATGTGCAGAGAAAAAAAGTAACATATACACATATGTATATCGAGATATGTGCATAGATATAATGGATGCAATTAAATGTAATTAAATTGATCGGAATGAAAGATAAAGTTGTATCGCATATCGGCGTCTTGTCAATCTGTGATTGTGGCTTTCGACGAATTCTCTCGTCAATCATTTGATTATAATCCAATTCGTTTCTTATTTTCGTCTCTATTCCCCACGGGCCATTGAGCACTCGTTCTATATTCCGTTATATATATATATATATAGTACATTGCAGTATTGATTTGCCACGCACGTGTATCTTCCTTATTGAATCGTGCATTGATTAATGCGGTGTATCTTGTCTCAGTCTCTCGTTAGAGATAGATAAATCACTTTAGATTGTTTTCCTTTGTCAATATTTTATAATTTTTACGAGTAGATGAATTATTTATCGAACGTACATGATAACAAATCTTGATAAATATGTACTTTTAATTAATTAGACTCGAAGAACCTTCGATTACGAACAGACAAATTTTTATTAATATTTTTTAAGAAATAATAGTTAAATCCTTAAAAGTTATTCGAAAATATTTAAATCTTAAAAAATTAAAATCTAAAAAATTACTAGTAATTTACAGATTTGAAATTATTAAAATTCAAAAAATTGAAACTTTATTAATTCCCTGATATCAAAAAGCTTAAAGTAAAAAATTGAGCGACTCTTTTTCATTAAAAAATAAATAAATAATAACTTACTTTTAGTATTCGAAAGATCTATAATTTATCTGTTTATTCGAGAAATAGATTTTTCAATTGAATTTACCCGGCAATTTTCGAGTAACAACAATTCCCAAAATTGTTCCGCGTTATTTTACAAAGTAATTAATATAAATAGTTTACAGCACATGCAATCTGCAAAATGACAAATAACCATCCACGTACGTTCGTATTTAATTCCATCAATTAAAATAATTCGGTAGGTCGCGGAGATGGGAATTTCTCCTGCGTCAAGTCGATCATAATTACCGGACGCTCATTAACCTTTCTACCTTCGCGAGGGTTAATTGCCTCGAGCGGGCCGCGAGCAAGAGAGCTTTCCACTTTCCACCCTCTGGAGCACCCAGGACGATGCGGTTGATATTCATCCGCGAGACCTCGCCGCGCTCGGGGATGATCGTGCGGAATCGGGAGCGCGGAAAGTCCGGGGTTGGGTGGCCCCGACGAGGTGGTAATAAATAGAGCGGCGCGGCGATGAGGAGCGGTATTTCGTCGCGTGACGCTGTGGCGTACGCATCGATCGATCCGCGCTCGACAGGACCGAACAGCAAGAGACGTAGGGTGGATCGCATCATCGCGCAATAATATATATCGCGGGGCCGAAAATCAATCCCTCTCCCTGAACGTCGTTCCATCCGCAAGAGTAATCGCCGAGGCGAGAAGAAGGCGGAGAAGTCGACGTCGAAAGCCGGCCGCGAGATGCTGAAGAAATTACTCGGCAAGTCCGGCCGCAGGATCCTGCGGGTAAGCCGTCGAAGGACCTCTTTAATCGGCTCGCCTTCTCCTGCGTTCGACTGTTGCATGCCCGCGCTTGTATATACAATATATGTTTGCGACCTAATTCCGCAACCGGACGCTCACACTTCCGTTTTCGCGGATCGATGTCCTTATATTGGGGATGCTTCGTCGCGTAATTACAGTGAGAATTCGCGCTTTCGCGAAATTTATTATTTTTTTGGTCATAATATTTGTTCTCTTTGCAGGCGATCAAAAAGCTGTCCACCAAGAGTCGCAAGGCCAAGAAATCGTGCAATCCTAGTTCCTGGCACACGGCCATCCCGGACCTCGAGACGACCTCGCTCTCGTGGTCCCTGCCATCCTTGGACGCCAAGAGCATCGACACGTACATGACGTACGTCGCCGAGAACCAGGAGGACTGCACGTCGAGTTGTTGCTGCTGCGACGAGTACGAGGAGAACCAGAGGAACGAGAACAGAGAAAACGAGATGATAATCTAACGTCCGTGTCGTTAAGCGACATGGCTCGCTCGTTTTGTCTCTCGGTCAAATTCGCCGGCGAATTCGTGCCGCCTCCGAAAGGGTGGCTAGAAGATGAGAATCGCAAAGGCTGATTCCTAACGATATTTAACCCTTAACCAGTGAGTATCTGTTATTTCTTTTCTCGGCAGAATTGTTTTCGTTGGTTGCAACTAATTGCAAAGCGACACCAAAGACTTTTCGAGAGCGTACAATATAATCAGTTAAGGGTTAAACACGATCCCTCCGTAATCCGTTCCACGCACAGAGAGCATTTTGCTCTCTTTTATTTTTCGAGATGTATCATCGAGATGAGAGAGAGAGAGAGAAAGAGAGAAAAGATATCTTGGATTAAATATAATCCTCGTATCAGACGATTTTTGCAGCGTATTATCGCGAGATAAGAATGCGAAGAAGAGGTAAAATGGTTTATTTCTAATTAGTCTTCCAATCTAGATTTATCGACTTACTCTTTTTTAGTTTGCGTTTTTACGCTCATTTTGATCTCATCTTATATAATATGGTCTCATTTAATTTCACCAGATGCATTTATTTATTGTCACACATATTCGTCTCGTTATAATTACAATAGCTTGCAATTAGCTACACGAAGAGAATTTTCTCTTAAAATTTATCCTGAAAATCATAGTAAATGTGAGACAATATGTGGTATTGGGAGAATTTTATAAGTTTCTCTGATTAATATTTACCACAATAACAAATATTAATATGTACATAGTAAAATTAATCGAACATATTTTATATCTTATTGTAGTAGATATTAATATTTTTATTGTGGTAAATAATTAATCAGAGAAACATATATAAAATTTTTCAATACCATATTGTCCCACGATTAGCATGCATGATTTTCAGGGTAAATTTTAAGAGAAAATGCTTTCTTTGTACTTTTTACGCGAACGCGGTTTATATACGGTCGAAAAACAATTAAATTGGTTATTGATCGAATTTATTCAATTCAGCGATAATCTTTTTTTTCCACAATTTTTGTTGTTCAAGAAAAGAAAAAAGCGCGACGTTTCTTCTCTTCGCGCGTCATCGTCTCTTTCGTATAGAGAATAGCAATATGTGACGTAGTACAAAAAAAAATATATATACATATATATATCGCCTAGCGTGTTATCGTTCACGGAAGAATGACGTTCGAAGTATAATAGAACTTTTCCACTTATCATGCGATTTTATCACGTCGAGTCTAACTCGTCTAGCTCACTCTTTTACGAGATACTATTTTTTTCTTTTTTTTTCGATGTAGTGCACCATTTCAGGTAATCAATAATTTATTTTCGCGCGAGACGCTCGAAAGCTACACGTCCACGTGACAGGGCCTTTCGTCGTGTTCAAACAATTTTATTTCTGATCATTAAAAAATAGATTTTTATAGATAATAAAATTTTAATAATTATTATTTATAGTTTATAATTATAAATATAATTTATAATTATAAATTATAATTATATTAAAGAATAATGATTAGAAAATAAAATATAATAAAAAAGAGAGATTAAATCATTTACTTTTTCACTTCAATTGTACGTGTGCACTCGCGTATATCTTTCCGCGAAAAAGCAACCGGAATCAAAGTGTAAAAAAAAAGAATTTGATCAATCAATCTCACGTAGGAACACCCTCTGATTTTTCTCGCTATTTATCGGCGAGTGGAAATCCGACTTTGTAATTCGATGTCGTCGTCACGTTCTAGGTGTTCAATATTTTCGCGCGTTTCATTAGATTAGTTTAGCCGATACAACCGAGCCTCGATACGACAGGTAAACTCGTTCTACCTTTATCTCGAGAACCGAATCGTATAAATATATATTTCGAGCAACAAACGGCATAAAAAGAAATAATAGTAAACGAACGAATTTTCTCTTTTCTACAATCTTGTTTCGATTCTTTTACGACAATATATTCGAGTTGCCTGGTATCGAGGATATTTATGCAATAAATCGCACCGGCCTGGTTACTCGAGAACCGAGGTTTTCTATCAAATATTTCCAATCGTTTCCGGCACCTTCGCTCAAAACGCAGAGTCAATCCTCCACCTGAAGCGTAGTCGCAATTTTTATTCTTCCTACGGGTCGATTTGTAAAGAGGGGGATGATGTAAAAGAGGAGAGAAGAGCTTTAACGACTTACTACTATATCTATATGTATAGATGCAGAATTTATATGTATATAAACAAAATAAAAGAAACAGAATATATATGTATATGTATATAAGTATATATATATATATATATATGTATGTATATGGATGTGTACCCCCGTATAGGTGTACGCGATGCGTGTTGATATACTTTACCGTAAGAGACATTTCAGATAAGGCTGTGACTTTGTAATGGATATGCGAGTGTTATGAATAAAATGGTTTTATTGACGATCCCCCGACATTGTGTCCTCGTGACCCCCTGTCATCGCGGTTTCATTGATCGCGCGACGTTTGTGCAGGGATCGCATACGCATATATATATATATGTATATGTATATGTATATGCAGTCATACGGCAGTATAATATACAGTATATAATATGTACTCTCTTGATGTCACACACCAAAAGCAACACCGAGCACACGCGCGAGACCTTCGTTTGAATTGGTAATGCTATCGATCTGCGGGCGATTTTCTCGTTACGACCGTGTAACGATCATTCCGTGGAGATATACATGTAATGAGGATTGGCTATAGCGCTTCCTTTTTTGCGACAAGTGAAGACTGCATATAGAGCTCGTAGTCTGTAATTCCGGGTCATTTCTGGTGACATTTCAACTACTCTCTCGTCGCCCTACTTTCGCGAGTGTATATCTATAATAATGATTTATAGAGCGCGGAGAACTTAATAGCGATTTACAAGAGAACTTGTTCAACTAGCCTCTTGTTGCTTGTATACTTTTTAATATTCAGTTTATACTCATTTGTGGCTATTAACTTTAATGTTTGCAATTGCAATTTGGAACTTAACTTTTTTTCATTCGCGACTTTATAGAATAAATTTCCAGTGAGAAATTTCCGATAATACAAATTTTCTTTTTATAAAGTGCTAGCACTAGGTATGTGACATTTCAATATTGATTTCGAAGGAGGTAAATTGCAAACAAACTTTAATTGATTGAATCTCGAACCGGATTTTACACGCGAATAATCATTCCACTTTCAATAATAGTCTCTAATCAAAATGAGATTATCGAATGCTGTTCAATATATGAAGCTCAGGGAAGAAGCATGATTAAATTTTTTTTTCCTATTTTTTGTTCCTTTTTTATTTTTTATATTAAATATGCAAAAATAATTTTTTTAATTATTCCAAGGGGGGCAAATGCACCCTCTTGCCTCCCTTTGCGGACGCCTATGTTGAAATCACTGATAAGAGATTCAATTAACAGCTTTAAAAGTACAATATTTTAATTTTCAAGATTGTCATATTTTTACTTCTAAATTATTATGTATGAAGAATATTTTAAATAGATTTTATGACATATAAGGTTTAACTCGAAAAATTATGCACTTTAATCGGTATATCTTCTGCATTTATATTTTAATTTTTTTTTTAAATATTAGTTTGTCTGGCGATTGAACGAGTTCATATTATTAACTAACTAAAGAAACTCTTCTGTCGCTAATTTGACGAAAAGTGTCAAGTTTTGACAAGAGCTCGCGGTCGAATGCATTACGTGAATGCGTCTCGCAATTATGCGCGCGTGCATAGAAAAAAAAATCGTGCGTAACGAGCACGCGCGAACAATAGGCCGCACGTGCCCACGCAATATCAGTAATTCCCGAAAATTAGGTTTTGTCGAAGCTGCTTGCGGGGGCACAAATAGTCGCGACTAATCGTTGACCGCAGTTCGTTAAAAAAAAAAGGAAAAAAGACGTAACGCGTGCGCGAACTATGCTGCGAAACTAATGACACGCAAAACTGGTTTATGAACATAACGTGAATGAAAGGGGTCGTAAGAGTGTGTCATTGTTCTTCGTAGTCGGGAATATTCCGTGTCTGCGAAGGGAATTTTGCATGAGAAAGGAAGAAAAACGCGTCCTTTTCTTCCCGAATACTGTAAATTCTCTCCTCCGCGAATTTGTGTGGGTTCTTGAAAGCCTTCGGTCGCGTAAAGTTCGTACAAAAGGATATAACGAGGTGATTTGACCCTTAACGTTTCATATCGATAAATATATTTGCAACGTAGATTTATTTTCTGCTATTTAGTTGAAAAATTTTAATCGAGGCAATTTTTTTACTAATTAAATTAAATTAAAGTAGAATTTCTTTGCAAAATTATTAAATGAAGCACAGGGAATGCAATTTTTAACGATAGAATTATTTTCTGTTAACTATTATAGTTAATAAAAAATTTGTATCTAGTTAGAAATAAAATTGTAGTGTCTCTTGTTAAATTGAAGAGAATACAATTTTCAACGGTAGTAAACTTGAATTTTTTTCCGAAGAGGAATTTGTCATCGTGTTTGTTTGATGTCATGATAAACGACAGTGTTTATGCCAATTTCTTCTCGGAAGAAGAGTATTTCCGATCATAAATAATTTCATAACAGGTTTCATAATAGTATCCAATTGTGCTACAGGGTCGTGCAAACACCGATACTGCGTTTAAATGTATCAGGTATCCGAATTCGCAAATGATCGATTAGATACTTTTAAGGATGGTCTCGATTCATACTATATTCCCAGGAACTACAGCTCTGGGTGTCAGTTATCCAACGCGAATGTAGGACATTCTTATCTGATGCGCTTCGATTTCGTGTATAGGTTTTCGCGTGAATGGCATTTATAAAGGCCATATATCTTGAAAATGCATTATCGATTGGACTCTCTTGGAGGAAAGTGCAAAGGGGAGGAATCACATGCGACGAGAGACGATGTTCTATTTGTATTCTCGTGCGTTATCGCTTTATTACAAAATCGTATTGCAAAAATACTCGGACCTCTTTCACACGTAAACAAATTGAAATGCGTAAATGGCACATTCCTTTCCTTCTCTCTCATCTTCTGTTTTTTATTCACGCTGGACTTTACACGCTCACGCAATCGTTTATCACTCGAATGAGGCAATTATACATACAAAAGTCGCAAACCGGTAGTCGATTACGATATATAATTATAAATATCTTATTATTTACATGTAAACGTGTTTATGTACAATCTTTTATATACAACTTTTCACTATCGATAAATATCTTTTTTCCCGTTAGGTATTCACACATGACTATCATTGTCTCACTCATTGAAAAAGTGCATCAGTATACTGATATACAGTTTTGGTCGTTGAACATTCCTGAGATACGTTGACAAGGTGTTAAAATATTGTACAAAAAATATACATACAAAATTCGTCCCTCTCTTTCTCTTTTACATATATTTCCTATTAAACGCGATATGCGCTAATTGTAAATCTTACAAATTGATTTATTTCATCAACAAAAGTGTTCTAAAAAGAATTTCGCAAGAACGCGAAAATATATACCGTTAATTAAATTTGGCGAATAAATCAATCGGCCGAAATTCGACTTGGTAAATTCTCCGTTTGACAGACAAATATTTACGAAAATATTTGAAATGTAAAATCCAATAAATCCTTGTAAAATTCGTCAAATTCTGTCTGCAAAGCGAGAAAGTATAAATTCTACAGTCTCGCAATTAGAATGTTCTCGTTGTTATCAGTTCTTGCACCAAATCGAGCTCGCGGCCGTCGATTCTTTCCGCATCGAGGGTTCAAGGTCAGTACGCCAGTTCCGCGCCCCAGGGTCGATAAGGTTTCCCGTGCTGTTGCTGGGGATACTGACCCGGATACTGGCCCCAGCCGCCCAGAAGAGGCGGCATGGTCCCCGGACCTGGTGGCATCCCGGTGGAGACTGTACTCGGGGGCGGTTCGTAGCTGCTGGCGGTGGAGGTCGACGTCAACGTCGTGGACGCCGCCGAGGGCACCGCCGAAGGTACGGCTGACGGTGGATGGTCCCGGTGGAAGCTCTGCAGGTGCGACAGCAGTCGTAACCGGAGCGGATCTCTCTCGTCCAGGCCCTCCATAGTCACCAGGTACCGACCCACTTCGGCGGCACACTCGCCCCAGCCTACCGCGTGATAATCCATAGCTAGCTTCGTACTGTCGTAGCCTTCCGGTCCTGTAATCATAATTACATTAAATTTAAATTATTGTACAATTTTTAAATTACATTAATCGTAATTTACATTTAAATTAAATTTTTTAATTACATTAGTTTGAAAATAATTTACACATTGCAATTACAAATTAATTAATAATGACAAATAATAAAGTGCCAAGTCTTTTTTTGTCGTTCTGTCAATGAACGGGTTCCGGGTGCTCGAACTTTTAAATGTTAAAATGTGTCGGAACTTTTCTCCGAAACAAAATACAAAGGGTCTTTGTGTTCGGAATCCTTCTAAAATATAACGGGAAAGAAATGTTCGATGCCCGGCAGCTGCTAAAGAAATTATTACACAGCAATATGTTGAAAAAACGTAGTTTGTAGCCAGGTGCCCATTTATTAACATAAAAAAGTAAATAATTATATGAATTGATAGAAGAGATAAGATAAAGAAAATTGATATAGACATTGATAGGGATGAATGGATATTTAAGTAAAACTTTGAAATTTGAAATAACTATGGCAACTATACTGCTAATTGGAAGAAAGTTCAAGAGTCAAGATAAAAGTTTGTATCTAACTCCAATTATATAAATTGGAGTTTCTCTTCAAGATTGCTAATGTCTCGATATAATAGAGGAGAATACAATGTTTTCAAGATTGATTGAAACTTCATTAAACTTAAATTCCTATAACAATAATGACCGGATCAAAATTCCCTCGATATGATTATTAAATATTTTTTTTCTACAAAATGTCATCATTCAGACACAATTTAATTATTTTCCGACAAAGGTATCGTGTCGCGTCTCCGGAAAGAGCAGGTGTCGAAAAGAGAGATGATATCGCGGTTTTCCCAGAACTTTTCCCGCGAGTGTCTTCGATCTGCGAATCGAAAAGTGCATCTGCGGACCGAGATCTCTTTTGTGCACTTTTGGTTTTCGCGGGATGACAATAACAATGCTTCGACGTACGTGCACCGGAGCGAGATGGGCGCCTTGGCTTTTAGTAGCAGGCGGTTCATTGTGTGCACGTGGAATGGGACAGGTAGCGTGGGAACCATTTAGACCCCCGTAGACCGACCAGGCGAGATATACACACACACACACACACACGCATCGAATGAACGAGTGGAGTGTCCCACGTTATTATGCAAGTTCTCAGAGACTCCCCGCTCTATACAAACATCACTCGCGAGAAAAGTCTACGACGTATGTAGAGTACTTCGTCGAATTATCGATTCGTGCGATCGATCGTCGTTGAAGTAGCTCTTTGAGAAGAACTCCTTCCGTGTTTGCTTACATTTAAAAAACTAACTCAAGTGTAGGTGATGTAAAAAAATTTGCAAATCTGTATATCTATAGATATAATATATATATTAATAATATTATATATATATATTATATTAATATATATATATATATATATATATATATATATATTAATATATTAATCAAATAACATTAAGTTTTGTCATTATCGAATTTTTAGATATATCGGAGTAAACCCTCCGATCGGTCTTGAAATATCGCGATGGTTTTGTTGGACGATATTAAATTTAATATCGCTCGCTTTTCAGAGGATAGGAGGGAAAGAGGAAGAGAGCTGGCTCGTCGCGCCCTTTCGCGACGTGCACGCATTTACAAATAGGAGGGAGACCTCGCACGAACGCATATATACATATATAGCAATGGTACGTGTCCGTGCAAGCTTATATACATATACACTCTCTCTAGCTGGTTTCCCACAGGGTTCGACATCTGCCCCAGGCCGATCCGCCGAGCGCCTCCCTCGCGAGGGGTGCGACGACGACGACGTGCACGCGGGACACCTCACCCCCGGGCTCGCCGCCACCAATCGTGGGAACACCACTTCCAGAGAGAGAGAGAGTCGTTGACTTCCTGTGCTTCCCACAGGATCTCTCCGCGCCCGGTCCAGCACCTGCTCACGCGCGCGTGCGTGTGTGTGTATATGTGCGTGTGCTGCGAGGATCCCGTTTGTGTATTGGCGGTCCTCACGGGAAACCATATGTCGCACCTTGGTCCCGTGATTTTCCTTACGAAACGTTCCTTCTCATTCTCGGAAATATATTTTCCGCGAACCGTTCGCAATAATAACGCGCTCGTCGATATTGCGTCGAGAGCATTGCATCTGACATTTTTGGAATTTTTAATACTTTCCTCCCCGAATCGATCAAACCAAGTTATTTTTATAACGCGAACACAAAGGCGACATATTTATTAAAAAATATATTGCAATGGTATACGAGAATGATTTTTTTTTTTTAATCAAAGAGATATATATCTCTTGTGCACGCACTTCCGATATTATTATACTGATCTACGTTAATCTTCGTCGGATCTGCGTAATAAGGAAACGCAGAGACGACAGATGGGCATTCGGTTACGCGATTGCAGTTAGCGTTCTCTGTTCGCCCTTACGGTCAACAGGTGTCTTCCGGTAGGAAAAAAAGAGCTGGTTAACAGAGAGACATAATAATGGCGTAAGAATCAAATTAGCAGCCGTCGGGAGATTATTATTAATGTCGGGACCCCGAGAAATCTCGAGCGAGGAAGGGTTTGACCCCGAGAGGATCGTCTTCGAGTTCCTCTACTCATTCGCAACAGCAAAAAGGCGTTTCTTCCGGATTCAAGGGTCTTATTACCCGACACCGTTACATCTTTCGATCTGCGCTTCCGTTACGTCACTTCCGTTCCCGCGCGCGAAGCGGTAAATAATAATTTTCGAGCGATCACTCGACATCGTTTTGCGATAACAGAGTGTTAAAAAAAAACACGCCAGTTTAAAACTAATTTTTTCTAATTAATATAAATTAAGTAAATTAAATCTCATTCTTAACAAATAATTTTTTCGGCATCCTAAAACTGAGAAATAAAAGTAATATTTAAATTATATATTACTGTAAGGATATGCCGTAAAAGAATTATTTAAGAATGAGATTTAATTTAATTTATAAATTTTCAATTTTTTTTAATTTATTGTATTTGCAGAACTGACTCGAGGGACGAGAAAGGACGAAGAGAGAGAGAGAGAGAGACACTCACCTTTATTGCGAAGAGTGCGCAGATGCTCGACAGTGAGCTGCAGGATCTCGGCTTTCTCGAGCTTTCCGCTGTGAGGATCCCTGGCTGCTGCCGGTACCAATCTCCTGAGCTCGCCGAGGGACGCGTTGATCCTGTCGCGACGCTTCTTCTCGATCATCCCCCTCCTGCGTTTTCGCGACGCGTGCTGGCAGGAGTCGCCTCCGGGCGAGTTGCATCTGCGACGGGAATTTCGAGCAAGGGTTGAGAGAGACGCATAAAAAGCAACAACAATTGTGGATTCAAGGGCGAAGGTAAGACACACTTCGTGGTTATTCTTCGTCCGGAATTTTTATACGGCAAACGGAAGCGAGAGAGAGAATTATTTTAATTACACATTGTGTCAACTCGTCTCGCCAACTCGCTTAATTAATTTCGACCGGACTGAAACAATGCTGTTTTAATTACGATTCTTGTCGCGGGGACAAAGAGACATATGTGCCGCGTCGAAACTTGTAAAGATTTTATTTCAACAAGAACTTTCACGCGCGTTCGAAGTCATCTTAATTATCCTAGTTCCCTGATTGTTATAGAACGATACGAGAATTCTTGTTCAATCATTTATACATTAGGAATTTTTTTAAATTAAATCTTTGCGCGAATTATAAGATTCATCTTTAAAGTATAACAAAGTAATCTTAATTTATGCATCAATAATTCATACATCAGAAACTTTTTTTAAATTAAATTTTTCCGAATTACGAAACGGTTTAATACATATATTTATAAATTAATTAATTATTTGGGGCTCTAATACAAAACGATCGTATGGAATTTTTTTATGTTGGAAAAAATAAAATGATACATACGGTTCCTTGCCGCTCTCCTCCGAGAACACGTCGTCGCAGTCGGAGTCGCTCATGGTCCTCTTCAGATTTCTCTGCTGGTGACTTTGGTTTTGCGGTTGCTGCTGCTGCTGCTGCTGCTGCTGCTGCTGCTGCTGCTGCTGCTGACCACTGTCCTGACTCCTCAACTCCGTATCGATCTTCAATTCCAAGAATTCGTGATTAGACCGCATCTCTGACATATCCGATCGCATGCTCGGCATATCCTGATGCCTGGCGATGTCGTGCCTGGTTAACTCCTGATGCCTCTGTATCTCCGGATGTCGGAGGTCCGGCCGCTGCATCTCGTGCCGCAACTCCTGGTTTCTGAGGTCGCCGGGTCGCAGCTCGTGAGGTCCGGGCGGTCGCATATCGTGGTGATGGTGACGCATGTCCGGATGCTGCGGCGGCTGATACGGGGGATGATGCGGAGGGTAACCCCAATGGTGACCCGACGGCGGCGCCGGCAGGGTTGACAGGTGACCGGGCGCGCCGGAAGTGATCTCGGAGGACAACAGGGTGCTGTTGTCGTCGGAACGCGCGACCACCACTCGCCACATGTTGCGCCCTGAGAGAGTCGCGGAAAGTAGGGGATGCGATCGGGCGAGACTTAATTCTTGCGAGTCGAAGGATGTGATGGCGTTAATCGCGCTACCGTTTGATACCGCGAGATGTCAAACGTTTCATGACAATGGGAAGTGTCATTGCGGTCGACCGAAGCTGCAATCAGCTACAGCTGTCGTACGATGGTCGGTTTACATATATTTTGTTTCGAAAGAGCTGTATGAGAAAGTCGAAGTAAAATCAAACACGATCTCTTCACTCATTACAAAGTATACATTTCAAAGATCAGAATATCTGCAGAATCTGAAGATGTATATTTTTTAAAGACTGTCACTGTCACTGTATGAAAAAATCGAAGTGAAGTCAAACACACGATTTCACTATCAGAATATCTGCAGAATCCGAAGAGGTTCGAAGAGTCTTGCTGCTGATCCCGAAGAACCTAAACTCCACTAAACTCGCGAGTCCTGAGAATAAGGCTGTATTTCTTCTGACGAATTCTGGGAGACGTTTCGCGAGACCTTGAGAAGGGTCAGGACCGAAAAGCCCCGAAAATGGTGCAATCCGCGAATGGAGCAATCGGTCCTGGCACTTGTCCTCGGCGACGGAGTTGATCGTCGTTCACGTGCCGCGGCTACCCGCGACGTCGCTCGCGGTCGCGTGCGTCGAAGAAGAGTCTGAACGCGCTCTTCGGCTGCTGCAGGATGTGCGTGTGCACTGGTCGCGTGGCGGCCGACGTATGTCGTGTGCGGGAGGACGCAGGAACGAGAGACACACGACCGCGTGGTGTATCGTCCGCGACCCCGTTGGTGGGGATGATGATCAGGAGGTGCGCGCCCTCGGGATGGACGACGTTGGAGGGGGCACCGGAATATGGAGGGCCCCGTCGAGGTGAAAAGCGAAACCCCGAGCGCACGCACGTGGAGAGGGAGCGAGAGGGTACCGACTACGTCGTCGTCGCCAAAAGGGGAGACGAAAATCGGGAGGGGCGACTTTCGTGGGAACGTCCGCGGCGACTCGTGTGCGAGAGCGTGCGAGCGTGGGCCCCCGGATTCTGCGTTGCTCTCGGTCAAGGAGACCGAGAGCTGGAGGAAGGGCGATCTTCGCCGGCCCGAGCGGATATGCCAGAAGAAAGGAGCCGGAAACTGCTCTTTTCCCGTCCCGTGTGAATTCCTTTTGCTCCTATCGATGTGTTATCGTTTCTGTTATTATATATATAGGATATATCTCGTTTTTATTTATATATTTCATCATTTATTTCGAATAATTTTTATATAAAAGATTATATGTATGTCGCGTAAAATATGTTTCTTCGACGCGTTTTCTTATGTATTTATTATTTATTTCTCCATCTCCAATATATATTGATGCAAGTTTATAGAATTAAGATGCAATCCTATTTTTACAATTTTCGAAATCTATAATTTTCTAAATTAACAAATATTAATAATAAAGCAATGTCTATTGCAAATAATATAACATATTAAAATCCTAATTTTATAAACTTGTATCAATAAGTACTAATAAAGGAGCACAATGTTGGAAATGAAATAAATATATAAATAATTATTTTAAAGTGTAATTTGCAATTGGAGGGTCCGCCATCATATTTGTTTACTCGAGAATGAGTAATACAACTGAAAGATTCGGCAAGACAATCAGTTCTTTCCCTCAAAGTGCTACCGCACCATACCATGAAATCACTCTGGTGCCACCCTCGCGAGAGCCACCACCTCCCTTCGCTTTCGCACGCTTGTGCGTACGTTGCGGAGACGTTCACGCGTGTGTCGGGAGTGCGGAAGGGCCGTTTGGGGAACGTTCGCACAGGGAGAGGGAGTGCGATCACGATAAAGTTCACACAGGAATCGTACGCGGCACGCGCTCACATGATTATCGGCGCCTGGGAACGGAGCTGACTAATCGTATCGTTAACTTTTCAGCGGAGGCGGACCGATTACGTGAAATCGACGGCAATGAAATTGAAAAAGCTGCTCCGAGAATATTAAATTGTCTAAAAAAAGTAGCAGACGTATCATTTGTTTTTTAATTTTTTTTCTTTTGTTAAAAAATTAGCTCAGCGTCCCCTTTATATATTTTGATCATGAAATAGCTGAAGAAGCTGTTTTCAATCTTGGAAACCCGCAGTAAACCTTCGCTGAACAGAGTGTCTGAAAATTACTAGCATAAAATATAGTATATATAATAACATTCTACTTTTTATAACATACATCCGATACTGCACAAGTTTCGAAAAATTCCGGAGATCTTACGAAGAGAGTGATCAGCTTCTCTTTTATATATTTTGATCAAGAAATAGCTGAAGAAGCTGTTTCCAATCTTGCAAGCCCGCAGTAAGCCTTCGTTGAAGAGTGTCTGAGAATTACCGGCATAAAATATAGTGTAAATAATAACATTCAAATTTTTATAACAAATGACAAATTTCGAAAAATTCCGAGGATCTTTCGTGGATCCTTTTAAGAGAAAGAAACTCGAGTCTCGTGAATAGGAATGAAGTAGGTGAACGCAGGGCGAAACGGCGTGTCTTGTATTAAGCTCGATGAAGAGATTGGCTTATTTTCCTGACGCATTAAGAGGCAATTGCATGCAGGGCAGGCGATGAAAACGGCACGACGACGATCATCGCAGCGGGTATCGCGAAACGTGTACCGCGGTCGCGTGCAACACACGTCCAGCACACGTCATCACGCGATCAAGGGCGCGAGATGGGGTGAAAAAAGAGAGTGAAAGAGAAAAGAACAGGGACACACAGAGTGGATCGCGTGCCTGTTTTTCTCTTTTTTTTCTACACCTCTCGCCGCCGAGATCGGCTATTCTTCGTCGCTCCGAATTCACGAGAGAGCCCCACCCCACGGATAGTCCTTATTCCGCATTATGTAATATCTTCCCGCGGACCTTGCGTGCCTTTTGATGCCTCCCGGATAGAGGCACAGGAGGGTGCCCGGTTCCCATAGGTATATATATCGCTCTTTCGGCTCGGAATCCTGCGTAAAGGGATGATGCGAACCCAAACAATCGGGATTCTGTGTCTAAGAAGAAGAGAGAAAATCGTGCGCACCCTCGAATTAAATAATTAAATAACTTTGTATGCATTTTTATAAAATTTTTGTATTTCATTGTTTTACTATATTTAATTACTACTTTGCTGTTTCAGATTTTTAAATCATTCCGGACGAGTGTTCTGCATTGCGGTCGAATCGATTGCGCTCTCAGTCGAATAATGCAGTCAAAGTCGATACGCCGAAACACCGCTGACATTCGTCAGTATTTAAAAAAAAAAAATCGTCTGACTCGGAAGAAAGGGACAATGCGCGTCTGAGTCACCGGGCCATTAAGCATTGTGCAGGTTACGATATCAATGACTTAGATCGTTCCGTATTACGAACCGTGAGTAGGGCCAAAGTATCCGGCTTCCGGTCCGCACGCGACTTCTGCACGTGAAGACACGTGGCGCAAATCGAGGCGTTTGCATATATGCACGTATACACACGCATGTGCATCAAGAAGTGCATATCTGCGTCGATGTTCTTCAATATCCGCTTTTTTTATATTTTTCTATAAAGTCATTATTTGCATTCTGTCGATAAAGTATAAAGCTATATTTCTCTGACATCGTCACAATGAGTTTAGAATTTTGACAGAATATATTTTTTCTTTGAGATCTAAATCTTTTTACAGATAGAAGAAGAAGGCTTTTTAATTTCGAAATGCCATCCATCTTTATATATTGAGTAAATAAAAAAATAATCCCTTCGATGTTCTTCAATATTCGCTTTTTTCTATTTTTCTATATAAATTCATTATTTGCATTCTGTTAATAAAGTATGAAGCTATATTTCTCTGACATCGTCGCAATAAGTTTAGAATTTTGACAAAATATATTTTTTCTTTGGGATCTAAATCTTTTTGCAGATAGAAGAAGAAGGCTTTTTAATTTAGAAATGCCATACATCTTTATATATCGAGTAAATAAAAAAATAATAAAACTCCGATGTCTCTCTCCCCCTTAATTTTTGCATTTTGCAATTCCGGGGAATCGGCCGTATCTGTCGTTTCCGACGCGGAAAGCCCGGGTACTTTCTATCGGCAAATATTTATTCATAATTTCGTTTCAATCATGCATATATATACGCGCTGATGTCGAGTGGATTTAGCCGCTGGTCAGTCCATCTTCTGGACAAACAACGCGAGCGGGAGGAGTAAGGATACCCTGGCGTCACATATAGACACACACGGGCGTATCCCCATGCGTAAAGCAAACACGCATAAAATTACGTATTCGTGCGGTTCGCGTATCAGTCCGCGACCAAATGTATTCTTAGAAAAACACGAAACACGATTGACGAGGGATGGGTCTATCTCGCGATACAATTTGCCGGACCGTGGTCGATCATGATTGCAACAATATCGGAACCTCGTATCGCCCGAAGTCCTTTCTCGCCTCCACTCTCTTTTTTTTTTATTATCTGGAATCTAGAATAATAGGAAAAAATTATATCGCCTTTTTTACTTTATTGATTTTCTTAAAATTTTGTTTATAATTAAATTTGAACTTTTTATGCATTATAATATAACGAGTGCGATAGAAGAAATTTACTTTTCAATGATTATTAGATTTTTTGACATTTCTTAATGCATTAATTTTTGTTAGTGTTATTTATACAAACTTTTTTTAATTATGCATTCATCATTGCACTTCCATATACTTTGCTGCACTCTTATATTATTTCGATATAAAATATGCCATTTTGACATTTTCCTGGGGAGAAATTTCTTGTATAAAAAAAAAGGAGAATTGTCAAATGTCAAATGTATCTTCTCTCTCGAAGTTTTTCGAAAAAAAAATAAAAATTGTTGCATCTCGTTCAAGTGCATCGATGCGATATCCGCTCGAATGCAACTCGCATCTTCTTTCGTACCGGACGGACGAGTAACAAAAGTTAACGACAAGGCGGTGGTCACTCACACCCCCCGATCAACCGGCGACTTGACCATCGACAGTTGGCGGCGACAATCGTCCGATAATTGGTAGACATTGTTGGACGCACGCATTATTTGGCACGCACCCGAAGCCCTGGACGTAAAGCACGACCGGCCGTTCTGCTTTACGATTTGTTGACCGCTGTCGCGATCGTGACACGGCCGATCGGAAATATGAATTTATCGCCGATCACGTTACGACGATGACGACTCGAATAGTGTATCGATTATGACGTGTTGTGCATTAACCGCCCCGTGTACTTCAGCTTCCGTGTTTGCCCTCGTAAATCTGATCGGGATGACTGGATGGATGCTGCGCCGCATCATGTGCATTGTCTTTATTACAATTTCATCTCGTAAAATCGGTAGAATCTGAATTATCGTAGATATCTAGAAATAAGAATGCATTTCTCATTTATATTTTGCTTCACAAATTTTAGGTATTTATTTTTACCCCGATATCATCTCATATATATACATATATAGATGCCTTTTTCTTGTATTTTATATAATTGCATTTTCTCATATTATTTATTATATCTATTTATTTTTCAATCAATTTCTTGAAATTGTTAATCAAAATAATGACTTTAACAATTTCAAGAAATTGATTTAAAAACAAATGAATAAATAATATAATATATGAGAAATTGCATTAATAAAATACAAAAAAGGTATCTATGTATATGAGATGAGAGGGTAAAAATTAATACATAAAATTTGCGGAATAAAATATAAACGCGAAATGCATTTTTATTTTTATTCTATAAAATTGGTACGTAAAATAAGATTGGACAATACGAGTGAGAGACACATCTTTGTTTCCCGATTAAAGCTGCATAGGGTGGCGGGATCTTTCTGATTTCACCGAATCATTCTTTCTATCACCATCTGTGTCCCTTGCACCCTTAGAAAGATTAATCCACCGCCAATAAGTCACATCCGCTTAACAGCATTACATTGAATTAATTGGATTCGATTACTACACTTGATTCTAAGATAAAATTTCGATCAAATTATATTCTTCTAAAAACCACACATTCGTGCATATGTAATTAAAATAAAAAATATAAATTTAAAACTTTTGGCAAATTTTACATTTTACAGATCACATATTTCTGATGTATTTCTCATACTGCTATACTCGGAAATATATACACGAGCATGCTATAAATTTCCGTTTTAAAGCGAGGCAGAGCAAAAGTGTATCGTACGATTCACGGTCCATTTGCTGCACTATTCGAGTTCCCACCATAATAAGAAGAACGCGTGCGATTTTCGGCAAAAAAATATACATTTGGGGAAAATAACGCGACACTTTCTTTCTTCCTCTCTCGATGCGGATTGAATTTAAATATGCGCGTCGGGAATTCGCGCACCCTAAAATTACATCCCCATTTAAAAGTCGCCCCCAATCGTCATAGCGATTCGCCGCGCTCCAGGGCGGTTCAATTGCAAACAAGTGCCGATGTGTACGCTCGTATATTAAACCATTTTTTCGACCGCGATTTTGAAAGGTGACAGCTGTCAGACGGAAGAACTTGACAGACCGAAACCGCGCGAACCGGACACGAGCAGCGGTTCATTAAGCGATGCACTTCCCCGGACTTTTTTTCGGCGTGTATTACGTACAATAAGACCTCGACAATTGTGACGTGTATAACATATGAAAGATTCACAAGAGTATTCTAATCCCGGTTGAAGTTAAAATAAATATGAGTAAAGATTCGTCTCTTTCTCTCCTGTTATTTGATATTTATTTAATTGATTATTAGTATTATTAAAACGCGATGTATTTGCTTAATTTGATATTATTTTATGTTAACCTGAAAGCAGTGTAAAATATTTATTTTTGTATAATAATAGATTGTTAATAGTTGGAGAATGCTTTTTGCTCTGTGTGCGCAAGCATGTATGTTATTGAAAAACTATATCTTTTATGATCGCTTGCAGAATCTTTGTTCTCTTTTTTTTTTATTACAGTAATGCCATTTTAAAGTTAATCAATGAAAATGTCACTGATTACAGCATAGTGACAATATAATATAATATTATAATGTAAGACGCATTTTTTGAAATATCACCGAATCAGATATCTCTATTATTAATTGATTTTTTCAGTGAAATTGCATCGATAACTGTTTAAAAAGAATATTGCAGTGATTTTCGACGATGCAGACATATCGAGACGAAGAGGACATCATCGCTGCCGATGATCAACCGATTGTATCATCTCCCGGGAGTTCGGAAAATAAAAACGATCGATCACCGTCTCAAATTTTACAATATCACGCCGCACTGCGCGAATTAAGATATATGATCGATGACTTTCCAATCGCTACTATGCATTGTTCGGTTCTAAAGGGCGCTATTCGTAGGTCTCGTTACGTTCGATGTAATTTCCTGACCGATTAAAACGACACATGCTGCACCCGCATTGCATTATGTAGAAGTCTGCGGTTATTTTATGCGAAAGTTTGTGCACGCAAGGTGTGCTCTTTTTTCCATGTTTTTTGTATTATATATATATAATATTGTGCAGTAATATTTTTTAAATTTATTTATAAAAAACATTTTTATAATATATTTCGTATAATTACATTGCAAAATATATATAAATTAAATAAAAAGGAAATTTTGTGAATATCCACACTTTTAAACTTTGCAATAAATTTTTCTAGAATTTCCGTAATATAGGTTGCCTTATTTTGTTATTGTATATATATATATATATATATATATATATATATATATATATATCTATATTTAAGTTATTTAAAGCGTCATCCACTTTATTATTTCCAAAATCATCTTGTTACAAAATGTTATAATTACTACAAAAATACAAAAAAAAAAAATAAAGCAGACATACGCGTATATACGTATATATGTATATATATTCTATAATATATGTACTATAATTTTAATATATTTCATTAATTTACAGGTAAATAATACTAGTAATGCAATATTATGCGTTTTTAATATCCTCGATAATTCATCTAAGTTATTAGATTATATTTTTGCGAAGAGATAACTATAAGGTTAAGGAGCAATATGTGTCATTACGTGTTTTTTCAATGCTTGAAAATGCATTTGAGTTAATAGGGCATACCTTGCAAAGAAGTAGTGCAGCAATATGTATCTTCAATGCTCGAAAATTTATTTGAGGTAATAGGAAAACATATTTTGCAAAGAGGTATAATGCAGCAATGTGTCTTTTCACTACTCGAAAATTCAACTGAGGTAATAGGAAACTAGAATTTGTAAAGAGGTCGCTACCAGGAAAAGGTGAAATCAATATATTATTGACGGTCGGTATATTATCGATGGTTGGTAAGTTACAAACCTCGATATAATTTACCGACTCTCAATATTGACCTAATCTTACTCTGACGGAACTTTTAAAGTTAGTGACTTTAGTTGACGATTTGACGTATAGAATATTATTGTATTGAAAATGAAAAATTTATCCATGTAAATTATTAATAATGTACATTAAATTTTAGTAGTAATATCCCAGATAGCCACAGTAATTATTATGACATCATTCTGATGGCAAATGATGCATTTTGACATCAAAATGATGTCATAATAATTACTGTGGCTATCTGGGATCTTACCAGGAATTGATAATTTGTTTCTTTACATTATAATTATTATAAATGCCAGCATTCGCAGGTTTTAGAGACTTCTCTGTAGACAAATTCAATTCTACAGCTTCTTCTAAAGAGTATAGTGCTTTCCTCAAATAATTAATTTATTAATATTAAAATAAACTATTAATATTGAACAAACAAAAAAAAACAAAAATGCTAATTACTATATAATTATTAGAAATGTCAAGAAATAATATGCAAAAGTGAAACGTCAATGCTGGGCTGGCAATTCACAAAACATGTTCTAATAAGGAGAATGATATGTTATCCGGAAATTGTTTCTTCAACTGGAGACAAAGACTAAATTATATATGTATATATATATATATATATATATATATATATATATATATATATATATGTATATTTTGGGAAATCAAATGTCAAAATCAAATGTCAAATAGACATCGAAATTTTTTGCTACTTGTTTCTCATTTATAGATGTAACAATAACTGTTTGCCTTTTATTTTCTTCTCTGTTTTCTTTGCTTCAGTTTTTTCATCCATCGCTGCATATGCTTTTTCTGTATTTTTCTTTTTTTTTTGTTTAGATCATCTAAACAGAATCTAAACACAAAATTAAAAATACAGGAAAAGCGTATTTGTGGAATTTCTGCTTCTCCATTTTCTTGAACTTCAGGAATTATTGTCTCCTCTTGAGCATCGATTATTATCTTCTGTTTCAATGTTACGTAAATATAAGCACATCATCAGAATTTTTTAAAATTTCTAAATTTTATATCGTTTAACTCAATAGATTAATAAAAACTCGAACTAGCACATCATCAGCCTCGCTGCAGGCACCCAGGTGGATTCTCCTCGTGGACGACTTCTCCGTTGTAGGCGACACTCTCGACTTGACCCTTGGTCTCACCTCTTCGCTTCCTGATGACCGGCGTCTTGACGATGATATTCAGCTATATAGCTTATCTTTGCTCGCCTTATTGACACGTGTCTTTTTTCGAGTAAGCAGGATATGCGCAGGTGAAGACCATCGCCAAGGCGCCGGTCGCCAGGAAGCGAAAAGTATGAAACAAAGGTACCATGTCGAGAGTAATGCGGCAATGAATTAACGTAGCTGGGACTCGGGAACAAAAAGGACGTCATCCCCGCGGAAGACGCCTGACTTCGCCGCGGTTTTACTCTTCTTCGGCGGAATCACGTTGCCATTCGCCGCGGCCTGTTTCATCTGCTTACGCGGTGTCATTTTTTGACCTCGACGTGGATCTCTGGTCAACTATATATGTAATATTTTCGTTAAAACTACGGATGAGAAAATTGGAAATCGGGACGCAAAATAAGACCACGTGCACGCTTTTTTATCTCGTAATCCCGCGCGAGAATCACATCAGTTGGCTTACCTTTTTTTCGCTTATATAAGGATGCTTTTAGGTACGTCCTACGTCGGTAGCAACTGCGCCCTCAAGGAAGATATCTTCTGGAAGAGATTTCGATCCAGGAAGCTCGGAGAATTTTCGATAACTACCAGTACTGCTAGCAGACTGGCGGTTACGAGGTCATCTTCTTCCCCTCTTTTTCTGATATCTGTTTATGTTTGTTTCTCAACTAGGAAGTTCTGTTTATCTCGAAATAATCGTGATAAACAGGACTTTAATCGCACGATCCCGAAAATCGAAGGATGATCTTGAAAAATGAGCGATTAATGTCGCGCGAAAATATCGTGTAAGAAATTGTGGAAAAATTAATTTTAAAGTATATGAATGTGCATATTTACAAAATTTTCTTTTAATTTCAATTTATATTTTGCAATGTATTATAAAAAGTATATTATAAAAAATGTGTTTTTAAAAATAAACTTATATATCGTTAATTTATCGTAAATATTATATATCGTGTAATACTTAATAACGTAGAGAATTTAGCGAAAAAGAACAAATATGAATGTTTAAATGGAATGTTGAGAGTTTATTGCAAACGTTTTTTTTTCTGCATAAGTTACAATAATTACCATATATATTATCAAATATATTAGTTCATACAAAATAATAACAATGTTTGTTAGCTGCGACGTTTCTACAATATAGCTTGCGATCCACGCCACGATGTGATAGTATGATGGCCCGTCGAATAATTATCTCCGCCCTGAAATATATAAATCGATACGTCAAAATAATCTATTATATTTAACTCAAAAATTACAATATTATTTTATATATATATATATATATATAACAAAGTTCAATTTGAAAAATTGTGTCGTATATTCTTACCTGAGTAAGCATTAGCAATTCGTCCTGCGTGTCGACAATTTTAACGGGGAACGGAGACCCTGGCACCAGGACACCAGCCCAACGAACTTCCACTCTGTAATCCCCGGGTTCCGTAGGATCATATCGGCAGAGAATGATTCGGTCCTTTTGAGTCTCTCGCTGCATCTCCACTCTGAACGCTCCTTTAGGTCCTCGTACTCTTACCGTGAGCTGACCAGCTCCGGCGCCTCGCGTGTCGCAAATAAATCGCGACTGGAAAGTCGCCAGCACACCATGTTCGATTCCCGGTCCGTAAACGCGAACCTGATATAATTTCATTAAATTAATTTAATTAAAATTTATTAAATTTTTTGATGTCATATATAATGATCTTAATACATTAATTTTTTTATTAAATTGAAAAGAATTATTCTGATTTCACAAATTCAGAATTTATGTATCATTCTTATTGGATATTTCTTTTTAGAAAATTTTCACGCTTAGACGTTAGATGTACCTTTGAAGCATCCGGAGCTCCGGAGACTCGCAACGTAAACGGAGAACCGGGAACGTGTTCTCCAGCGTATTTAATCGTTAGCGCGTGCCGACCTGCCTCTTGTGGTTTCACATTCAACGTGAAAGTGGCATCGCCGTGATCATACAGCTCGCAGTAGGCTACTTTGTGTGGTCCGACGCAATGCGCCGTTAACTCGCCTGTGAAACAAGATATTATAAATAAAAAATAACCGGAAGCAATAAATACTTATCCAAGCATGAAGCAGATTTCTACCTGGCCCAGCTCTTCGAGTATCGATGAAACTTCGTATCTCTTGACCGACGATACCGTGCTTCAATCCATCTCCGGAACAGATGACTCTAGATGCGTCAGCCGCGCTCGTGACGTTAATTTGCAATGGGCAGCCCTTTAATTGTCTTCCGTTCCACGACACAGTCATCAAGAGAGGATCCGGGGTTAATGGGATATAACTTGCACGATAAACGCTGTCTCCTGCGTACGTATACAAAAGGTGTTTAGAGTCGTATTCTAACTCATATGTCTAGATTTATTATATATATAATTAATATTTTGCTTAAAAATAAGTATATATTTTTTTACCTAAATGTTGTAACATAACGTTGAGTTCGCTAGTAGGCGAGAATAATTGTACTTTCGGAGTTCCGTTTCCGGCTTGAGAACCGTCTATGGTGAAACTAACTTCCTCACCGCACTTGGCCGACGTCAATCCTCGTCCTTTGAGCAATACTCGACTTGAATCCTGGACCGGTGGCTAGACAGAATGGACAGAAAATAATTATATAACGATAGAGTTATCGAAAGCGCAATTTTGGAATTTAATCTGGCAATGAGTGATGAAAAACCTCCATATCCTGCACGACCGCGAGTTTCGGTGCACCGGGAAACGGTGTACCATTGAAGAGTAATTCTAGACGATGTTCACCGCTGCTTATCTGTGGCGGGACGAGCTTCAGTCTGTTGCTAGACGTCATTTCGAAAGAGAGAGGGTGATCGCCGATAATTCCGTTAATTTCACCGGGTCCAGCCTCCGCAGTATCGAAGCTGATTTTGTTCGAAGGATGCACTTTTAATCGTCCGATATCATCGCACACAGCGGACCAGCCACCTGTACACAAAATCATCATGAATTTGTATTGTAAAATATTTTGTGGCGTATTTTAATCCAAATGCTTTATTTTTATTTACCGATAACACGAAGATTCCGCGTGTCTATGATCTTCGGATGCCATGGAGATCCCGGCAGCTGCTGTCCGGCTGAGACGACTCTCACGTCGAACACTCCGACCTCAGCCGGTACGTAAGACACATTCCAGGTACCTGGATTAGCGCCTGCCTCGATAGTAGCCTTAGCAACACTGTCTGGTCCATCCACCTGGATACATGAAATTAAGTTAACAAAAATTCTACACTTTCATTGATGAAGCAGCAGCTTCCTTATCATGTCGTATATAAATATACCTGGACCGCTGGCGGACTTCTCGTACCGGTGACGATAAAGTGCGTCGGTTTACCCACGTGACCGCTCAGCAATCCTTCACCTTTGGCGCGAGCTTGTCCGGCCGAATCAACGGTGCATATGACTGGACTTCCAGGTACGGAGCATCCGCCTATCATAATAAAATTAAAAATATGAAAGATTTGAGATTCCTTTCCGATATAAAGAACAAAAAACTTGTCTCCTCCTTATGTCTAAAGATAATTACCATATGTGACGTTGATCATATAAGTGCCAGGTACACTGGGTGAGAATTCGATCATCTCGGCGCCGTCGTTGAGCGGAGTGACTTGCAGCGGGATCTCCTGGCCCGATGGACTCGTCGCCGTCACGTCCAAATCAGCCATGCCGGCGTCGCCTTTCATCACTATATAACAACACACAAAATTATATACAATCGCCGTGACTTTTCCTCCTCGACAACGCGGTCTTCAAGCGTGTATCGTGACTGTGTTCGCTCGAGCCATGCGAGTGAAGCGAGAATTGAAAGTAGTCTAAGTTTATTTGAGCTACCCGTTGCAATTACATTCTAAGCGCGGCCTTGAAACACGTCGTACAGTTATGGTGCACTAGAAAAGGCTCGTTACTTTCTCCCGCCTATGTGAGTATGTCGACATATTTACATAAATACGGGATACATTTATGCTACTCGAATAAACGCGGCATTATGCGCGCCAAGCGATTACTTGGTAATTAACACAGTTCTTCGGTCAGCTCAGATTGCAACTTGATTTCGATCGCAGCACTTGTATCTGGGTCACATTCGTACTTTCTTCGCGCGTGAAAACGATCTTGTTCGCAAGTGACAAAAAATAAACAAATTGTTGTAAATAAATTACATGGAAAACTGAATATTTATATATAAAAAAATATCTTTTACTCGGAAATTGTTATAGCTATTTAAAACTTTCTTTCATGTCAGTTCTATATATGTTTAATTTACTTTTCTTCAGCATTGTGTTCTTGATTTATTTTGCGCAAAAAATCGCACGTGAGAAACTGTTACTCACATTACACACTATAATTATTACTTACGTTTAAATGCGATGTGATCGTGAACTGAAATCGTCATGGGACCCAACTCCTGAAGTTTCACCTTAGAAGCATCAAAAGCCTGGCAAAAGAATGGCGAACCCAACACTGGTTTTGCACCGTGAAGCACGTCGATTTTATATGTGCCTAGGCAAAGAGAAAATTCAATAATAATTTTATTTCGCAAAGTACCTTATTACGTAACAAAATCTTTTCTAATCTTACCAACGCCATTCGTTGTAAATTCGGCGAGTAGATTGCCATCGCGATGCTGATAACAACGTACGGGGACGGCGTTACCCTGAGGACCGCTGATAACGACATCGAATTCTTTGCCAGGACGTCCGAGAGTTTCGATAGTGAAGGATGTCACCTTCCCAACACACGATTGATACAGACCCAATCCTGTCGCAGTCACTTCTCGTCCTCCAGTAGGACCACGTACTGTCACATCCAAAGGACTGCCTGCAGATATTATAAAAGTAAATTCAGATATTTCCTAATACATGCGTTCATTATATGTTTAATTATATAAAAATCTTAAATAATATATATGATATATATAATTAAATATATATTATATATATTATACAATTATATATATTAAAATACACTAATACATTTAATAACATATAATATGTAATTATATAACATATAATTAAATATTATATAATTATATATAATTTTCGAAGGTGTTAATGATACTTTAGTACAATACAAATAATTTCTTTGATAAAATAAGATACGGTACCAGGTATATGAACTTCGTTGTATTTTATGTGAACTTTGTGAGGTGCTGCGCGTGTTGGATGGAATATGATTTCGTAAACGCCATTCTCTCCTTCTCTCACTAGACTGTCAACATCCGCACCGCCCGCACGTACGTTGACCGATAATTTTCCGGGACCAGCTTCCTTCGACGCGATAACTATACAAGGAAGAAATATGTCAAACATATTTTTATATATACTTTTCTACATACATCAATATAGTTAGTACACTAAGCGTTATAATTCAAACTTATATACATATCCGAATAATTACCTAAAATAGTTCCGGGTCGATGACAAACCGCATCTGTTATTTCTTTGATGGAAACTTTGCCAGGATCGAAAGCTTGCAGCGTTTGTGAACTGACCATCTTGTGCCCGTCATTGAATATTATACTGTACGTTCCCACTTGTCGTGTTCGAACTTCCACACGATATAAACTGGACGATAACTTCGTCAACGTGCAAGGAATGATTATTCCGTCTGGACCTGAATCATAATATAAAATATATATAATATAAGAAAATACAAGAATATAAAGAAGCATAATAATATTGAAAAAAAAAAAAAAAAGTATCCAATTTAAATTGTAAGTATCTGATAATCAATGTTTAGATAAATAATTTACCAGTTACTTCCGCTGCTACAGGACCATTCAAGTCGGACATGTCCAGATCTATGTAAGCCGTATTACCGACTCGAATCATCGACGGACCATGTAACATGCTGCTAACCACGGGACATTTAAATGGACTCCCTAGTGTAAACGCATCAGTATTATAAATATCCATTATTTTTCAAGTCGGTTTTTGAAAATTGATTATTGCAAAAATTGTTCGCATACAAACCTGGCACGTTGTCGTCATTGAAACTGATATTAACGTAGTGCGCGCTTGTTGTTTGTGGCACGAATGTAACGTCATATAGTCCACGTGCGCAGGCCACCACTTCGGCTTTAACGGTATTATTTTCCGTGCTCACGACCAGTTCTAGCGTTCCCTCGCCGGCTTCCGCGGCGTCGACGGTAAACGTAGTCGCCTGACCTAATAACGCTTCCGTAAGGCCAGATACGTGCACCTGCAGCCATTACATCCAACGTTACAATCGACATCGAGAAATTCTAACGTTTTGATATGTCATTAGCAACTTACCTTAGTCACATCGTAAATATTGCAAGCAAACGGAGAGCCTTTAATGGATTCGCCGTCTATCAGAACGCTGATGTTGTGTCTGCCGACTTCCGTGGGTACGAAACTTACGTTGTACTTGCCGTCGACGGGTTCGATGGTGATAGGTAGGGCGATGCCCGACGGTGGCGTCGCGATAATGTCGCAATTCGTGGACGGAGTCTGCGGATCCACATTGAAGGATACCAGTCGCTTCACCGCACCCATCTTCAGATTGTGACCACTGATTACTGTTTGGCCGGCACCTACTACTTTACAGCTGAACGGTGAACCTAAACATTTGGACGAAACATTAATATAAAAAATTGATAAACTGAAATCGTGCGATTAGAGAAACTTTATTCATACCTGGAACCGGTTCTCCATTGAAACGGACACTGAGACTATGTACAGCGGCTTCTTGTGGCTTAAAATTGACCCTAAATTTTGCATTACCCTCGCTTTGCACGTAATTCGGAACATTCTTGCCGTTTACCGCTACTATAATTTCCAAATTTCCAGCTCCTGCTTGACTGGCGTTAACTAGAACAACAAATAAAAGTTATATATTTTGCATAATAATAATTCCTACATTAAATTGTGAAAAAATGATCTTACTGCTGAAGAACACCGGTTTGCCGACGACTCCGCTATTTATATCCGTTACTTTGACTTTGTCAGCGTTATAAGCCTTGACAAGGAACGGGCTGCCTTCCACATGCGATCCGCTGAGCTTTACCTCGACGCTGTGATCACCTATATTGCATCATTTAAAAAATTATAACGATTTTCTCGATTATATTTTCATTTAAATTAAGTATACACACCAACATCCTTTGGAGTAAATCCTGCGGTGTAGACACCGTGGCTGTTTTGCTTGATGTGTACAGATAAACTTTCTCTAGTAGGTGAGAGCACCTCGACGATGGGCGAACCGAGAGACGCGTCGGCTTCTATTGTAAAGGTCGCGACACGATTCACAGATACTTTCTCAAGTCCCTCGGTTATTAGCACTTTTGCCGTATCGCTGACCTAAATAAATCATTTCAATAGAATTTTTACATCTGGATTTTTTTATTATACAACGTGTAATAATTATTAGATTATCACGTAAATCTATATAACAAAAAATAAGATACCTGACAACTAAACGGGCTACCAGGCACATCCTCCCCGTTGAATCGCAAGTCCACCGTGTGCACGATCGGTTCTCGAGGTGTGAACGAGATCGCATACGTGTGAGGACCTTGCGCCTGAGCCGACGTCGGTACTCGTCCCCCGTTGACGGTGACTTCCAGATTACCCGGTCCCGCCTGGCTGGTCTCGACTAGAGACGAAGTAAAATGAGATTTAGCCCAAGTGTTTTAAAAGAATAAGGATATAAATTAAAAGATACAATGAAAGCGTACCCAGGAAAGTCACGGGCAATCCGATGACACCGCGTTTGGCATCCTTCACCTTTATCGCAGCGACATCGTACACCTTACAGCTGAACGGGCTACCGGCCACCGGAATGTTCCGGTAGCTGACCGATATTCGGTGCTCGCCGACAACTCTCGGTGTGAATGCGACGCTGCACGTTGTGTCTTTGTTGTCGGTGACCTGAGCAGGTACGGCCTGTCCATTGGGCCCTATCAAGTCCGGCGGGTTAGTCGTTTAATATCATTCGGAGTTAGCCATCTACTTGGGGGGTGGAACACCGGAACGGCCAGCTCGCGAAGTAGCTCGCGCTTTGACGTCCAATCGGCATTTGTTATTAAACTCGTATTAAGCAACATTAAAGAAAGCGGAAATTCTGCGCGTCGGAGATTTATAGCTGCGATAAATAATTGTTACTGCGACTAATAGGAGAAAGCCGTTTATCTCGTCCGTACGTTATTTCTAACTTTAGCTTCAGCTTCAACGCACGCAGAACTAATGTAAGATTATCCTCTAATTCGTTTGTAACATGCTTGGCCGAGCAAAGCAACCGGCAGAGCGAAGATGTATTAAAACATAATTATAATTTATATTCAATGTTGTCAGGTGAAAATAAAAAATCTTATAATAGCTTCCTTCATTTGTCATATAAAACGTTATGCTAATATAAATGTGTATACTAGAGTTAAAAATATATTGGCACACTTGTTAAAAGGCACTGTGCGTTTAAAAATCTCGGTTTAGAGATTGCGATGTAGTATTTCAGTTGAAAGATTTAACAGTTACGTGTAACTTAAAATCAACATATAGCACCGTGAAAATGGCTTTGACATAGGTCAAATAGATTTTGCAAGCACACAAGACAAGTGGGAATGCAATTACGAAATATTAGATATGACTTCCGTAGCTTTCCCACTAATGGAACCCACAAAGTAAGCGTTTGTATAATACTTTTAAGTGGTAACAACAGGTGTGAGACAAATTATGCGAGTAGAAGAGAGTTTAGATAATTAGACTATCCTTATATAATATTTTTAAAAGATTGAGTTAGAAACCCACCACCGTGTGTATGTGTGCATGTGTGTTTCACATTGGTAAGTCCATAAATTAAAATAAGAGCGAGATTAGTTTTTGAGAAGTCTAGTAATGTCGTAGTCTGAAAGCTGGCCGACCTGCAACAAAGAGAGAGAAAATTGCTCTCAAGCTAATAGATTAATGAGACACAGATGAGAATACAATCCTGTACAATTACGTCGACATTCCCGTGACTGATTAAGAACAAACAACTGAGAGAGATATACCTCCGGTATTAAAGAGACAAGGTGAATCAACACATGGATGCTTCTGTGCATTTTTTGTCGTGTCAACATACGTGCGAACAATGAAAATCACTTTTGCGAGCGAGATGAACTCGTGCGAATCGTGCACAACATACATATGAATATTTACCTTCAACATTAACTTCTAAATCTTCCAAGCTACCGGCAACGTTACTGACAGTCAGATAGCTTTGCCGTCCTAATCCAGCGCTGCTCAGTGCCTGCCCACTCACGGTTACGTGGCTGTCGCCACCCACACGTGTCACTATAGGGCAACCAGGCACGGTTTTTTTATTGAAGGCTATATTAATGACGTGCTCGGACGCTTCAAATGGTACAAAGCTAACGGAGAATCGCGCGTTTCCTTGCGGTGTTACTTGCGTCGGTATATTTTGCCCGCGAGCCGATATCGTGATCTCTAAATTTCCTTCACCAGCTTGACTCGCATCGACTGTCGACAATAAGATTGTGTATCAATTAGAATTTCGACATCAATATGCAAGGTGCGTGTTAAAAGAAATATATTCCAATATTTATTTAACTGTCAACACTATTATGTACCGGTAAAGTGGGTCGGTTGACCAACACTGCCTCTAGCTACAGGTCCTATTAGCACATTATCAGCATTGAACGCTTTGGCTAAAAACGGCGTGCCATTTACGGGATAACCGTTGTATTCTACGCTGATTGAATGTACACCCACGTCCCTTGGTATAAATTCGGCGGTGAAGCCGTTACTTACGTCGCCAGTAACTTTGACTGGCAATTCGCTGTTCGGTCCTGAAAGAATAGTTGTTTAAAATATTTATACAATTGGACAATTGGAATTAAACGATTGTTAGACAATTATAAATCAATAATAATTTCATTATTATAACTTGATAGATATATAATATTTTAATATTCCATGAAACTCGAAATATATTGCGCAATTTAAGAATTTATACATAGATTTCAGTTTCTATCAGTCTTATTTATAATAGTAAATGTTTGAAGCATCACTAACCCCTTACGGAAACCGCTAGCTCTGCACTGCCACTTCCGTCAACTCCCATGTGGAAGCTGGCAGGATGATTGACAGGAATTAGTTCTAAATGATTCATACTCAATGTAACTCTGCTCGTGTCAGATACGTTGCAGACAAAGGGACATCCACGTACTGCTTCTCCGTTAAACTTGATGTCGATGTAGTGAGGCTTGGCGATTTCGGGGGTGAAGGATACAAGACAACGACCACCACCCACTACTTGAACATGATTGGGCACTTCTCCCTCATTTATAGAGATTTCTAGTTGGCCTTCTCCCGCAGCGCTGGCATCCACTGTAAACATTCAAAGATTCAAGACACATTCGTAGACACAAGAGTTATATACAATAATATTGTACAATTATTGAGCTACCTCTGAATTGACAGGCGTGGCCAACTACGGCGCTAGGTACGTCAGTAACTTGGATGAGACTACTATTGTACACCTTGGCGACGAGGGGTCCTGCCGGTAGCTTTTGTCCCGCGATGCTGACTTCCACCAGGTGGCTGCCTACTTCAGTTGGTGTAAATTCGACGCGAAACTCGCCGGATCGTCCTGGCTCTTCGTCAATCCTCGCAGAGATGTGTCTCTTTGAGGGTGCTGCAAAATTCATCGAATAAGTTAAGTGTATCAAGTATATTCGCAAATTGTCTGGAAGATCAATTGACAAATCAATTTACACTCACTTATAATCTTGACGTCGATCTCGCTGCTGCTGAAGCCTAGTGCAGACAGCTCGAAGACAGCAGGACTACCAGCAGGAACCAGCCTGATTGAATCACCGATCACTGACATCTTCGGTGCAGGCATGATGCCAACTCGCCAAGGTGACCCTGATGACAATTTGCAATTAAAGTAATAAATTCTGGTGCAAAAAACACATCAGACTCATAAGTAACTATAAATAATTCAAAATACTATTTATTATAACTTTGTTATAGGTAATTAACTGTGTTTTTCACACACAAATTTTATTATTCCACTTTTTATTAATCCCGCCAAATTTCATATTTCCCGCCAAATCGCTTGAAAATATATAGGGACTTTCAACAATTTCCGCCAGCTGTCACTTGTCATCAGTCTTGTCACGCGATTTGACACTTTGCATATGGATGGTTTCTTGCGTCTCACGATTATTTTCGTAAGTAAATAACGTTTTCTAGCTAACACTTCATCATCTTCGCGGTCCTTCGATCGCGATAATAATACACTTTTGTGGTCGACATTAGATCCCCGAAAGTGCAACGTGACTCGCCCTCTAACCTTCTTGCCACGCGCACGACGCGCTGTCAAACCAGCTCTCTTCTCCTGGAAAAAAAATCCACTCGTACGTCCAATTAACTCGCTCCAAGATATGAGTGGCGTCGCGCGAAACGAGTTTGAACCTGCATCGAAACCGGTATGCTAGATCCCGAAGAATGCGATCTTCGAAATTATCTTCGTCGTGGAAAGAAAAGAGAAGAAAAAAAAATCGAGTCTTACGTCGACTCCACTATCGCGCATGACATCACGAGACGGAAACCTGTTGGAATTCGATTCAAATCTCAACAAAGATACTGAAGTATGTCGTCGATTACCTCGGCGAGTCGCAACGACGCGGGAGACCTGGAAAGACGCTGGAAGAACCTAGATTACGAAGAAAAGGGGAAGAGAGGGGAAGTGGGAGGAGCGCGGGTGGATCCAGATTGATCTGGCGATCGAGCGAGGACGCACGAATGACAGATGCACCTGGACGACGCGCATCGATCCTTCAGGATCTACGCCGAGAAGAAGGCGGACGGTCCCACCTTACTCTCGAGGATCGACGACGACCGCGACGATGTCGCCAGCCTCCCGCAGCTGCATCACGTATCCGAACGTGTATATTGGAAGAAGAGAGTCGTCTTCTTCTTCTTCTTGCGGAAGAGAAACCCTGAAGAAGAAGCACGCACTAGAGAAACGCGCACGGAACAACCGGGCGGGGAAGAGACGACCTCGACGACCCGCAGCGAACGCAGGACCTCGCGCGATCCGCGACGAAACGCAACGCGGCGGACGGGACGACGTGCCTGTGTGTTGTGCGCGGCCCACCTCGGCTCGACTCGGGCCCCAGAACCCAGGGCCGTACCATCCTCTCGACCCAACTCGCAAGCGCCCCGTCACCGATACTGTACACCGGAGACGGTCATTCTCACAATTACGCTTGACCTGTATTCCTAGCACATATTCAGCGAGGTATGCGCTTGTGACGCAAGATGTTCATTCAATTTTTTTCTGTCAAAAAAAGTCTCAAGATGGAAATTTTATTAAGTGTACACAGACAACATTTTCTCGTAGAATTTACCCTGAAAATCATGGTAATCGTATAGGATAATATAGTATTGGAAAGAGTTTCTCTGTTTAATATATTTATCGCAATAAAAAATACTAACAATGTACAATGACATATAAAAAAATATGTTCGATTAATTTTGCTATGTACATATTGCGATATGATTACCATGATTTTCAGGATAAATTCCAAGAGACAATTCTCTTCATGCATATATATTCAAATTCATTTTTTTAAAGTTTTGTAATTCTAGGAATCTGATTTCAAAAGACCTGCGATGTGGAGAACAAAAGAGACATTGTTCTGAAGAGATCATCCAAAGTCTTCAGATATATGTTAACTATTTGCAAGAGTGCATCACTTTGCAGCTACCTATTGAAGGGTAACTAAATGAAATTACTAACTAAATGAAATGAAATGAAATTATTTATCATCTAATACGACTGTCCGATTTTAGATTCACCTATTCTCGCGTTGACATTGAAGAAACGAGATTCCTAGAGCGATTATGCTTCAGATTTTTCAGCTGGAAGGGATCAACGATCGACCGATCTCGAATATCGTCACTTTCTCCGCCTGCGATCCATCGTTCAATCATGTTTTTCCACATTATTGGCATACTTTTTATATAAAACATGAAATTCTCGTGCATTCGAAAGTCTACAGGTACACGCACAATGTCTCCGTATATTCATCATTACAGTCTATTTGCGATCCGCAACGCGGAGGAAGAGAAATACTGAAAGAGAGAGAGAGAGAGAGAGAAAGAGAGAGGGGGAAAGGGGCCTTAACCGCGGGGCCTCGACAGAACACGATACATCCGTTTCTCACTCACCCGACCTGCAATCTCGATCTCTCTCGCGGGATATCCGATCCGCGTATTTCGATACCTTCGGGCTGGGACCGTAAATAGAAAATCGGGCACATTTCTCACGAATGAAAAGAGAGACGAGCGTCTTCCTTTTCTCTCTTTCTTTCTCTCATCCTCTTTCGAAAACCGGTCATTAAATTCCAATCCTCTGCAACGATCGCTCAATCATGCGACAATGTATTTTCGACCCTCTCGACTTGATTAATGAATCGATCTTATCTATTGCGCCGCTGATGACTGTTTCGCAGAAAGAACCGGTGGGTAACGGCGAATAACGGCGGCCGGTTGTATTTGCGCTACTTGTACAAGTGCATCTGACACTAGCATAACACATAATTTGCAAGAGGAAGAGCCTAGGACATGCGTGACCTTTCCGCGAGACGCGATTACATACATGAAGACGCTTTGACGTCTGCGAGAGCTCGTCCGCAGCTCTTATGTAACATGCAGCATGTTAATAAACATGTGAGGTCTGCGTGTTTGTCGTAAGAATCGTAATTGCGCTTCTTTGGAGCGTCATGCGATTGCACTCGTACAAGAAGCTGCAAACGTTGTCCTTTATTCAGATGCAAATCGCAGCTGGCGATCGTTGAAGATAAATAGAGAAGATCGGCTGATATAATAAATTAGTCGTCGGGCTCTCTCGATTGATATAATAATAATTTAATTTATTCCAGGTCGTCGTACGAGAATGTGAATATTTCTATTCAGCTGCGGTTTCCCAGGTACCATACATGTTGGTCTCATTCGCGGAGAACAGCTGACGGTCGCACAAAGGACAAGAGTTCCAACAACATCTAATCTAGTTATAGTGTCCTCTTATCGATGAAGGCCTGTCTAGTTTTGGAACAATGGAAACATGGGAAAAGTTTGCCGTGCAAATTTCATTTTTAATTCAAGGTGACCCGCTTTCTGTCGCTTAAATTGAAATGTCGATTATGACATTGGAATATTTTTTTTCTTTCATGCTGAATCGCCCAGGCGTATACGCTACATTCTTTGACGACGAAGAAGTTACGTCGAAGCGACCGTGCACGGTTGAATCGCTGCTGCATTCCCAGACATAACGGGTCGTCCGGCACGCAACCAGCAGATCCAAAATTGTCGAAAACTCCCCGGCCTCACATGCTACACCGAAAGTTCCAAGGTCGTATAGGTGGATAAACCCCGCAAGATTCGCAAATCGCGCACCGTACATTAATTAATTAATACGTAGTTCCGCGGCCGAAACGGAGTCAGTTAACTGTAACCCGAGAGTGAACTAATTAAGGAAATACGGATTTATCGAAGAACAGTTCTTGGAGATAGCATATCTCGAAATAGTTGCGCGTTAAATGAGAGATAAAAATGCGAAAGACATTTTACGAGGTGGTATTTAATATGTTAATCATATGGAGAAGGTATATGTCGAGGTATAATTCGCGAACGATTAAATTCTTCACGTATGCGAACAAGTATATTTCTGATGCGTAGTCGAGTCACAGACGAATGATTGCAGCTGCGATCTTCATTGATTCTAATCATATTATATACACAGCTCTTTATACGTCGATATACAGGGTGTCTAAATCGCAACAAAACAAATTTAATTTCAAGAAGGAAGATCCAAAAATTTTATTTAGCTGATTTAAATTAAATATACAATAATTTCTAAATAGGAAGAAAAGGAATTTTACAATCATATTGATTCGTGAATACAAAAAATTTTGAACGTGTAAAAATTTAAATTAAACTTATATTAGAGAAGAAAATGAAAGCGCTAATTGAATATTTTAAACTGTTTTTTCGAGACATCCTGTATTTCGAGCAAATCAATCAAAACAAATCTCATCGGTCTCGAGTTTCATTCTACATTGCGTAATAGATCGATTATTGTTATTGTTATTGAAACGATCGCAGGGAACTGATGACATTCACATATTGTAATGTAAGCGATTACGCACTTAAGCCAGCTGATTCGAGCGTTGAAATCACCGACAGAAAATCTCGCTTGTCTTTTCCTCGATTTTCCGCCTTAATTTTCTACGAAACGTAAATTAATGGTATTTCGTGCGACAAGTTTCACTATGGAACGATAATTATATATCCCACGCGAATAAAGTGAAAGGGATTTCGAAAAAAGTCGGTGCTAAGATTTATGGATTTATTTAGATTAACCTTATATCGATATTTTTTTTGCTTCGATATTTTTTGGATCCTTGAGCGCGTCGAGATCCTTGAGCGAGAATGACGGGGAAAAATTCGTCTCGGAATAAATCCACATCGCGATCATTCGAGCGAGTCAACTGCACTCGTTTGCGAAGGCATCGGTCGGTTAATTACAAGCGAGATTATGCGCCAAAGTTGCGGCTCATTATCAAAGTGCTTAAGCTAAGATGAAAATCTATGGAACGTGTCGCCGGAAAATTGTCCAACTTTAATCGATCTCTTCAATTTATATTTCGAAATAAAATTCGCGTTTTCACCGATTTGTGCGTTTTCGATTTTATCAATTTATTTAATGGCGCTTTTTTAAATTCGATATCAAAAAAACTGATTCATTTTTTATAGAGAAAGAAAGTCAGTTACTTTTTCAGCTATATTAAGGCGGGCAAAAGCTAATGTACCGCTTAATTATCCCTGTCGAACGTAATTGACTTCTTAATAAAGAGTCGTAAAATTAACGGTGTTAAGCGCGCATCGCGTTATTTATAAGAAATGGCGATCGACACGCGATCTCTTTCTATAATTGCAACCCGGGTGTGCGATTTTCTCTCATCGGTTGTCACGACGTCCGCAGCTTCACGGTCAAGCAGAAGCCTCGCTCAAATACGCAGCGTTATACTTTTATTAAACCCGCGTCACGTTGTGCTACCGATTCCGTACCTGCACTTCTACCTGTCTTACTGATTACATAAAGCGAAAAATTAACGATCCTACTCTTGATTACAGTGATTATGTAAGAAAGTCGGGTCCGGGTTTGGAAATTTAAGTGCGTGTCGCAGCTCGAAAGAATTCGCTCCGCATACATTGCAAGATTAATATTAAGATTGCGCAAGAAAACGTGCGTTTTTTTACATTCGTGTAAATAATTTTTAACTTTTGCATTCCTTTTGCAGCTGTCACGCGACTCTAGAGATCGGAGATAGCCATTTCCTCGTGAGGGATCCGAAATTTTTAATTGATGGAGACCTGGCGTGTTCTACTTGCGTTCTTCAAGTAGTTGCATGACTTTGCAACAAAGATAATCGACCGGTAGGCGAGAGACGCGGGGAAGACTTTCGGAAAAAGTATAAAGCGGAGATAAAGTTGTGTACAAGACAGGCCGAGGAGGAGATCAACGATAACTTTCCTGAACGCGGTACAAGAACACATAAGAGTACATTCCACGTGATTCCTGATCGGCGCGGCTGCACCTTTATGGGGTGTCGCGCGGGAAAACAACCGAGTTCGTTTATTTCTTCGGATCGATGATAACGGTCCGCTTCGCTGTATGATTACGCGAAAGGAAGCAGAACTTAATATAAAATTCTGCGGAATGTAACCGGCAGAATGTAACGACGCAAAGGCGGATGAATATTCCGTTCATGTAAAGGATACCGTACCAAATTAAATAGGATGTAGGCTGTTTTTTTTCATAGTCGTAGCTTATGACTTGTTGGACAAGAGATGTAATAGCATTAGATAAGCTACAACATATGAGAAAAGCTGATCTTACCAAGATTCAATTTTATATGATTAGTACATGAACATTTTTGAACATTTATTAGTACATGAACATTTTTGAACATTTATTAAATCCTAAATGAAATCGAATCCCAGTAAAATCAGCTGATTTTCTCACATGTAATTTATGATTTACTGAACAAAAATGTAAATGTAATAGGCTCAAAGTTAAATAATAGATGGTTACTGATTTACAGCCAGTCAAACATGAAAAACAAAGATTTTGTGAGTTGTTTGACTGGCTGTAACCAACCCAGTAATTATCCAATATTTAGATACTATTACATCTTTTGTTCAGCAGGACATAAGTTACAACATATGAAACAGCCAATATCCTATATATGTATTTGGTGCAGGATCTTACTTTTTTCATAATTATTGAAATTCATGTAATTATTTCTAATTTAATTTATGCATTCGCGTTTCTCGTCAATTTATTTCTCTTTTGTTTTAATAATGTAACTTTAAAGAAATGGAATCGTGTGACTCACAAAGGGCTAATGTAGAAATTATACCGAGACACTAGGTGTTGCACAAGGTATACGACCGCGTGCTGAATTGTGTTTATAGTCACATAGGTAGGTAGATAGAGAGCGGCTGTGCGTATCCTCATTCGTAACCAAATACGTCTGTACGCCGACATAGGTTTCGCAGCCACACCTACGATCGTACACGGTATTCATTACTATGCTCATATTCCATGCGCAATTTCCATAGCGGATGCAAATGAAATATGGACCGAAGGAATGCACCGAAGTGCATTTGGTCCAATTACGCAATACTCGACATACTCTCGTAAATTTCGAAGATCTTCATGTGTGATTTTTTTTTAATAATGAGAGTGATGAGAAAGTTCTTCACGAAGGTTCATGCATGTGTGTATCCGTATTGCGATATTTAGACTCTTCAACTTATTTTTAATTAATCTTCATATTTTAATCTCTCTCTAAAAATTAATTTTAATTATTTCAATTTTTGTTCGATAGTCGGATAGATGCACTCTTATATAAGAGATCACATAGCGACATTATAGGGAAATAATTTGCGTTTACAAAACCTACGTGAAGTATCGAAAGACGCAGAGAGAAGAACTGGTATTCTTCATTTCTCGTCAGCAATGTGCGAGAGGAAAGGGTAGAGATAATAACGTGGTTACTCCGAGAGAGTGTATCGCTACTTCCCTGCGTGAACAACACGCAGTCACGACTGCGGAGAGTGCGCTATACATGGCATCCAAATAATATTATTCGTGCAGTAGCGTAGTTATGTATCCTCTAGTATCTCTACGGATAACATACATACACAACAATTTCACTTTCTCAAAACATTTCTTCCCTTCTCGAAGAGAAGCTTCTAACTTGTCAATAACTGAATAAATTAATAAATATAGATATCAAATATAAATAGATCTAAAAATCATTCAGATTTAACTTTGATTTCAAGTAAATTTTGGATCACGAAAAATTAAATATAAATTAATTACATATTTTTTTCTACTGCGCTCTTCCTGGAAGTTGGATCCTGGATCTCTACACTGTTTTACGATCAAGATACAATAGTGGTAACGCGACTTAAACGGCACGAGAGGAGAGACGGACGTCTCGTCATTTGGTCATTGTGGCTCGCGGCCTCGGAACGGTGGGGTAGCGGCGGAAAAATTAGCTTCGAGCAAGAAGCCGGGACGAAGAAAACGATGACGTCGCATATGGGTCAGTGGGACGTCACGTGAATGCGTGAAATCGCAAGTCAACGACCTGCTCGATGACCCGCTGACTTAGAGACACGCTTGCTTCGCGCGCCTGGGACGCGGATGAACTCGATCACCCTGTGTACACTCCTGTGGATGGCTTCTCGTACGAAGGAAAAGTATGCGAGGCACGAAAAGTAGCATGAAACGCTTAGAGGCACTTATAATTGCATGCATCCTCACACGGCGAGAGGAAAGAAAAACACGCTTCTTCATGGTAAAATCGGATAGAACGGAAATGATTCTTCATAGATATCGCTTTTTTTCGATATTAAGATATTATTTCTGCGTTGAGGATAGTCCAAGAAAGAGTTTGTCTCGCTGGTCGAAGGACCACGTGTGTGTATATATATATATATACACACATACCTATGTCAGCGTTTCTTCAGCGTGTTAAGCAAGATATATACGAGGCGGAGATTTTGCAAGTTTGCGCTGTCTTTGTAGATATTGCAGGGGCCGTTTTTAAAAGTTACCGCGAACCGTGAAGCAGACGCAAAGGAGAATACCGGAAGTTACGACACCTTCCCTCGACCGCGCGATAGTCAACAGGAAATCGAACCGCGCGGAGCTGCCTAACAGTACTAAAGGTCATAAGAAAAATAACGCTTTGTAGCGTAACGTATAGTGAATGATTTCCATGATAAGATCGCAACATATATATATATCTACATTGTGAATTGTGTGCTCGCGCGCGCGTGAGAGAGGAGAAGTATACATTTTACTTATGGTTGATGTGGCGAAGCATGACGGAACTCAAGGTGGATCCGTGCCAATGGCGTACTATTTAGCGAATACTTAGACGTAATACTTTCCTGAATATTGTATAAGCTAACACTTGAAAAATTGAATGCACGTTTTAATTAAATGAGGATAAATGGAAATAATTTAATGTAATATTGATCAATAACTACTCTTGTATATGTAAAGTCCTACGGTAGATCATCGTTCGCGTACTTTTAAACAACATTTCAACGTTGAATGCGCATTCCAGCTTCTTTAATGGTGACGGCAAAGATTATCGTGCATTCCAGGAGATATGTGTGTTCGTGCACGTGCATGCGCCTACGTGGTAGAAATATATTCTAGCGAGGAGAAGCGTCGAAGGTCGCTACCACGTTGGAATTTGACGAAAGAAAGGCGCACGCTAAAAACCGCACCGTGAAAATTAAGATATTCGCGGCGAAATAGCAGAGATAGCGATTGCAAATACCGGATACAAGATAGCGTCGAGTAGAATTACGCGAATGAAACGGGATAAATGTCCGAGTTCTAACGGTGCTCCAATTGTGGAAGGAGAAACTCGCAAACTTCGTTCAAAATAACGGGATACAATTATTTCATGATTCGCGAATAAAATTGCACATTTTTAGAGATTTTTTAAAAGCGCGTTCAAGAGTTTTATTTGTCTTAAGAATTGAGATATATTATACAGAGTGTCTGACATAAAGTGTCACAAACTAAAGATCATCATTTTTGCATGTTCCCAATTTTTGCCATTATATATCTTTATAACTAAACCTTAAATTAAAATTTTATCAACGTAAACTCTATTTGAAATGAATTGGAGAATGTAACTTTGTTAATATTTTGCTTCCAGAAGGCTTAGATGCGAAAAACCCTCTATTTTCAATCGCTTATAACACGAAAATGATTGATGCCTCAATATTTTTACTGAGGAAAAATTTCCAATTAACAAGATCTACTTGTATATTTTCGATATGATGACCTTTGATGTCAGACATCCTGTATAAGTAAATCAGAAATTGACTTACCAGGGATGACTTCCCCGTTGAACGTCATTTCGACCAAGTGCGTAACCGCTTCGTGTGGCACGAACGACGCCAGGAAACGCTGACTACCTAGCGCTCTCACAAAACTCGTAACGTGTCCCCCGTTCACAAGGATCTCCAAGTTTCCCGAGCCGGCTCTCGATCCGTCAACTGATAAAATGTCCTTCATTATCGAATGCACTTAGAGTTTCACAGTCACGCACAGTCGGATACGTACTTTCGAATTCCACCGGCTGGTTCACCACTCCGTTCGGGATGTTCCCAACTTGTATAGCTCGAGCGTTGTACGCTTGCGATCTAAAATTTACGTCATCTAAATTTCCCAATCTTTCAATAAATGTTTAACAGAAGATATAGCAATCCTCTCAATTTAATTTTAGATTTTTTAAACTCATATATATATATTGATATTATATCAGTTTCTGAAAAATATCTCTCTTGTTTAATAAAATTTGCTTCTACGAACCTGAAAGGCGATCCCTTGATGTGCTGACCGTTCACCAGGACCTGGATGACGTGTTCGCCGACCTCTTCGGCGGTGATGGTATACATCAAGCCACGCAGCTTCGATTTCTGTACCGGTACGGTCTTGCCGCTGGGACCTGCGAAAAATACGAAACCGGACGTCATCGTGTATTCGCGACACGCATCATTAACGTCGAAAGTCGCATCGGGATTTACCGGTAACGGTGACGGACACCTTATTGGGATCCACGCCGGAGTTGACGCTGAAAGTGGTCGGCCGATGTACTGGCAGCGTTTCCAGCGCACTTCCGGTGGCGACGGCCGAGCTCGTCGTTCTGCCGGACGACGCGGATACGTAAACGGAACCGCCGTTATTCAAGTATCTGTCGTGCGTCGCGGTACCATCCGTCGTGTCTACGCTCTTGCCGTAGTAGTTGTTCTTGTTCTTCAGGATACCGTGATGACGAGTGGTCGTCTGACCATCGTCGTATTTTTGTCCAGCGCCGTAATCGGGACTTGAAGATTTCTGTACGGATGAGTAACTCGTCGTCGCGGAATGCGTCGACACGTTCTTCGTGATATGACTCTGCCCGTTCTTGTAATTGTTGTTCAGAAAGTTGTTGTTCGGACTGTTATTCTGATTCTCTGCGGTCGGCGAGTTGTTGGTCAGATTCGCTAGGGATTCTAAACTGCCGTACGACAGTAGGGACTTCGTCTTGGCGATCGCGTCCCAGGAATCGCGCCTGGAAGTACTGCCTACCATCGAAGACACCCGTACGTTGCTGCTGGTATCCACGACGCCGTTGTCAATAGATCCACGTTTGCTGAATGATACGTCTTTATCGCTGGTTCTTGGACTGAAGCTGCGATTTACAGGACTCTGGATAGGACTCGTGGTGTTGTGATAAGGACTCGAGCGCGGCGGCGAGTGCGATCTCTTCAGAGATTCCGAATTGTAGATATCTCTGGATTCTTTGATGACGGATCCGATCGGACTCGCATCCGGCGATCGCGATCTATTCAGTGTGCTAGATGAATAAATGTCCTTAGATTCCTTGATAAGGGTAGGACTTTGCAAATTCGACGATTTATGATTATATGCGCTTCTATCGTAAATGCCCTTTGTCTCCTTTAGCACCGATGGACTATGCATGTTCCTCTGTACAGGACTGTGATTGAGATGATTCGGCGAGAGGGTGCGATTCAGTGAGCTGGTGGTGTGGTAGCTCGAGGTGGTGGAATTCTCAGTGATATAATTGCTGGACGCCTTGTAGGTTGGACTAGCCTGATGGATCGGCGAATAACCACGCTGCGTTGGACTGATGGATTTATATACAGTAGACGTATATAACTTCTGGGTTGGACTGGTCCGTTCTGTCGCGGAAATATTTAATCCGTTCATTCGTCGTTCCAGGGAAGACACTTTGGATCGCTCTAGACTGGACGTGGACTCCTTCGATCTTCGAGAACCTTTTTGCGTGCCCACTCGTATAGAGAACGGCGAACCACGCACATCCGAGCCGTTAAAGTACATGTATACCCTGTATTTACCAGCGTCGCCGGGCACAAAGGACACACGGTACTGCATGTGTCCAAAATCCTCTATTCGGTAGGGTATTGACTGCTTGTCGTGGACAATGTCGATGATCACGTCGCCAAGTCCGCCGGTTCCCCGTGCATCGACGATGAACGAGAATGCTTGTCCGGGCATGGCACCATCGGTGTCCAAGAGCTAAACATTTTTAATATCGTTCAATTATTTTCGCAACTGATGATGTCACTTTGATCTAATACGAAAGGGAAACTTATTAATAATGTAGTATCAGTTATATAAAATAAAAATTATATATAACTTCTATAAAAACATAGACTATATAAATATATTTAATATAAATTCATCAATCATACTCTAAAGATGTACCAAGGAAAATTTTTACAGGATAGCACACATTGTTACATATAATTAATTCTTTATCGTTCTAATTATTCTTTTTTAATATTAAATGTATAATTAACATAAATAACAATTGTTAATTATAATAAATAAGATATGTAATCTGATTTTCTGCTCATAAATTATTAATCGCGAATCGATTATATCAATCAAGAATATTGCAATTAACAGAATAATTACAAATTTAGATGGAAAAACGCGCATCTACCTATTAAACTTAACAACATGAATCATATTGTCGATCAAATCATATTACCTTGATTCCATTAGGATCAAACACAAAGCAAGTGAAGGGACCGCCTTGTATGTGATTTCCTTTATGCGTTATTGCAATGCTCCATTCTCCCGTCTCATCGGGCTGGAAGGTTGCCGTATGAACTCCATCCTTCTCCTTGACGGGACACGGCAGGGATCTGCCGGTCGGAGACCACGCGGTCACGTCAATACCATCATGACTAGTTCCTAAACACGAAATTCCAACATATTGAACTTGTCGAAAAGAAATCCTTTTTCGTATTTCTGAAGGTACATACCATAACTATTGACTAGAACTTCGACAATAGATCCTATGGCGCAAGGATCCATACCCGGAGATTTGATTTTCGTTAGAGGTGGCAGAACCCTAAAATAATAGGGGCATCCGTTCACCAGCTCGCCATCGTTGTACACCATAAGCTGAAAAGTGAGAAATAAATTTCAGTAATATGGGGATTTTAAAAGCTCCGAAATTTGAGATGGAAAGATTAAGATCGAATTATATAATAGAATTCTTAAGAATTCGTAGATTTACAGCGCCAATTAAATTTAAAAATTTAAATTTCTTATTTAGATTTAATTATCAGGATAAAGATTTGAATATAATTCCTAATTATCTTATCTTTTAAACAAACCTTGTGCATGCCAATTTCTGTAGGTACAAAGGTGCCTTTGCCATGAACTCCGTTCCACGTAAGTCTGCATTCTACGCGTCCACTGGGACTGATGATTTCACCGCGCACTTCCCGCGCATTTACATCTTTGGTGAGCATCTCTAGCTTGAAGTGTGCCTGCAATTTACAGTGTCTATATTATCAAAATAATATGATTGAAAAGGTAGATATTTTATGGTTGTTTCATTGATTGAACAAGCCACAATTTGAGAGACAAGGCGAGACCAAGATGAAGAAACTGCGACGCAAAGGTAAAAATTCGTGAACGCTGCTTACAATTAACCGCGTAGCGCGGAGATGTAATTAACAAACAATGACTTGACCAACCGGCTGTTGCACTCGGGCGGATGTGCTATCGACGTGCACGGCGATCTGTTGGCTCGCTTGAGGGCGAGGCTTCACCCATTGAAAGTACGCCGCGTACGCCATCACGCCTAAATGCTCCACGTTCTGGTCCGCCATGTCTTTCGCCTTCAAGATCGGCTCCACGCCGAGTTTCTTGCCGCCGTCGACACCTTACAGAAAATATACATCATTCGATTGAGTCAAAGACAGTCAAATTTTACTAATAAAAATAAATCAACTATCATTTTTTAGAAATTTATTGTTAATAAAATTTATTTAATTTTATATATTATATATATAAATATATATAATTTATAAATAAATGTATAAATATATAGTATATATATAATATGTATTAATTACTGTTTATATTATGTTGCACACGATTTTTTAGACTGGACATGCTATTTTTACTTAATATCACGTATCAAAATGTAAGAACACATTTATGATGTCTTACCCATTTGCAAATTATGTTCCCAAGCGGACGGGTCGGTGTTGAGTTTCTCGTAGGGTGGCGCCGGACCACCCAGATTTCTCACGATTCCGCAGAGAACTCTACCATCGTTCCAGTCCGTCTGTGGAAAGCGGAATAATTGAATATCACCGTAGACTCTATTATATCGAAGTACTGTTAAGCCGAGACGCCTCAACTCCACCCACCGTGAAGTTCCGTATCGAGGTATGTGATAATTGCGAATTGACCCATCGTAGCGTTGCGTGGAAGCCCGGCGAGCTTTCCTTCATGAAGTATGACAAGTAGGTCATTCCCGAGAGCTCGTCCAAGTAAGGCGATGCCAGATACTCCGGCTCCAGTACCATGGGAATGTCGAACTCCCGTTTCGATATCTCCATGGCCTTGCGACAGTTGTAAACGCTACGAATTTACGCAAATTAATATATGATGTTTTAGATCAATAGTTTAATACATGAAATTATATTATACGTAATTTTATATATACATATACATATATATCACTTCCGTTACTTGACGAATTCTTTTAACTTTTTAATTCATCTCTCGTCTCTCTTTATATCTTGTTTCTCATTTAAATATTCTAATATTTTTCAATATCCATACTATTTAAGTATTCTTATATATATATATAATTTATATATATTATATATAATATTGCATATATAACATGTAACAAATTTTATCATCATCCTATGAAGATGTCTCGCTTCTTCATGTGCGACATTTATACTCTTCCTCAGTTTATTTAATAAAATCATTAGTATTATTTATTTTACCTATCGTCCGCATCTAATTGTCGCCAATGAGGAAACAGACCAGGCTTACAATAATCCAAAAGCGCGCTCAGGTAGACGCCCGAGTTCCAGTCGGTGGTGAAATTGTTGACTCTACATTCTGGCAAGACAGCCTGAAAAAAAATATAGAATTATTCTTTGAAGAGCAAATTAAAGGAACGGCGCCGGCTTTATTATTATTAAAATCGAACAAACCGCGAGATACATAAAAAATCGGATTCGTACAAAGGTCGGAGGCAGGCATAAATTTGAACGCGTGCATATTACATATATTATTATCGCGACTATGCAAGCGCTAACTTATGTGGTCGGCTTTTCTGAACTCTTTCGTAACGGAAACGCTCGCGTAATATTAATGCAGACGTATATGTACGTGGACTCTCGTATATGCGAGAGAGTGATATCTCTGTATATGGTTTTATGGCCGCGATGCCGCGACCTCGACGACAGCAATTATATTGCGTGTGTACGTATATATGTACGCACTGACCTTGAGCCATGCGAGCATGAGTTTCCTCGGCGGGAACTTGGATTTGCCGATTTGATACCGTACGATGAGTGACCATATGAGGCCCAGGATCAGTTTCAGGTTGCCATTCACGATGTCCACGTTACCTGGAAGTCAAGGAAAAAAATAAGTCCAGTTTAAATGGCAACTAATAAACAATAACGAACGGTAAAATATGAGAAAGGAAATGAATTTGATTTATATAAGTTGGCCTGAATTTTTTTCGTTCTTTCTGTCTAGAAATAACGGACTGGTACGCACGAAGAAGCGATTTAATTCTTAGAGAAAAAGAGATCGAGAAGAAGGCACGTGTTCATGCATCGTTCCGCGTAGTTGTAATTATACAGGAAAGATTTACAATGATTTTGGAGAACAAGTTTAAGGATTTAATTCTTTGTTGTTACTGATTTTCTCGCCACTGATGTTGGATATCATCATCATCATCACATAAAAGAAAGTGTATGCGCTAGTCGTGAGAACTTGCACGTTTCAACAGATCCTGTAATAAACATTCCACAGACTCTTAAGAATATTTTTAGCATTAGATTTTCTAGAACAACAGAAATACTTCCTTCTATAGTATATAGTTGAAGATATTTTAAATTCATATTTCACAAATTGCTTTTTCTATTTTAGGAATTTTTGAAAAAGCAGTATTTTACCTCGGCAGCAAGATAATTGAGATAAAAAAATTTCAGGTATGAAAGACTGGTAAGAGCCAGGCATAGATGTTAGGTGCAATAGAATTATTTTTAAACTTCTCCATATTTATTCCTTCTTTGAACTATCCTCAGCATATCAATAAAAATCAATCAATTAGTTGATAAGCTGATGATCCAAAAGAAGGGCCTTAAAAATAATTTTGTTGAACCTATTATCTGTGGTTCTACTAGTCCTTTTCATATCTGAAATTGTATTTATCAGAATCTTTTCGATTATTATTTCGAAATAAAATTAAAAATTGCGCTCGCATGTGTTCTTCGCTTTTAAGCGCGAGATAAGCTTCTCGTTCTCGTCTTATGATGTTGGTCTCAGCTGATATCATTTGAGCACCATCGCGGGTTGCAATGCAATGCAATAACAAGTATGCGTATGCACGACAAAGACGACGACGACGAGGACGACGACGCGGTGGCGGTTTTCAGCGGCCTCGTAGGCGCCAACGGTGCGACACAGGAAAGGCAATGACCTCGAAGTTCCGATTCGCAAGGTGTGTATGTGTATATAAAACGCGAAAAGGAAAGAGACCAGCGGGATCGTTAAAATCTAGACGGTGCGCAATAAATTGCGACGCGTGAACGCGCAACGTTCCGGAGTTTGATTTCTTTCCTTTTTCCTGGATCCTTAATTTCATATACATTTAATCGAAAATTCTCATCTCTTTTCAATCGTTCCCCGCTAGAATTTTTCGCAGATCCGAAAAGCAACCCGTCCATGGACACGGTGGCACGGTCAAGGGAAACCTGTGGAGCGGCGCGACGATGCGTCACGTTTCGCGACGTCACGTTGCGCTGAGAGATGAGAAATATAATGCAATTGCGAGGTAGAGACACACATAAAACCTTTAGGCATAGCCGAAAGACGGACATTTACTCGACGATGACCCGCATGCTCGAGAAACGATTACGTCCACGTGTGATGATCGCGTGCTGACTCACAGACGAGATAACGCTGGGATAAGCAGTGTTATTGTATTACACTAGCCAGAGTCCGAGGAAAACATATTACCTGCATCAGCGTGCACCAGGTAATGGGCCGGATCGCCGCCGATACTTCCGAGCAGGGAAATTATCCTTTCGGCGCGCGCTCTCGCAATCTACGATCTCTTGAAAAAATCGGATAATTAAATAAAAGTCGAAAATGAAATAAAAATAAAATAACTAATAAAATTAAAGGCGGAATTTTATTTGTAAATGAAAAAATCACGGAGAGAGAATTCGAAGAATTAGAATTAATCGAAAGAATCTCTTAAGGATAGTGTATTCGATAATTTAAGTAAGGCAAGTATGAGGAAAAAAATTAAAAACGATTAACGCGCATATAGATCGGCGAGGCATAAACCGGCATAAACGTTGTATTCGTACTATGCGTGATCGTTTAATCGGCGGCGAAGGAAGAACGTGCGTTTCTAGCGATTGCTCATTATCCGAGGAATGCATCGTGGCGGCTCTCTCATACTTTGATTGCGTATCATTATTAATGATGCGTCTCTCACGCGTGTGCATTTTTTCCGCACGCCACCGCAGGAGAGAGACAGAGAGAGAGAGAGAGTTAATGAACACGAGGAGCTCCTCCCACGTGGTTTACCCGCTTGGAAAACGACAAACTGAAAGAGCGAACAGATTGCGAGATATGACGAAATCGATAAAAAACAATGTTATATAAAGAAAGAACCAAATAAATGCAAAAAGAAGGAAAAACACATTCGAGCGATGTAAACATTACTCGTACTTAAATAGGTCGTGATCTTTCTTACAGAATATAAAACCATCACTAACACAGAAATATTGTCTTATTATAGTATAATATTAGCATTCAAATCCGACTCAGAGTATGAAAATAAAATCTTTGCTTTTTACATAATTTATATGAATATAAAACTTAATTAGAGTTTGATTAATTTTTTTTTTAAATAATCTTGGAACAAACGAGCTCTTTTGCCTTTTCTTTTAATATGCTACGAGAAAGTTACGATAGAAATATTTAAAATATAGCTTTTTGATTTTTTTCTAATTTAACATTTATGTATTACAACTGGATACTTTGAATTACGAACTGGATATTCATTGTAAACGCAAGTCGCGACAGTCGCTCATCGTTCCAATTACGCTTCGTAATTGAACGTCGAGCGCGTGCAACGCCTTGACAATCTCGAGCGACCGTGGACGGACGGTCGGCCTTCGTTTCTCGTAATTCGTACCCTTGTAATTTTCATCAATCTCTGTAAAACACGGTATTTATCTACCGTTGTAGATCGTATGCAAAAAAGTCAATTTCTTTCAGCCATATCTATATGATGCCATAAACGTCGATTTTATCGCAGCAAAATGTAATGGTGCACTTTAAATTTTGAGAAATCCAATTAACTAGTTCAATATACGAAATACAATTTCTTAATATATTAAATTTTTAAATTTATTTGTCATATATAATATATATATATATATATATATATATATATATTTAAGTATTTAAATATAATTATTAATTAAAGTATTATTAATATTCCTCAATAATTTATCATGCTATTTTCAATCATTCGCTATTCATGATTTTTTATAAAAACACTTAAAATTAATGTATAATCGACTGATTTTGCTGCGCATAATAATTATATTTTTGCGGCAAAACGAGTGATTGAATACATTTGTTTACCGATATTGACGAGTTTAACGCCGTCCGCCTCGATAGCCTGCAATGCCGTGGACACATTTTCCAGGTGATGATGTTGATTTGCCGGTCGCGGGTTCCATCGTGGCAGACGGCGTTTCGTGAGCACCTCGACCAGGGCGCAGAGACGCGTGCCGTCCCGAAAGTCCTCGACGAGGTCTAGCACGGGGCCGCCGCCCACGTTGCCGGCGTGCTTCAGATGCTCGTTCACCCAGTTACGAAAAGTGTTGGCCTGGATCTCCACCCAGAGGTCCTCGTGGCCCTTGATCGGCATCCCCTTGGCGGCCGTGCCCTCGGCCGAACGGGCCACCAGACCCACCAGCTGTTCTGGTCGCAGCTGCTCAGTCGACTGCATTCTCGTGTTCCTGCTGATAAAGTCGTGATTAAAGGTTTTGTATACTTGTCAAATATGTATCGCTGTCAAGCGATACGCTACAACTCGATAAGAATTCGTTTAGATAATTTTGTTTTTTATTTCCTTGGGTATCGAACGTTAAATCAAGTCGGAAAAGGTTGATAGCGGTATTTATACAGTTATTTGTATATTTTTTTTTAAAGGCTGCATTTCTCTTTCTCTCTTTCTCAACTTTATTAACGAATCTTTAGAGAGAGATATATGAATTTACTTTAATATATATTTAATGTTGAGAAAAAGTGAAAGAAGATCATGGCGATATTAAATCTTGAATTAAAATTGATAGCAAGTTGATTCACGAAAATGCAATGATTTTTATTACAGTCATATTTCGATTAAGCAAACGTGGAATATACGCCAAATAAGGAATAAATTATGAAACTTGATTGCTTGCGCGAAATGTTCAAGCGCATAAGGCGTTCCGACCTTTAAGGTCGTCCTATCACGAGAAACTCAATTTACTGCGATAAAAAATTCAACGATCGTGCATTGTGCATTCGCGAAGGAGAGAAGAATTTCGCTCGCGGTGAAAGTGATGCATACACCTGCGGCATATATATCTATGTCTAATGGTGTGAATAATCCATTTCCTCGTTTATCCTCGCACCGCATTTTTTTTATTCATTGCCATCTCGTGCTAATTCGACTCGAAGAGACTTCGTATTAATTGGGGACAAAAACAGCGTAAGAAAGCGTTAAAACGGAATTCACCAATTAAGATCAAAATGACACGCGAAGTGCTACGATATGTATGTTATATTTAAAATAATGGAAAATTCTTTTATTATACAGAAAAAAGCATTAACTATCATAGAACTAAATTCTAGGTCCCTATATTACACCTGAAATTTAGTTATCATATCTAAATTTTAGCTATGATAACTAATATTTTAACTATAATTTAATCGCAAATTCCTTTACTAAATTGTAGCTTAAAAATATTAATTATTATAATTGAAGTTTAGATATGATAACTAAATTTCAAATGTAATATAGAGCCATTTAAATTTTAGATGGAAGCTAATACTTGTTTCGTGTAATATTTATAATTAAAACTGTGACGGTCCATTTCTGGCGCTAAAACTTCGCAAAGCGCGACGAAGATATTATCGAAATCCGTTAATTATATGACGATATGGTTCGCGAAGCACGCGTATCAAAGAACAAATAAAAAGTTTTTATATTAATATTAAATTTAGATTGCAACGGTCTACTTGCGGTCGGTGAAAAAAATTGCATCGCGCAAAGATATTATCGCAAAGTTGGATTTCATTTCTAAGGCTAATCCGCGGTTCCGTTATTGTTGAAGCAGGATGCTGCGAAAAGCTTGTTTAAATCTACAACAATAACTTTGCGAACATGTTCATCGGAGATGTGCACTGTGATTTTCTATTATATACACTATTTATACATGCACGAAAGCGATGAGCTATTTCAGCGTGATACACCACAGCATGACATCATTGTTGTCTCAAAGGCCCGTCCGACCGGTGACGTTATTGCGTAAGTGCGTAAAAATTTACGGTGAGTCGCGCAGACGATGGACTCTCTTTTCGATTTCGTTGAATAATAAAGGATGTGAAAAATTTAAAGATTATTAAATTTTTTGTCATTTTTACGCGTATATTATATAATAATATATAAAATAAATTGTGTGTAAACGAAGAAGATTAAAATATTACGAAAAATCACGTGAGAGAATTTAGTTCGATATAAACTGAATTTAAGTCGATAAGAACTATATCTTTCGTAAATATATTTATCAGATATATCACGCAGGATAGAGAGACGCATTGCGATGCAAGAAAAATCTCGACGTTTATTAGAACGTGTCAGGAGAACTCAAATAGGGATCGCACACGCACGTGAACGACACACCAAACTTGAATCAAATTTTCTTAAGAGATTTATTACTGCACGACTTTCACTTTGCCCTCAAATTTTGCTCTCCACACATGCATTCACGAATCTTAGTCGTTGCTGAAAGATTCGCTATCGCTTTGATTTATTACATAACGACAAACTGTTCCATATATTAGCTTGATAAAGAATGTTAATTGCATGATCGATCGATGAGAATGAGACTAGAACTCTATTTTTCAGAATCAACAGAATCTTGTTTTTTATTGAAAAAATGAGGCGTCGACGAATAAATTGCTTATTAATTAATTTTATTTAGGAAAGAAACTTTGCGATATAAATCTTATTCTGTGAACTTATGACTCTTGTACTTTAAATGCCTTAAATTTGATGAAATTCTCGAAAATCAGAGTTAAGTTTATAAAAATTCTTGAGGTTGAGTATGTTTTATAAATCTTAATTATATCGTCTTTAAGTTGTGACAGGTCTTAAAGATTCTCAAACATGCAATTATTAAATGTTGTAAATTGGTATTGCCTTTTAAATCTTCCATTTAACAATTGCTCCGAGACAAGGCAATCCACACAAATACTTATTACCATTCAGGCACTTTTCCAAGAACATTCTGATAAACAGAGTTCCACTGTTCACTGGCTGTTCCATTTGAAGCAACATATAGAATTCCACGAGGGTCCACTTATACTCGTGGTCAAATACTTCATACACACACACACACACATTCATCCACCCACCCACGTAACCGAGCACATGCAGGACGCAGGAACGCACGGTATGCGAACTGGTATATTTACGTTGGCTCTTCCTCGGACTGACGCCTTGCGGCTCCACCAGGTCGGTCAGCAAGTTCCAGCGAGCGGATCGGTGACGACGTTGGCGAATGCCGACGACGGCCGGGCTATCGTTAGGCAAAAAATACCATTTTTGGATGTAACGTCGCGGCGCCGTTCGTTGATGAGTGTTCAACGTGCGTGAGCTCACTGAATCGACATGGAGACCCCTTCCTCTTTCTTCTCGCGTTCTCCAGCAGTTCTCCGATACAATCGCTCGTTGCGGGACCGTGGGGTACGCACGGTTGTGATGGCAGCAGGGCCGTAGCAGTAAACAGCATGATCTTGCCATCAAGTGCTGAAAAATAAAACGTCAAATTTAATTCTTCTGCATTTCACGAATTTTGAATAAAAGAAACTTTGCTGAAATTTACTTATTGACTGATAGTTACATAATCTGATGGAAAAAAGAAGTTTGAAGATTTTTTTACACAAGCAATATAGAAGTGGTATCTCCAAGAATAACATTGCATTTGGTGTATCAGTTTCAATTTGTGAGAAGAGAATAAATGTGACATCTACACACATCAATCTATATAATTAAGTAATTAAATTAAATCAAATTCTTCTTAATACATTTGTTGAGTTAAAAGTATTGTACATATATATATATATTTTTTTTTCTTGATATATCTATGTAATCTCGGCAAGTTTCGCCGAGTACTTTCCTGAATTCTAGGTAGCGGAAGCACAAAAATCATTCCGCGAGGTGGTGGCACCTGTCGGAATCATAATCGCCGTGCTGCATATACGAGCAGCCGAGCTTCCCCACACCTGGCGAACGACGGTTCGCGATTAATGAACGTTTACCTTGCGCATTTCATGCCCTACCCGGCGCGTTGTTTGTGACGTCAGCGTGACTCTAATCGGAGAAGAGTTTCTTTAGCACGACCATAATAGAGCCGTAGCGTATAACAACCTATCAAGCTATAAGCTACCCATTTATTCTTAATGGAGAAGATTAAACGCGTAATATTAATACGTAACAATAATGCTAATAATCAAACAAGTAACATTGATGGCAATTTCTAATTGACTAAATGCGCCTTTACTCACACTTTTTTTTAGTTTGAAAGATATAAATAAAAACTGCAGGAAAAAATATATAACGATTTGAAGTAGTATCAATATGTCAAAAATTATAATTACATATTAGAGTAAATTACGATGTGCATAATAAAATGATGCAACTGATTGTTGAGCGTTTTTGTATATTCGCACGATGATATAATAACGGAGATTTCAATTCCAATTATGCGAATTAAGCGAGATCTCTCTCGATCAGGCGTTTGTATCTCCGCGCGAGCAAGCGCGCCGATCCAAAAGCTTAACCCACTCTTGACATATCTTGAAACGCTCTAATTTATTCGCTATTGTGGCAACAAGACCAACGGAACACAATACTTGACTTTAACTATTACAAAACTAACGATTTGCGGCATAAAGAGACGCTATCACGACGCAATATGATATAGATATGTTATAATGTTTTAACTTTACAATGCTATATTGCATTATAATGTATTTTTTATTTAACATTGCAATTATTATAAACATATCAGATTTCATTAAAGAATCGGCAGATCGTATCGAAGTTAAATGTACAAATGTGTAACGTACAATGTATAAATAGTTATGAAGTAAACGTTGAATAAATCTGGTACAAGGTTGCTAATGGCGAACTGCCAATAATTTGCCACTACTAGCTTAGTATCAAATTACCAGCTTTTCTCGCCAAGCCAAACGCGTCTTTATTGAAGATTGATTAGTGCTGAGAGAAAGCGATTGTATTATATCCTAATTACGAGCGTAATGTATTTAAAAATAACAATCTGTCGTGTGTCTCTTTATTTTTAGCACTTTGTGTCTATCGAGTTCTACGACCTACTATCGGCAGAGTAGTACTCCTCTACATCGATATTTTATAAGTCCAGAAGAGGCTCTTGAAGAGACGAGGCGGGATACCCTCTATTATTTGATTCTAATCTTGACATATATATAAAGTTGTATGTACACACTCTGTTATCGATATCAGTTTGCATTTGGGTAAGGAATTAATTTCATGTGGGTGTTGTGTAACTTTTAAATGCATAAATATATGTGTGTTCCATAAAAATATCTATTCAGAAAAGTTAACGGATCACAGTGCCTTTCAAAGATCATTAAAGATGTGCTACGTGATACGTGATTTAGAATTATGATTACTAGAATATTAAAATTTAATTACCAAACTGAGACATATTTCCCATCAATCATGTAATAATTTTATATTTAATATAAAAATCTCTTTTTCAAATTATATATGCCTGAAAAAAGCTTTGGTCGATTCTGCAAGTATTTGGGAACTTTATACGTTCAATAAGAGACTATCAGAGATATAATGAAAATTTCACAATATACACTCTTGCGCTTTATCGAAACTTTAATCGCAGATGTATGACGTAGCGTTTTGTCCCACGAGTTGGCCAGGGTGACTTGGTCAATTTTTGACTTACTACACCATGCAGAGTAGCTATATACAGTTTGGCAGGGCGCCGGCGCCGGTCTCTATAAATAGCGGGTGCGACGCCGACCGCCGCTCGCGAGGGACAAAATAGCGACGAAGACGGTGCAAGCACGAGGGGTGATTGCGAGGGGGTGAGAGGCGTGCGGCAGTGGTTACGGACAGCGAACGGCGCGGCGTTAGTAGTAACGGATAGTAGTCGCGACGACGGATTGTAGTAACGGGTAGGCTACTCGTGTCGGCTCCGATTCGGCCGCGACGACGATCAATCGAGCCGGCAAAGGGGTGACGCGCGAGGGACACAATCCCGAGGATTTTCCCAACTTTTGCGAAAAGGAAAAGCTCCGACGAGCTGGAGCGCGACGAGTGAAGTGGTAGGAAGGAGTATAGACCTACGTCGAGCGAGCCGCGGGAAAATCCAGTTCGGGAGAATCCAGCCTCGAGGAAGAGTTCTCTATCTATTGCGATGTCACGGAGAGACACAACTGTTTTTGGAGATTTCTAACCAGGGTTCCTGAGACTTGACTCCGAGGATCGATCTGGACACAGTCGAGGGCAAGAATTCCTTGTATTCCCGACTATGTGCCGGTGTCTCGCGAGGACCAGAACACCGGGATCGTCGTCGCCGTCGTCAGTGATCGAGCGCGACGTCGTCGAGGCTGAGCGCAAGACGTGACTCCGTTTATACAGCTGGTCTATCAGTCAATTCAACTGCAGTGGACGAAGGAGGTGATTATGTAAAAATGTAAACGGATCGCGCTGGAAATACGCGAAGCGTCTTGTCCCGCGGTTTTCCTTTCCATTGACGAACAGTGAATTTCCTTCCTCTCCTGATGAAAGAGAGAGACTAATTATATTCATGTGCCTCGTGTGCGACGAGGTTACTAACCAGCCTACCCTCCCCGGCCTGCGCTTGCGTACGCAAGTTTCTTCGAATGGAAATACGTATGACTTATGGTGTGACTTAGGAGATATAATTACAAAGATCATTGATCAAAATGAGAAAATCCAGAGTGTTTTGTATCTGTTGAATATTTGAAACTGATGAGAATCGATATTAAAAAAGATCTAATCATATTAAAGATTTAAGATTTCAGAATTTGTAATCTATAATTTAAATCTCCAGAGTAATATAATAAATTATGCAATCTAAGTATTAAAATCGATACAATTCCTTTAAAATTTAAATACAAAGAACACACACATATTAAGCATTAAAACTTAAAAAATCTAAATATCTAAAATCGGAAGTTTTGGAAGATTAATAACATATTAACTCGGACTTATAATAATTTCAATTTTTCCAATCATAAAAATTATAATGAAAACCATAGTATATAATCATAGAAGATTTGTACAATAATTAGAATGACTAAATTTTGATTGCCTATTGTGTATGTAAATGCATCGAAATAAGATTGAGATGATAGATTTATAGATAGGGAGAGAATAATTAGCTTCTCCCAGCCCGATTTTATTTTACGATCGCGCTACTTCTGTAAATCCATCACGCATAACTTTGACATATCACGCCAACTATAAATTCAAATCGATTAGCGCGCTTTTAAAATACAGATTCGCTCGAGTTGATGCATCAAAAATTGCAATATTAGCTTCTGGAAAGCTTGTTCGAGAGAAATATTGTCGAGAAAAATTGTTATTAAGTAAGTCCGGTCATTATTTAAGTTGTACAAGTTAAGAGTTTAACACGGCTCTGTAATATAAAAAGTTTTTAAGTTGTACATTTTTTTTTGCGTTTTACAGATCTACAATGGCTCTAGTAATGTTACCGTGTGATCTACCTTGGTGGCCGGCTGTGGTAAAACAACTGGACAAAGCCGCCCTGGCGAAAAATTCCGAGGACCTAATAGACGCGATGCAACGATTGCATGACATGTGCAAGTATGACTCGCGTTATTTTCGGTCGTTGTTTTCTATAACGTATATATGCGCTTTATATTCAATTTTATATAAATTTTTATCTAGATTAAATAAATTTAAGTTCTATTTCAATTGTTATATATTTGTATTATTTTCAGTATAAGCCTCGATCCCGAGGAGGATATGGAAGATGTCGATTTATTCTCTATATTGGAGACTTTTCTAAATAAGGATCTCGATCCTGTGGAAAGAGAGCAGGTGTTTACGAAGACAATACCACGAATGGTGGAAAGGGCGAAGGATTTAAAAAACAGTAAACCTCCGCAAGGTTTACATTTTAGTCTGCAGCAGCAAGGTATCGCAAGATTCTGCCAAATATTCCGAAAACCGCAATTATGTAAAATATATTTTTTTTCAATATATTCTTCAAATTATTGAAAATAAACATAGCACGTTTTCGTGCGAGAGAAGATCTAGATTTCAAATAAAGATTACCTTACACAGGTGATAGCGTCGAATACAGTTATGCCTTTGTCTCCTCCTTAATCGCAAATGCGTTCTTCTCAACGTATCCGAAGAGAACCGCAAAAACGCATCCCACGTTGCGCGATTTCAATTTTACAAACTTCTTCAGACACCTTTACAAGTGAGTGATTTCCAAGTGGATTAAATTTTTGAAGAAATTTAGCGTTTGCTTTTAATCTAAAAACAAAAATAAAGAAATATTATAATTTTTCAAGTATTTTATCATTTTCCAGAAACGCACAGAAAGCCAAACTCAAAAGTATCTTTCATTATTACAACTATCTCGAGACGGAACATGCACTCGATGGCCGTCTCATAATTTCAAGACAGGTACAATTAAACTGAAATTTCCTCGATTTTTTATCTACTTTTTCAGATTTTTTAAATTATTTGTTAATTTTTTTGTTCAAAATAATTTGCAACTTACATAAGAGATGCGCATTTATTATAATTTCCAGGTGATGACGTCTAAGCAGTGGTTGACCATCGAAGATTGGCTGGAAAGTAATATACCTTTGTGTCCGCTGACGATACGTCACGAGGGTCGATTGGAAAGAGTCGAATCGGAATCCAAAATGCTGCAAGTTTGCTTCGTGAACGCGAAGATCGGCGGCGGTGTGCTCGATGGCGATGTCACGCAGGAGACTGTACATGTAAATAAATAATTATTAAAATTCGTAGATGTGTGTTGGTATATAAATATTGATAGTAGTAAATTGATAATTTTTGATTAAAAAAATATCTTAATTCTGTTTTAAAGGAATTTAGAAATGCCTATATTTTAGGTGGCGACGCATCCAGAAATGCTCGCGGCGATACTATCTGTCGAGGCCTTAGAAGACAACGAAGTATTGATAATCGAGGGTGTCAGGCATATGTCGAGAATAAATGATCCGCGGCACAAGGCAATATTCGAGGGTATCTCACAGCCGAACGTGGTGAGTGAAATGCGAGATTCTCTTCGATTCGCGCAGCTTTTATTTACGTTATCCGTAGAGATGGGAGGATAAACAATCGTACAGTTTTCTGAGAGCAGGTAACGGTCTGCTGCATAGACCCTGAAGACTATTCGCGACTGCCGTTGACGCAATTCGAGGAGGATAATATGTTGAGGGAGATGAACAAGTCGCTACTGGGATTTCGTCAAAGACACGTGCCCAGCAGTCCCACGGATCCGATCAAGACGGATTACCCGGACGCGGAGGTCGGCCTAGGCTCCCGCAGATTGTCGCCGATCGGCGAGAGTTTCAGCAGCACCCCGCCGGAAACGGAAGGCGAGGACAAGGTCTTCGCGGCGAGCGGTAATTCCAAGATAGGTAGGAGACGCGGTGAAGAATGGCAATCCATGCGTTAATTCATACAATTTATTCGAATTATATTCCTTTAACGTCTAATAATTTTTCCCCTTCCGGGCAGATAAGCAGCCTCCGTGTGACGAGTACCACAAATTAGAGAGCACGACGGAAGTGCGTAGCAGGCCTAACGGTAAATCGATGAGACCGCCGAGTCCTCACAAGGTGTGCAAGGACGCGAGCTGTGCGAATCGAAGAAACAGATTTATCGTGCTGGGATCCAGCGGGGAGGTTCTACCGGTGACGCGACAACTTGGTCAGATGTCGGTCTACAGCAGCTGCAACAGTCAGAGCACGGACAGTTTTCACAGTGCCAAGGAGACCATCGACGAGGAACCTGGTACGTGCGCATGAACATTATATTTTCAATAAAAAAACATCCGAGAGAGCAGATTCTAAATATCAAGGAAACAACTTTTAGAGGAAGAAGAGCAAAAGCTGAACAAACGTTATAGCGAGCAATTAGACACACCCGAGAGAAGAGGGACCTTTGCGCAGAGATTGAAAGACGCTCTGAAGAGGGAGAGTACGGCGACCGGCGGCATGACTTCCTCGAACACCTCCTCCGGCGAGAGCAGTTACGCCGTTGGTATAAGCGTTAGCGGTAGTCACGTCGGCGATCAAGACATCAAGTGAGTTAATATTTACGAAAACAAATACACGGCGTGCTTAGCTACACATAAAAGAACGCAAAAATAATAAACAATACATATAGGACTCGAGTAGTTTAATGATAAAGACACTCGCCGGTAAGCGAAAGGTCCCAGGTTCAATTCCAGGGTCTAGTCACTCATGCTTTTAATATTCTTTGTATAGGTATTAATATAGTTATTTGATTTTTAAATTGTTCAATCCAGAATTATGTTCTGTTCATGCCGTATATGTGCGTGAACATAATTATTTGGTTTGATTATTTCATTTATTTAAGTTTTAATAGTTATATTAATAATTATAACTTAGCTTGTAATTTATGAATACTTATTAATAATTTATTTAACAGTATTAAAATATAGTATATGTACATTATTAATTTATAATTTATTAATGTAGATATAGTTGTAAATTTAGTAGGAAATTTAACACCAATAGTATAAAGTTAAATAATATTGATCAATCAATAATATCTATGTTCATTATCTTTCCAATTATTAGTAACATTAGTCACACATATCTATACATGTGTAAATACATTTAGTTTATATATTTATAGATAGGTGTATGTGCCGGGGTGCGTGCAATTACGTATCCTCTAATACATAATCTCTATACTTAGCCTATTCGGCAAAGCTTAGAAATTATATCCCTTTTCTCTGATTCCCCGAAGCTTTAGAGCTTAGGGTGATACCGAGACGCAACAACTGCAGTAACTAGTTTTGCACGTATTGAGCAAAAGAATAATTAATTGTATGATGCCTAGATAGCTTAATGGAAAGAGCAATCGCCCGGAGAATAAAAAGTTCTGATATTTTTGATCTATAATAGATATAATGAAAAATGTAATAAATTATTCTAAAATTTTTGTAATAAAAAAAGTATTGTATCGGGACATCTAATGATTCTCGGGCGTCATTTAATTACTTTTATGCAATATAAGCATGTAAGATATATGTATATACGTATGTACGAGAGATAATCGCGTATAATTAATCACGTTATAATAGATAACAAATATTTTTACTTGTTTTAAAAATCAGAGAATAAAACACATTTAACTCCGTTTAATCACGCGTAAAAATACTTGTAAATATTCTCATTATATTTAATCTATTTTACTTATAAAATGTAGCTATATTATTTTAATAAGTTCGTAGCTATATTATTTCAATAAAGAATGCAATGTTGCAGGGTGAGACGAGGAGGCTCAAGGGGTTTCGTCCTACGGGATGAAACGGTAGACGAAGAGTTTCTGAAAGAATCTCTAGAGGCCGAGCAAAAATGGCTAGGCCGATTCCGGCAAAGTCAAGGACCTATGTTTCAAAGGAAAGACACGAGCGCAAGTAGCAAATATAGTTTCAGCACCGAATACAATTCGGGTAAGTAAAAAAAAAAAAACATCGCTCATCTTTGGAACGATGCTTGTTTTCGGCAACAGTAAATAAATTAATGTAAAAAAGTTTAAATTTACTTGCGCAGATTTCTGTTCCGAATTGGAGGAGGTCTACGAGCAATTGTCAAAGTGGCTGGAGGATCCGATAGTGGCGGACGAGAGCAGGGAACTGGATGCGAGAGATCGGGCGGTCGTGCGATTCGCCGGTTCGCTTCTGAAGCGTGCTCTGAGCGAGTCGTTCGCCGGTGTGCCACTTCAGGAAGGCGAGCCGCAGCCTTTCATCGATGCGAACGACGTGAGCCAACAACACAAGCTGGCCTTGGCCGTCAGGAGTCTCAGCTTAGAGCTCGCCCGACAAAAGAACCGACGACAACAATCAGTAAGAAACCGCAAACGTCTTAGGTTTCCCTGAAAAAAATCACTGAATTAGAAAGGCATGAGTTATGACAAGATTATTTTGCGGAAATATTTACAAATGCATTTATGATTTTTTTTTTCATTTTTAAAACAAAAGCACTTATTAGTAAAAAAAATTTGTTTACTGCTTCCGTCATGATAGACAACAAATTGAAACTTTTTTCTTTTATGCTTTCCTAAGTGCTTTCTTTTATTAAAGTCAGAAGAACTAATAAATTTAATACGTATTTGATTGTCCTTTAATCACGAATTAAAAAAATACACTTGTAATATAAAAACATACAAATATCTTTAAAATATATAAACATGCAAATATCTTTGAAGTCCCATAGCGAATACAGTAAGATGGAATGAGAGACAGTCGAATTTTTTTGACCGAGAAAAACTAATCTTTAAAACAAATATATATCTATAATATATCGGCAAATAAAAGTTTCGAGTTTAGACTACAGGCAACCTGAAATGCTATACAGGTGTTTGAGTCCGAAGATGTAGATTGCTATGAAGACGCCTCGAGCGAGATGGTAAGAGAGACGAAGGACGCCCAACGTAGGAAACTTTGGGCCGTCACGTTCACATCGGAAGTGTTCCAAACGTTGATCGATGATCAGACGACCGTACGCCTGTCTCCACCGCCCATGTCCGAGTCGAGCCAAATGGCAAACGAGCGTGAGACGCGCAAAGCGAGCGTGCTCGGTGTCTCGGAGGTGATTCAGAGATGATGAGATGACTTGACCGCATCATACGTGTATAATCGCAATGCATGAGGCAGTGCAAATGCGTTATTTAGATTTGAAATCGCTTGTGGAAAGAGCATCTTCTGCGGCTTCAGGACTCTCTTCGATTAAATATAACTTGTCGAGATAAGACTGCCCGAGAGATTTCGCGTTTCCGATTTCTTCTCGACTTGGTGCATGACGTACGAATAAGATCAGCTTCTCATCTGACACGTTTGAAACCCTTACAACTAATTCATTTATCTGTCTCTCAGTCTATCTCCGATTCTTCACAGTATCTTTACTCACATTTCTTACTTTGTTCTTTGTATCTTCAATATATTAACCAATGGGCAAAAGTACCATACATACATTCACTCTTTTCTCTATCATTATATAATAAAAAAACAGTATATAATTCTTTATGTTAAACTAAAACAATATTTTATATTTTATATTTTACTTAACTTTAGCATATTTTTTAACAGCTTTAATGTCGTTAATACTCAATAACCGAGCGGCAAGAATTTCAAATGTTTACTAATTGTGTCAGGAATTATGCAAGACGCAACGAAAGAAGAAATAATTTATGAGAGATTATCTTAATGTGTGCATAGTTACCGCGAGAGAACAGTCCTCAAGGAGGAGATTTATTACCCATAGCTACAGGAAACTGGGGATGCGGGACTAGATTGAAGGGTGATCCGCAACTGAAGCTCGTAATTCAGTGGCTCGCTTCTTCCCTGGCAGGAGCACCGAGACTAATGTACTACACTTCTGGCAATCCCAGTCTATCTAAGGTAAACAAAAAATATCATTATCAGATGTTATAACAATATAAATTTCTTCATGTAAATGTTTTCATTATTAAAATTTTTCAGTTAGATACCGTAAGCAGAGTTCTGATGGACCGACGTTGGTCGGTGGGCGACCTTGCTGCTGCGACGTTGAAGTACGCCGGCCAAACGATCGAAGAACAGGCGGAAGGAAGGAACAGCCTCTTTGAGGAAATCATTGGTATGGACAAACCGAGTCCTTAGCCCGATTCAATGCTGTCCGTTCTGGTGGACATGCTGGCTACCATGATCGAGGACAGCTTGAGAGCCTAATATACAAACATGTTTTCCCGTGGAAGGAATATACAAGTATACAAAAGAAAAGAGAAAAGAATAAACGGGTACATAACTTAAATAGAGTTTAAACGCGCAAGATCGAGAACTAATTGTAATTCGTATAAGCGTAGTCTTGGTAGGTGAAACGTATTATACGAGTTTTATTTCAGCGAATCGAAAGATCGATTCTGGTTTCTAGTTTTCGTTCAAAATTACTCTCATCTAGCATATCAAAATGATATCAGTGAAACTCGCACAATTCGTTGTACAAGGCAATATATCAAATACAGAGGGAGAAATATATAGTCGCTGCGATATTTTGTAGTCTGTAGAGTATCACATGCTGTCTGATCAGATTGCATTATAAGAATCACTCGCTACATTTCCAAGAATGAGAAAAAAATTAGCGTGATATACTAGAAGTTCAGTTATGTCATTAATGATATATTGTTATAAGACAGCGTGAGAAATTCTTTACAACTTCACGGTCTAGTCATGTCTGGATGTCAATTCTGGTTTTACTTTTACGAAACGAGTAACTGCTTGGTGAAGTATACAGTGTACAATTACATGCAATAACTAATGAGGCACAATATACTATATATTTTGTACAATAATATTTTTAAGTCGCGTTCTATAATTTAAGTCGGAGTATATATATATATGTAATATGTGAATAGATTTTTAGAGGAAAACTTTTAGTATTTTATAAAATATTAATATAGATCACACATTTTTTTATAAAAATGAACTTACATATATATATGTCGCTGCTATGAAATCATAAATTCGATACAGAGTGGGTATATGGCCTACAAAGAAAAAGATATGCTTTGTAGTATGTAAATCAATTAAAATGAGGTCTTCCATTATTAAAACGAAACATGTGAAAGTATCTGTCCTAAACTAATACTCTCTACATACTTCTCATTCTAAGCAATGATAGGAGTGCTACAAAAAGAAAAAAGATATAAACATATATAAATATATATACATACATACATACATACATACATACATACATACATACACACACACACACACACACACACACACACACACACACACACATATATATATATACACATATACACACACACATATTACATAAAAGTATATATATTAATAAATTTATATCACAATATATATATATATATATATATATATATATATATATATATAATTTTGTATCTATTCAAAATTTCCTACCTGATTATATTTTAAAGTATATTATTTGCAATATATATTTTATTTTGATTAAATATTAAATTGATGTTAATCTAAAATAAAATATTTCTTGGAACGCATCACAGTTTTTATTAATATCACACGTTATTGTTAATCAAAATGTATTAAACATACCATTTATATATACAATAATATTTAACATAAATATTATTTCCAAATAATATTATTGAAATAATGCATATTTTAAGTAATTATTATTTTTTTCTATTGTTCATTATTATACCTTGTTTAAACAAAAGAAAATAAACTGCATAATGTCTCTACTTTTATTTATGTTCGATACACAATATATATCTAGAGTAATATTTAAACTATCTCCCAATGAAATTGGCTGTTTAAATTTTAATCCTGAGTTTGGTACTTATTTATCTAAGAAGTAAAAAAGACCATATATAAAAACAACAGATTCTATTTACATATCAGAAAAAGAGACTTCGTAAACGTCGTCCCACGCCTTGCCTGTCGTACAGAATGTTGAATTTGTTTACAAATTGATTTATATTATTACAGCCTTTAGTTATAATACCGAGATACGTCATCAAGCCGAAATCATTACATTGCTGAAACAATATAAAAATACATTATTTAAAAGAAATAATATTATAAAATATCTAATAATTTATATTATATTTACAGCTTATAAATATATATATATATATACTAACATTATAAAAGTCAGCCTTAAATTTTGGATTATTTAGGACAGGCAATCGATGACTCAGAGAACAAGCTGCTCGAAGAACTTCATGATTTCCTTTCAATTCCCCACTCTCTACTGCTTGCACATATCTTAGAACAAGTTTTACTCTGGCATGCAACATTTTAATGGCACTATGTTGAGCTGTCAAGTGCTCCGCCACTAAGATAAGATATTCATATATTATTGATTTTAAAAATGTTTATGAATGTATACAAATAATCTGCATATTACTCACCTACTGAGCATTCTCCTTGTTCGTTATTACACATCCTTTGTACATGATCAACTCCAATCCTTTCGGCTTCTTCTGTGGCTAATGTGTAAGTTAATGGAACAAATAACATGGTAGCTTCTCCATTAACTAAATCAATTACTGATTCGTACATAGAGACAGATAAATGCTGTAACAAACATTATATTTTTGTTCAGATATATCATTCAGATATATTCAATAAGAAGGAAAGACTCTTTTTATAGAAATGTTTTATAGAAATATATTCTAGTAAACTTGCCTCCGTATTTTTCGGTCTTGGATCTAGTTTTAACAATACAGGGCTTTCATTTATCTCACAAAGTTGTTTATGCACTCTAATATCTCTCTCGTTAGGCATATCACCGGTGGTGTACCAGCCCAAAAAGTCCATTTCACTAAAGACTAGCTTAAACTGCTCTTCCTTTGTATTATAATAATCTCTATCGATTATGACATCATCGCCAATGCAATTGATTACCAATTCAAAAGAATTCATAATTTCTATGTTACGACCCTTCTGCTTACCAATCAGAGCACCATATACTGAAATATTTCAAAAACGATATATTGCTCCAGCCTATGAAATATTATTGAACTTTATCAAACATATAAATAAATATTTTAGAAATTACTTTGATCATATATTAATATATATGTCAAATCTAATTTATATAGATTTACGTCAGAATTTTTAGCGTGTGAATTAAAAAATACAAATTTTTTTAATATTTATATTAAGCTTTTTTCTTATTAAAGGAGAATCTCTTTTACCCAATTGATCGGTGCCCTCCTGAGCTCTGAGTCTGGTCCAGTGCTCGCTGACGTTCATGATCACCAGCGGATGCAAGCTTATTGACACGGAACCGACAGTGCCCGAAGACGCCATTACCTTGACGCTTCCGGACACCTTCGGATTCCTCTCGGAGGTGTCCTCGTCGATCTCCATCGGCGTTTGCTCGTTTGTATTGTCCGTAGGCACATCGACCTCCATGTCACTTTTCTGTCACCGTTTCTACTTATTTATTTTTTTCGCAGACTTCGGCTCCCGCGAAATAAATAGGTCTGGATAAAAAGTGGACGAGCACGTCGCTGGAAAAACGCGAATATCCTTCTCCTTCTTTTTCTCTAAATTCGCTGAAATACCTTTCGAGATCAGTAATGATCAGCGCGATCCAATACAGGCGGCCATCGCGTCGATTCTTTCTATTCTCAGCTGCGTAGGGGAGGGGAGATTAATCGAATCGAGGAAGATCGATATATCGAACCGCAACAATCGACTATTGCGTTCGATACATATATATATATAAACTATAAATTTTTATAAATTATGTACGTATAAAATTCTATTTCATTGTGCTTTTCCTTTTTCTTTCTTTTTTTCCTCCACTGCATTATTTATTTCACATTTTTATATCTAATTTAAACTTATATATTTCAATTTTCGATGCAAAAAGTGTAACAGGTTATGATCCGGGAGACGCTAGAAATAATATTTCGAAGCATTTTTCATCGACTGATAAAAATAAAAGGAATAATAAAAATTCTTTATTTTCATTCGTCAATGAAATGTTTCGACGCATCTGCAGCCTCTCCTGGACTGCAATCAATGCAGTTTTAAAGTTTTTTTATGTGCCTGTATATATATATTTCTCTATTTTCTCAAATACTACGTTCTACTTTAAAGAATTGAAATATTACCTTTTGAAGAAAAGCTCGAGAAAATGTAGATCTGTCACTAATAGAAATCAACATCGACAAAATAATTAAATATATGCGGAAGAATTTGTACCCGCACCTTTTTAACACACAATAGAATATCTCACGCTTGGCTCTTGCCAAGTCATGTCCTCCTAATATCGAGAATTCACCCTTTGAATCCGAAACTTACTTCACTCCGATTGTATTTATTTCTTTTACATTTTCTCGGAGAGCGCGAAATTTGAATCGGGATTTTAATGTGTCACGTTTTTATATACCTTTCCAATGAAATTTATATACACTTTTATATTGTCCTAATAATTACGATTTTTTTTTGAAAGTCCAGTTAGGTCTTTGACTCTCGCAATGTTTTCCAAAGAGAAGTGGAGCGTACGTATGTTGTTCTCGAAAGTTCCTCACTTTTAGACGAATCGGGACAAAGCAAAGGTCCACATTTTATCTCTTATCACGGAATCGTCCGGATGAGTTTCATTGTATATTTGCGAGAAAATTATTGAGAAATTCGCGATTATAAGAGGTAAGCAAATATTTTGACACGTTTTTTTTTAAATATATCGATTCACGTGTGGGGTTACAATATAAAAATTATAAATAAAATTTGTACAAATATATATATATATATATACTTGTACATATATACATGCAATACTCCAGTCAGCTGAAACGTGGCGGTGCAATCGCGATTATACATTTTTTATAATATATACATGAAAGTATATCATTGTCGTATAGTGCGAGAGCTGATCGCGCAGTGTATTTGTGTTTCGTGTATAGATGCATAAATGTGTTGATTCGCTCGTTAAAAATTCAGAATTTAAAGGCTCCGACGAGAAAATTGGCACCTCGGTACTTTCACCCTCGATACAAAAGAAACTATATAACCCATCCTTTCCTCTGAGTAAGTAAATTGGAAAACGAAGCTCATGAACCTGCGTTTTTAGGTTAAACGAGCGATCGGGCCTCGGGAAATGACTCACGGTTAATTCACGTAGAGAGATCCGTGAGAACACGTGGATGCTCTGCTTTACGAGAGACGCATGTTGCAAGTTGTCGATCGACGTTCGTTTGGCATTCCTCGGATTCCATCGACTGTTACGGCGTGAATTCGTCGAGGCTCCATGCTGCGAATATCATGTAACATCATCTTCTGAGCCATAGACTCTCGACCAGGCGAATTCTTCGACACATTCGAGCTGAAATTAAATCAGGCTATGTAAGAGTTACGTGAAATTCAAATCTGTAATAAGCTGGAAAATATTTTAACATTAAAGCTTCGATTGATTCCCCTCCCAAAATGCTGGAGAAAATCGCGGAGATGTCGCAATTGAAACATGTACTTCGAGAGTTTCCTAGAAATATGAAATTTTGCTTCGCTTATGGATCAGGTGCATTCAAACAGGCTAATAATGATGGCAATAACATGTTGGATCTCATATTTGTTGTACGTAATGTCAACAAATGGCATGCGGAGAACTTGATAAATAATCCCAAGCATTATGCTCAACCGTTGAGATTTCTTGGCTCCAAAGCAATTACAAGTGTGCAGGAGAGATCGGGTGCTAAAATATTTTATAACACATTGGTCAGAACGAATCAAGGTCAACTCATTAAATATGGAGTGATTTCTGAGGTTTCGTTGGTGGAAGATTTATTAGATTGGAATGATTTGTACTTGGCAGGAAGATTACATAAACCGGTTAAAGTAATTGTGGAACCGGATGAAAATTCTCAACTGCGCACTGCTCTGGTGCAGAATTTGCATTCAGCTGTACACGCAGCCTTGCTGTTGCTTCCTGAGCATTTTACAGAAGCCGACTTCTTCAAAAAATCACCAGCTTGTCCTACCATGGTGATTTTCGCATGATCTTTGGCGAAAACAAAGATAAGATCAGTAATATTGTGCTACCACAATTGCAACATTTTAAGCACTTGTATGAACCAATTTTGAAACATTTTGATAGTTATATAGATATTCCAAAGTCAGATCACATGACTGTTACCTGTCACCAAGATGTCAATCCAGCGACTAAAATTCTTCATTTAAATCATTTACCCAGAACACCACAGGTTAAATTAGTCAGAGCGTGGTCTCAGGGTCCAAGATCAAAAGATACAGAAGATTGTTTGCGCGCTATAGCGCACGATCCAGAATGCTGTGAGATATTGGAGCAATGTTTGAAAGAAATTGTTTGGAGATCTAGTGTGACGCAAAGCTTAAAAGGGATCTTAACGGCAGGACTTGTTAAATCTGTTAAATATAGCAGCGCCAAAATAATCAAGATGTTACAATCTCCCTTGGATTCTCCCATTGCTGTTCTAGCTAAACCTTCTCTGTCTGAGTCGAGTAAAATTGATAAAATCGTTGAAACTGTTGTAAAGAAAACAGAAACACAAAAGGATGCTGAAAAGCGCGTTGAATAATTATGTGTGATTTTCTCAGAAAAAGATTATTTATGATATACATATATACATACATACATATATACATATATATATTTGTAAATTCTTAACGAAACTTGTATCACAAATAAAATGGATAGTTATGATCAACAGTGTAACATTTTCTTTCTACATAATTAGAGTTATTAGATGCCTTTGATTTGTGGTATACGTTTGTAGAATAGTCAAATATTTTTTGTTTCTCATTATAAAAAAAAATTTTGTTATTAAGATAAATTGAAACGTTTTAATTCAATTCTATATTATCTAATATCATATATAACATCACAAATATTAATACAAAGATACATATATATATGTGTGTGTGTGTGTGTGTATGTATGTATAAAAAAAAAAATATATATATATATATAAATATGTATATCGTTAGAGTTCAACTGACAATAATTTGTCTTGATTTCAGCACGTAACTAGATTATGACAACGATGGATTCTGATTCCGAGAGCCAGGACAGTGATGACGGACGACGGTTTCGTTTTGAGGCTACACGCAAGGATTCAGTTGCACCTGTAGATACTGAAGATCGAACAAGGAAGTCCAAGCACAAGTCATCCCATTGCGAGAATAGCAGACACTATCGAACAGACAGGAAAGAACGATCGAAGCACGAGAGCGGTAGGAATATGGACGACAAGGATCTCAGATATTCCACGAAGCATTCGAAGTATGAGAGGAGTTCGAGACAGGAGGATGGCAGAAATTCGCACAAGGACTACCGCGAAAGCAGGGACACGTCCGCTGGATCCGCTGCGAACGACAAGAGTTACAGGAATTCCAACGAGGGTGACGTGAGGGAAAAAATTTCGCGGGACTTGAAACGCCAATCGGACAGAGATCGAAGTGTCCATCAAATGCGACAATCCCGGGAACATTCGTACGAAAGGAATCATCACAACGAACGAGCGGCCAGCGACAAGCACAGGAGTCGACATCATGAAAGGCACAAGCATCATTCTTCTCGTGACAGAAGTCGGGACAGATCCCATCAATCAAGTAGACTGATCAAGTCCTCGAACGGCGACTATCGATTCCGAGAGGATCAGGGAAGACATGACGCCTCTAAGAAGACATCGGTGAAAGAAAACAAGTCGCAAAATTCGAGAGACTATCCTAAGAATGTCGAACGACATCGTGGCTACAGCGAGGCTCGTTTGAACGAGAATATCAAAGAGGATTCGTCGATAGAGACTCAAGACTGCAAGGACTTGGATCTGTCGCAGTTCGACGTTCTGTCAGAGACTGGCGAGAATGTATCCGATTGCCGGGATTCGGGGAGTCGAGCGTCGTCTCCGTGTCCACGTAAGACAAAACTGAAGAGGCACGATTCCGAAGATCGGTCCGAAAATCGCGCGAGAACGAAACGAGAGAACGATGACGGCGATGAAGCGAATGGAGGAAAACGGCAGGAACAATTAAAGGTAAAACGAAGGAACTTAGACCCGGCGTCTGGTTCCACTAATAATAATCCTAGTGCCGTTTCAGATTCCTTACTCAGTTCCGCATCGTCCGCGACGTTCTTGGTAACGAAAGAAACTCGTATGGATTCTGCGAGAAAAAAGGCACATTATGAAGAGGAGAGAATGATGATTAATCCTGACAGTGGCGAATTCTCGAATTTGGAAGAGAAATATTCGCAACGCGTCGATTCTTTAGATGAAACACAACTGTTGGAGAAGGATACGAAAGAAACCGAATCCGTGTACGGCCCAGTTTTGCCACCAAAATTAACATCTAACACTGGTATCGCCAGCGGTGACAAACTTGAGAAGACATCGTCGACTAATCTTGATGAAAATGAAATCGATGACGACAAGAGCGCGAGTTTTATCGGACCTAGTTTACCACCTCGATTAAACAACGATCGTCAAAACGGAAAGCCAGAAGACTCTGTTACAATGGAAACCGACGTTTTTGGACCAGCACTGCCACCACATTTGCTACAACGACAACAGAACGAAAATGATTCGCGAGATAAAATTATAGGACCTGTATTACCTGACACTATAAAATCACATAAAGAAGCTTCGAACGAGTCATCCGACGATGATTGTACGATAGGGCCTTTGCCTGTCGATCATCCAGCTTTGAAAAGTAGTCGCGTGCACGAACAATTAGATTTGAGGGCGCAAAAAATTAGATACGAAGGATATTTAGATGAGGTAAAACTAAAATTATTTACACATCAAGGACTAACAGTTTTATCGACGAGAAAAGAAGAACGTATTTGTATTTTTTAGGCTGATCTTGGAAATAAACGCGAGGAATGGATGACCGAGTTACCACCGGCGCAAGCTGTTAATCTTGGATTGGGTCCTCGTAAATTCAGACTTCGAGATGGGCCGGATATGTCAGATAGATCATGTTGGACTGATACCCCTGCACAAAAAGCTCAGAAACAGAAAGACTTGGTAAATATTTAAAATAATGTGCTGCTACTCTTATTTATTTTTTAAATTGGAAAGAGAGAATTAATTTTTTGTTATTAGGAATTTTAATCTCTACATATTTTGCATATGTACCAATGTTTAACTGATTGCATTCTTTCAGGAGGCAAAGAGATTCAAAGAATCAGATGTAGAACATGTGAAAGAATTTCATAAAAAAGAAACAAATGAAAAAAGAAAGTCTGAAAAATCGCTATTAGAGATACATCAAAGCAAAATCGCCAAGAAAAAGAAGGTATTTATTTAATTTGTTCTTTTTTAGTCGTATTTTTCAAATTATGCAATATATTTAATCATTACATTATATCAATAAAAATATATTACTTTTTTGCATATTTGTTTCCTTAAATTTGTTAGAATAGTGCTATAAGAGATGTATTATTTATTTTCCAGAAAGAAGAAAAAGAGGCAAAACGGATTGGAATATCAGCGAGAAGGCCATTTGATAGAGATATTGATTTGCAAGTTAATCGATTTGATCAAGCGCAAAAGAAAACTATTGTGATGAAGGCACAATTACTTGACGATAGATTTTCACGTGGACAAATTTAATGGATTTAGATGATCATGGATTTGGATTATCAAATAAAAATAAAATTATGATAAGTGTAAATAATCGTTATTAATGAAATTAGATTCTGTAATTAAGTACATTTTCAGAAATTGACAGATATTGAGTGATTGTTACAGATTGGTGCCTTGAATTAGTAGAGTTCTTATCATCTTTATTGATCGATCTTACGAAAGCGTTTTAACGGAATGTGCACTTTAGCCTAGTTATTCGTATTTTCGTATCGTGATCTTTTATAATTTAGAATAGATATCCAAGTAGAATTAATTGTGCCTAAATTTTATTTCTAATTTTAATTTCACAAAATACGCTTATTTCGTCTACACTCTTTCAGAAACGAATATGTCAGAGAAATATTATTGTATATTTAATTACTTATTAGATTATTAATCGAACTAACTATTTTAGTTCAAGTTTTGGAGTGTCTGATTTTTTTGCGAATTATATTTCGTAATGCAATACGACGAAATGTATAAATTGCAATTGAACGATATCTTTTATAAATAGCGTTCATTACATGTCCATATTTTGTATATAGTATTGTTCTTATGCTGTACCATAAGAATAATGCGAAAAATAACAATAACATTTATGTAGCAATAACAACGAGTGTAATAATGATGAATTTTGGTGCATGTGTTAAGTGGATACGTCGCCCTCGCTGTATCTGTTTGTCACATGTATTTTCTATAAGACAGTACAAAATAGTGTGATACTTAGCACTGCTGATATGTAATCTCATAATACATATGATGGCGAATATGAACAACTATGTTATGTGCGTATGTTTAGTTTGTATTTGATACTTTCTCGAGTGTGTATGTGTGTGTGTGTATGAGTGTGTGTACAAGCCTGTGCAAATGAAATACACCTTACTGATTCACATACACTCTCTCGATGGTACATTTTACATTTTCAGAAAGCTGCAATTAATATCTTTGTATTTCTGAAATAATTTTATTCCGTTAATATTATTAATTGACAAAATAAAAATAATAAGTAATGTATGTACGTTTGAAAGTTGAGAAAAGAACTGAAACTCGGCATCCAGAAGTAAAATTTTGAAACTTTGTTAGCGTATTAATCTGTGGATCTGTCATTGCACCTTTCTATCACAAGAAAAATAAAATATTGTGCGATATATTAACAGCTGGACATATTTTAGTTCGATTTCAATAATTATTTATTATCTCTCGCTAAAATTATGTGAATTTATGAATTTGTATACACAAAAATAAATATGTTGATTAAAAATCTCTCTAGCTATTTTTCTAATTTGTAATATTAGTCTATATTTATATTAATAATATAATAACTAAATAGAACAAGAAATTTAGTTATAAATTATCTAAGTATATCTAACACAATAGTGTTTATACATATATTATTTTTTATTATTAGCATTTATATAAAAATCATATATATAAAATTATGTATATGATTTATAACAAATTCTTGCTATAAATTATCTAAGTATCTAACAATTATGTTTATATCATTTTTTATTATTAGTGTTTTTATATATATATATATATATATATATATATATATATATATATATAAATCATAAAATTACGTATCAAATTCACTTCGATATTGCGATTTTCGATATATCGATAGTCATGAAAATAATATTTGTCGTAGCAAATCGTGTGTTTTCCTCGCAATTGTTGTTTAAAAATGAATTTTGTTGTAAAAATTTATCACCATTGTCTCTTGTAAAGTGTCAGCATCGATAATTCGCGTCCGTATACTCAAAATTTTTTGCTCAGAGCAGATTTTAATTTACATATTTGTATATATTCCATACACAAAAATGCACAGTATTGTAAAGTTTCGGCAAAATAAAAAACTTGCTTTATCAATATAAATAATTAGACTCACATTTCGATCACTACTCTGGATTCCTCGTCGCTTTTCCGGTAGGAGACCAACCTCTGCGACAAGAACTGTCCTCGAAAGAAGCTTCGAAATACTGCACTCGCGTTACTTTATTCGCGGGCGAATAAAACCGATGCTCCATTTTCGTGTCGTCGCTTTTTTGACACTTATCGAAGGGCCTTATCCAACGAGGGCGACATCCCCAGGAGTTGCCGATATTCCCAATAGAACCGAGCACGCGAAGGAGCATTTTTCGAACACCGAATACACTCGCGATCGTCGCGTATTTCGATATAATATGCGACTAATATATGCACTTTTCGCGCTCTACTAAATATTTCCGACTCGACAATCCACGAGAAAATTTCAGGGAGCAACGTGCAATATTAAAGTAAAATAACGACAATATGGCGGTGCGATCGTTTTTGTAGTCGTGCGATTTTTACGATGAGCATTCCGAGTTTTGTTCGAGTAAGGATATTTAGACACGCTGATGCGAAAATACGAGCGAAAATGAGCAATCGCTCGCTTGGAGCACGATCGACAACGGCGAAAAACTCGAGAGACTCGCGTCGAAAGCGTCCGGGAATTCTCGCGATCGCGCGCAAACTTTCGGTGTCTAGAGTCGAAGTAGCTGTAACGTCACGCGAAGGACGGGAGGACGCGAGATATCGATCTCGCCCGCACGATCGCGATCGCGATTGCGACGTGCGACGCGATCGGATTCATACGATAATTAACGCGATGTAAAGATACTAATTAATATATATACTTTGACAGGCGATATGCGCGGGAACGTTGATTATGAACTAGTAGAAAGTGTATCAGAGGGCAGCAGCAGTCTAGAAAGTGTTCGCCTAGGGTGAAGCGATCCTCGATTGATCCTTGATTTCCGATTGGTGGAGCAAATTTCGTCCACCAATCAGAGACCGAGAATCTCTCTGTCTTGATTGGCCAATCGAGAGCTCACTCTGGATAAATATATTTTCAAATACTTGCACTTTCTACTTTCTATTGTACTTATGTACGATCACGTTCGCGGTTCGTGGGATTATCACCGGTCAGTCCGCGAAAGTATACGTGTGTGATTAATTAATTAATTAATTACTTAATTAATGTCTTTACGTTAATTATTGTATGAATCCGATCGCGTCGAGTGTCCTGACATGATGATCGCGATCGCACGCGCGAAATTGATCCCGTCGTCGTTGAATATCTCGCTCGTTCGTTCCTCGCGATCCTCGCGTACTTGATGTCCTTGACGTGACGTCACAGCGAGCCGAGCCGTGTCGAAAATTTGCGCGCGCAAATTTACGAGGGCAGATCGCGATAATTTCCGGATACCTTCGACGCGAATTCCGCGGAGTTTTTCAACGCTTGTCGATCGTATTCTAAGGGCCAAAATATCGTGAAGTGTATATATATATATATATATATATATATATATAGTGCCCGATTCTTGTCGAAAATGTGACAGCTAAAATTCGGGCGTCGTCGCACGTGGACGAAAAATAATAACGCGAGTGCAAATAAATGTTTCGAAGTTTCTACGAGAATAATTCATCCCGACATGGAGGTTATATATAATCAAAATGTGAGTCGAATTATTTATTTATTTATAAAGCGAATAAAGCTCTTCTTCCATCAATATTGTCGAATTATTCGTTATTGAGAAATATTTTCTTTGATTTCTCTGTTCGAAGTAAAATAATATTTTTCAAACAAAGAGTAGGATTCGAGAAATAATGAAATAATTTATACATGAAAAAAATGATATAAGCTGCTTCGGCTATATTTCGATATTTCGAGAATCGAAATCGAAATCGATTCTCGAAATATCGAACAGGCCAACAGCGACCAGAGACAACTTCAAATAGCGGCCAATCGTCTTCGGATTCTCTCGTGAAAAATTGTCATGATTTTTCCTGTTAAAGTATAGTGTTAAACACGCATCCTGTATAATTATTTTCAGTGTCGCTGATTCGTTTCCGCGTATGTGTGGAATCCTCTCTCTTCGGATACTTCGTGTCATCGTCAGTCATCGATTTCCCGTAGAATAATAATGCAACGAAAGTGCATAAACAACCATAATCAGGTATGTGCGATGTCATCGCAGTTACCCGCGCCGATGTATATAATTGTTCGCATTTTCGCAACAAAAAATCATTTTTAAATTGCGATTAATAATTTTCGATTTTAATAAAAGCAACATAAAGAAATAAGTGTCATGTGTGTCAGAAACCATAATTTTTTTGTTTTGGTATCTGAAAATAACATTGTCTCCAAATCACTTGTCTCTTTGTAAAATAATATTTTACATTATTATAATTATATTGTACATATATATATTTTTTTTTGATGACTAAAAAAACTCCGAGTTTATATATGTTTATTTGTATTTTTATATGTCTTTTTATATATACAAATGACATGATATTTTGCGACGACGATAATCCGCAATTATTCCCAGGCCATTTTGTGACTATTCATTTAATAGTCACGTAACTCTATCCTGGATTAGCGGTCTTTAATAAATTATCGTGGACGATATCCCCGGAATTCGAGTCGCAATTTAAAGCGCCGCGTGTCAAACACGCCTAATCTATAACGCACGCGATTGGTCGCGTCCTACGCATTTCCCACGTATCATTAGTTGCGAGTGACAGCTCGCTTGGTCCGCCAGGTGATTACGATTTCCAGCTGATTTGGATCTTGCAAACAAATCGTTTCTATCGATCCGCCCGTCGTTATATCATCGTCGTCGTTCACCATTTGACAACGTTATATATATATATAATCGGGAAGTAAAATATAACCTCGAAAAGAACGTTCAATCATGACGTTTTCGTCGTGATGCGCGGCGTCTCATCCTCTCCGTCGTGAGTGATCGCGATTTAGCGACGAGAGCGCTTCCAGGAGAGACGATTACTTCCGATTTGAAGATCTCGGGTGAGAAAAAGAGTGAGAGGGAAAAAGAGAGGGACGAAAGGAAGGAAAATAGGCAGAGTATTGTCATTGTCTTAGTTAATGGCTGGCCGAGAGAAGAGCATAAGGCAGTGATTAATGGTCGCGCTGAATGACAGTCACGAACAATTTCCAAGTACGTATTGCTTCTTATTTTTTTTAATAATGACAAACGATTTTTGTTCGCTCCCCCTAAAAAAAGATTGGCACGCGACTATCCGGGTCGCGAAATCGCGTCGTCTGATAACAGCGTCGATAATCGGTCGTGTTGACCCGCTGCACGCGCGCGCGAATACACGTACGCGTGAATACATGTCACGTAATGCTCGTCGCATTAATTGATGTAATATATACGTATATTATACTTGTATACGGACAGCGCGTGTTATCTCTCTTGTCCAAGGAGGTCCCGCGTCAACATCCCGAGGACCGTTCATGGGGGTCATTTTGTGGAAAGAAATGCCGACAACAGGTGTTACTGCGTGTCTCGTTAACGATCCGTGTTTTTTTTCCATTTATTTCGGTCCGTTGAAAAACCTTGGAAGCTGCGCGAAGATGAATTTTACAACGCTTGACGCTTTGTCTCGCGAGATCTTGGAAAAGTGCGTCGTAAAGTTGTGTGCATTCGAAATCACAAAGATCGTTCGAAACTTGTTTGTTTACTTTAACTAGATACTGGGTACATATTATGAATCATGCGCGTAATGTGTATTGTCTATTGCGTGATTATTAACAACCTGGAGCACACATCTCAAACTTAGTATCATTGTTCAGGATGATAAGATGGAATATATTTGTCTTTCTAGAATAGAAGTCGACTACACTTTTTACAATGTACTTTTTATCTACTTTGGATGTATTCACCATAGTAAATCTGACAATTGTATAATGAACTGTTCGAGAGGAGTCTCAATGAAATCATAAAATGATGATATAAAATTGATGAAAACGTGGATGCTTCAACTGCTTCAAAATGCGACCGTGTTGTTTAAATCACCAAGTCCTTTTGTGGCTTATCTTTTTGATTCTGTGCGCTACATACAGCAGCGCAGACATCTTAGTGTTTTCCGCAGTGGCAAGGCATCAGATTGAAGAGGAGTTTCGTGATATGCCTGCCAAGTTTGGAGGCATAATACCATCGGAAGGAATTAAGGTTTCATTTTTTTAATTGATTTTATGTGATACAAATTTTATTATATATACATATATATATATATTTTTATGATTTTGTTAGGGCATGGCAGTTTATGCTAATCCTCCAGCTGCGTGTCAGAAAATTCAGCCTCCACCAAATATTACCGATTACAATGGAAATTGGATAGTTTTAATACGACGTTATAACTGTAGTTTTGAAATAAAAGTTCGAATGGCGCAAGAAGCTGGATACGATGCTGTTATTGTACATAATGTGGACAGCAATGAACTAGGTAAATTAAATGAGTACTAAATAATTGTGAAAGTAAAATATCATCTATTTTTTGTTATAATTATACATGTGAAAAATTGATTCCAGAACCAATGTCAGCAAAGGATCCTATAGGAATCATGATACCAGCTGTGTTTGTTGGCGATGTTACAGGATTAATTATAAAAGAAAATTATTTATACGACCAGTTATATTTTCTATTGATTAACGATGATCTGCCGTTCAATATTAATACGCACTTACTCTTGCCCTTTGCTATTGTTGTTGGGATATGTTTCCTAATCATAGTTATTTTTATGGCAAGTAGCAAATGCATTAAAATCTCGCATATAATATAATTTAACTTCAATATTAATTATTTATGTATATTGCACAGATCGTTAGATGTATAAAAGATAGAAGGCGACAACGGAGACATAGATTACCTAGTTCTAGTTTAAAAAGATTCCTACACACAAGTATACAAAGGGTGATCCATACGAGACATGTGCTATTTGTTTAGATGATTATGTGGAAGGAGAGAAGTTACGAGTTTTACCGTGTGCACATGGTAAATATTTTTTATTAACGAACTATTTGCGTTATATTACATTAAATATTTCGTTTCTTCAATCATAATCTTTCTTAATATTTTCTGAAATATATTAAAATAATAAATTATCATTCACACGTTCACAATTTTTCAGCTTATCATTCAAAATGTATTGACCCATGGTTGACAAAAAACCGAAGGGTTTGTCCTGTCTGCAAAAGAAAGGTTTTTGCGGCTGACGAGCAGGTTGTGACCGACGAAAGTGATTCGGATGCCGATGACACAACGCCTCTCATTCGCGACGGTCATCGAGGTACGGATATTTTTCTCGGAATCAAATAATTTAGATTTGTAATTTATCTACATTACGAATAACTCGAAGATAAATATTTTAGGTACCCAAGGAGGAACATTTGCACGACAGAGAGAGAATCCTTTCAATAGAGCCAGAAGATTACAATCTCGGCAGGATTCTAACGATAACTCTAGCGATAATAACTCTGATTCCGACCAGTCATTTACTACTATTGAGGATAATAGTACTAGAGCTAGTGAACCAAGTAATGTAACTTGTGTTTTCCTGGTATCCGAAAACCATAGCATAAATGGTGAGATTATTCGCTGATTGTGTACAGATATGCAGCTATATGAAATATGCGCACAATTTATTAATTTTGTTTCTTCAATTTGTAGGTGAACCACAAGAGTTAGAACGTTCAGTCAGCAGCACGAAACCACATACGATAAACTTGTACGCGGACGCTCAAGAATTTCCCGTACCTGTTCACATTGTGTCGTCGCGACGCGGAGTCGTGTCAGATCTCGCGACGTCAAATTCCGATCGTTGTGTCGATGTTCCGGATGATGCGATGACGTTGGCCAGTAGTTCGCAGAACAGAAACAACGTCATTACATAATGGCCTGACATAACAATGTGACTATCATTATACATTATGAATGTCTCGTGGAAAAAGGAGTCTTTTTTTTCCTTTGTGGGAGGAACATTGGTACAATATTGGTGCACAGCGTTATAGTAGAAGCGACGTAGGATAATGAGAACGGATAATCCGAAAGTAGGTAAGTAGATAGTATTTTTTAATATAGGCGAACTCTGTTATATTTTTCTCAAATTATGATATTACGACTTTGCTTTATGCCAAATATTTGTTTGCACCTAATATGTCTGGTCTTTATTTGATAAATTACATAATACATCACATTTTCCTTTCTTGTGCGACGAATATCACGCAGTGACGTATCATAGATCAATAACTCTATATTTTATAATTGCGAATCTTTTGAGGGAAATATTAATTTTATATTTTAGATTGTGAATTTATGCGAGGCATAAAACCTAATGTATATAATGAACGATCTGTTATTTACGTTCGAGATATTATATGTTGCTTTATTTTATTTTATTTTATTTTATTTTTTTTTTGATCCTTAAAGTCGTTTTCAAGATAGTAAGACTGTGCTGGGTTGTATGTGTGCGTGTGTGTGCGTATGTATGTATGTATGTATGTGCGTACGGGTAAACTCTAATTTACCATTTCGTAACATTATTTTCTTAGCAATTATACGTATATGGCCTATTTGATTTTTGGTTACACTGTACGAGATTAAATTTATTCGAAATTGCGTATTTCTCGTCATATGGTTACCAAGCTATAAACATGATTTGTTATATAAGTACGATTTGTTATGTTTATAAATATATGATTACGTTAATGGTAAATGACGAACACGCGTGATATTGTAAAGTGATGAACGTTTTTGACGTCGGATCTGTAAATATTATCTGTTCATATATACATATAATACATACAGTCTCAAGAGACTAAAAATATATAAAATCCTTTTAATGCAGGACATAAAATACTGTGAACGACAAAATAAATTTCAAGTTTAGATATTAACTTGATCAAGTTAAATCTTTAATATTAAGTTTTATGAAAAATTTATTGTTATTTAACATATATGCTAATTAATTGTATGTGAGCTAACTATACTGTTTTATATAAAAAAGATAAAATAATACTTATTATATAAAATGAGCTGTATACAATATGATGTATCCAGAATTACATGTAAATTTCGTTACTGTCAAATAACATGTCTCTTTATCTGATTTTTCATCGACAACAATAGAAGCAAAAGTTGCGACAATTCTAATGTGAAACAGTTGTATAATTTAAATTTAAATCAAATATCAGAGAGACATCAACGCTGTCAACAGACTCTCTACATTATTTTATTATGGCTGTTATTTTATTTTATAGCTCCATTATTTTATTGTAACATTTTAAGAAAGATCCGCTCGAGAGTTTATTTATAATGAGAAAAACAAGAGGACTCGTATCGAACAATATTCTGATGCTTATTTATATTGCAGAGACACATACATACACACACGCGCACGCGCACGTGATTTAGTTTCGAGAAAAGTAAATGCAAAAATTAATTGCAAATAGAATGTAACGCGGCAAGATTGTAAAAAGATTTGTAAATAGCATCGGAGAAATTTCATTATATATAAATAGAACGTGAAAAATATTTTTATTTGTTTTTATAATTGCCAAATCGGGACACAAGAGTATTTGCTATGATCTTATTGTTTAACGATATATAAATGTAATATATTAATCTATTAATAAAAATGCAATGTATTTATATTTTTTATTGTATAATATATAATTTGTCTTAGCCAAGAGACATAGGAAGCACAGATTGTTTGTAAGCGAGCATAAGTAAATATTTTAAAAGAGATAGTGATATTTAATGGATTATATATCTTACTCTTTTATTGAGAATAGAATGGGAAATCTATGTTCATTAAAAGAAGATAGTGAAATCTATCAAGTAGGTCTATATCCTTTTTACTCGCGAGTGTTTTTTACTTACGATAACGATATAATAAGAACAGTATATGCTTCCTATATCTGTGGCTTTAGTCTCATAAGACATGGTATACTTTATTGTTTTTACGATAAGCGATACGTCTCGGTAATGGATGGCAAAACAAAGTTAAAATTTAAATAATCTACAAATTGAGAAGCTGTAGATTATGAAATAAAATAAAACGATCTGTAAATATTATAGCAAGAATTTGTAAAAAGAATATATGTCAAATTTATCGAATAAGCGATCTCTCCCAAGAGAATTGAAATTGTTAATGTTCAATCTGTAAAAAGCTACGAATTAATTACAAAGATTTTTCTAAGATTATAGATCAAACAAATTGTAAGGAGTTTCTCGTATAGAAGCTATATCTAGCGTGTTGGAAATCCAAAGATATAGAATCTTACAAGTTCGAAGATCCCTAAGTGGAGAAGTGTCCCAAAAAAATTTATAGGATTTCAAAAATCATGGCTCTTGCGAGCATCGCGGGATTTTCGCAAGTAACGGCAAGTCGATCGAGATTTTCAAGATGAGCCGGATATAGCCAGAGTGGGAGGAGCGCACTAAGAGCGGAGCCAACACTTTGCAGTCGAGAAACGGCGAGTGGTCGCACGTGACGATACAATGCCGCTCGTGTCCTTACCTCTTGTACCTCGCCTCAAGACGTGTACACACGAGTAGTAAGAGACGGCTGTACTGTTTTACACGTCATTCCAAACTACTTGTTCATCCCCATTGCCCCTTCCTCCCTCCCGCGAGAAAGAGAAGCTAGTCCTCTCCACCTTTGCTATCACAGCAATCCCGATGCGACCCTCCAGCGACACCGTCATCATCCGGATCACCTAAGCGATTACGATTGATTAAAAACCTTGAATAATGAGCTCATGTAATACTCATCGTAGTAATTGAACGAGGAAAGAAATATGCGAAAGACTTGGCTTTTCCATCTGAATAAAATCTCGCGGATATGCGATTTTCATATTTATATTTAATATATATATGGATATGTACTCTGGATTAGATATATGTATATGTATAAGGACGTGGACGTATAGCCCAAAATTGGCGCATAAGATATCATTGAGAAATCTTTAAGACAGCTTTAAGAAATCTTGTGATATGATATCCGAAAGACATCTTAAACATATTTTAAAGATATCTTATGCGCCGATTTTGGATTTGGTGCTGTCTGGGTCTGTATCGCGATTGCTGTCGAGGAGTGGAGGCGCTCCGAAGGGAAGGGCGATAGAAAGGGGATGGTTTCGGGGGTCGTCCGAGCGGCGAGACGAGACGGGCAAGCTGTCCGCGTGACTAACCCGTCGCTACAGCTGGTCGTGTATTATCGATTCGCGAAAATTTCTCTTCACTCACGGTCATGCGCAACTTCCATTTCCACCTTGAGAATACGGGTCGCGCACGCAACGTGGCCATCGATGCGATGCGCCGGCGTGCACACGTGTATATACGTGTGTGTGTGTGTCTGTGTGTGTGTGTGTGTGTGCATTCATGCATGCATATGTATACATATACACGTACGTGTATGGTATTGCACGGGAAAAGGGAGGCTCGACATCGGTGCGTGCGCAGGGGTGGAAAACGCTTCTCTCTCTCTCTCTTTCAGGGTGTAGTCCCCGGGGGTGGCGGCACCTTCCGCCAAATGGTTCGAGAGAGAGTCAAAGTTTTAAGCATATTAACACCGGAATACACTCGCGGAGACGAGCAACATGTTCGCCGATGATTCCAACTGGGATTTAAGGGTTTCTTCGCGCGTGTATGTGATCTTGTTATGAATAATTTATGATTTTGTTGATATATTGTTGTCTTCTCTCTCTCTGTATTTTCTCGATGTGCTCGGGGGAAAACTTGTCTGTATAATAAATAATAAATATGATAATAATGAGATGAGATGATTTTCAAGAGATAGAATGGAGACAATGTTATTTAAATACATGATGCGCGATGTCTTTCGACTGATGTAAATTTAATGCAGGACGAAAGGAGCGAATTTTAATGCTGCTTTGCGAGTTATGGGTACTGCGTGTGGAAAGAATTTTTCTTAAATGCACATGTTTGATATTGATTTATTATTTATTTTTATCTGCTAAAGCTGCCATCTCTCTCTCTCTCTCTTTTTTCGAAGAATTCCAAGAATGAAAAAGTTGCCTCAAAGCTCTTACTCTATTTACCGTTAAATGTGATGATTTTATAATATGTTTGTGCACTCTTTTATAACAGTACAACTTTTTAATCCAATAATTAACAGTTAACTGTATAACTGTTCAACATCACTCTTTCCGAGTTACAAATTGTTGCATGATTTCGTTAAAATCACATTTATCAATTAATTTAGATAAATGTCATAAAAGATAAAAATCATTATATTCACGTAAGATTTCAAACTGTCAGTCGACGGCGTGGAAGTTTCTTTGCTGATCGATCAATCGATAAATCAAATTTAATCGGCTGAAAAATCAGAGGTACATAAGAAATGCGATTGATTTATTATCGATTGATTAGGCGGGATTAAATAAGGATCAGAGACAATAAGAGACGGCACTGCGAGCGCGTTCGGGATTTCGTTTAAATCCCGACTCGAGCTACATTTCAGCATACCACTTCTTCTCCCTCTTTCTCTCTCTTTCTCTCAGCTGGCCTGCGGAATTTAAATAGCCGGACGGAGCAGCTGTTTTCGCAAAAGTATATGCACGCAAAGACAGTTCCTCGTACATGCACGTTTCGCTTTCTTTTACATTTTAATGATACAGGAAATATTGCAAATGCAAGTTGAGAGGCAGAGTTTCAACACTCAATATTTTGTCCCTTACAGTTAAGAAATAATTCATTTATATGTAAATCAATTATCGAAGGAAGTGCACGTGTTGCCTTCGTCGTGGAAAAAGATCAATTCGGTTTTGCTTTCTTTTATTTAATGATACAGGAAACATTGGAAATGCAAAAACTGAAGCAGAGTTTCTCAACAATCGACATCTTTTTTTTCTTTGCACCTGTATTAATTGGGAAAAAATTTATTCATATATAAATAAATTAATGAAGGTTTCGTGGAAAAAAAATCGAGTTAACTAACATAATTAATGTTTACAGAAAGTTTACTTCGATATATGATGAGTAGGAGGACTTATTATCATTTTATGCTTGGGGTACCAGGAAAGTTAACAAAGTCATTAAATTGTCGAAAGTTGCAAGGAACTCGAAATGAAACTTTAACGGGATATTAATAACGCAGGGAAAGATATTTTCGTTGCTTTGAGAATAGATTTTTTGTCTCTCGACAGATTATTATTATGATGATATACTTTTCTACGTTTAATACGAAATACTAATTGTCTTTTAGTGTATTATTATACTTTTTTAAAAATTAGCCGTTTTATTAAAACAAAAATTGATGAATCCAAATAGAGATACGTACATAAAACGTCACCTAGTAATTAAGTATCGCAAATTCTTTTTTACGTTTAATAAAATACTCATTGTCTGTTAGTTACTTTAGTGTATTACTATGATAATACTTTTTGTTTAATTGGCCACTTTATTACAATAAGAAATGTACGATTCCAAATGGAGATGCACACATAGAAAAAATCCTCGATCGATCTTTGCATAAACGTTCTCCATCGTTTTCCATAACAATTCCCCGACAATCGCAAGTATCGCAAATTGTTTCGCGATACTCGCACAGAAAAAAAAGGAATCCTTGATTCAAGTATATTTTCATTCTCGAACGCTATTTGAACGCTCTTTGTAATCACAAATTTTCATTTGCCTTAATAATAAATAAGTTTGTGTAAATTATATTTTATCCTCAAGATATATTCTCGTTTGAAAATCGCATGTGGTAAAAACAAACTTAGTCACATTTGAACTAAGAATTATTATATATATATTTGAAAGTACCGCTTATATCCGATGCTCACTTGTCACTTGTCCTTGCAATATTTACAAGTAAATTTCAGCTTCAACCAGAGAAGAATATTTAGCACTTTGTTTGAAGGATAAATGATCCTTTATCCAAAATTATTTATATTTGGGGCTATTTATTATCAGGATAAAATATACTCGAATCAAAGCATATTTGCATTCTCTCAAGGATACTGTTTTTTCTGTCCGAGCCTTATCGCGCGCTGGCTCCGCGAGGATAAGCTTCCAAGGAGCAAGGATTCTTCAGCGTCCTAGAAGTAGTCTATCTTTCGAGAGGGTGATCCCGACGCAGGACCAACCGGTAATCGGAGGCGGTCCCGAAACGAATGCAAAGTCAGGCAGGTCCGATCTCTCCCTCCTCTCGGATTCGGCTCGACCTCGTCGCCGCCGATCGAAGTCGAAGCGTATATAACGCGCGGCCGCCGCCGCCGATATATTCGGGTCGTTCGGACGGTCGCTCGAATCTCGGAACGAGAACAAATCCATACTGCGCCGCGCGCACCAGAGAGTCGAGGATCGTACTTGGGCCGGTTTCTCTCCTTTTTTTTCGGCGAACGCCGCTCTCTCTCTCTCTCTCTCTCTCTTTGGGGCTGGGAGGGCGGATAACTACTCTCGGAGAAGAAGACGGAGAAGAACCCTCCGCGGGGGCGGGATTCGGAGAGGAAGGTAGGGATGAAAGGGGTTTAAGCGCGATTCTTCGGGTACGAGGGAGAAAGAGGAGAGACGAAGAAAGGCGGGAAAGAGAGAGAGAGAGAGAGATGGTAGCGCCGGAGGGGATGATAAAGGGTGCAGGATGCGAAGAGAGAGGGTATGGAAGCGCTCGAAGCCGCCGTCCCCGGATAGGGAGCGGCGCGAGAACGAAGATGGCGACCCGTGCCCAATGACGTCCGTCGTCGTCGAAATACCGAAATACGAGAAATACCCAAAGTCTCGAATGCCGGATGATCGCGACGACGAGAGACCGTTCGTTCGGCAAGCTCGTACCTGTCGGAACCGGAATCGCGTCAGAACGCGAGAGAACCCAGGTGGCGCAATTTTCGCGTAGGAGAAAGAATCCGCCCTGCATGATGGATGAAAGGGGTTGTGGATAAAGGGAGAGAGAACGATGAGCGCGTGCATATGAGAGGGAGCGAGGGATCCCAGCGGATAAACAAGCGGGATAGAGATGGGGGATGAAGAGGAGAGTGGGTGCACCAAGAGAGGTTGGGGGATGCATGGTGCGCGCGCGCGCGCCTCTTCAGCATCGCGACACGAGGGAGAGAGAGAGACAGGGTAGACAGAGGGAGCTCTCCCCCGAAGTTTAGCGACGAGTCTCTCCAAGAGGGATCCTCGGGTACGTCCGCGTAGTACGGGAGCTAGCCGAGAACGAGCTGGCGCGCAGTGCCTGATGTCGGCGCGGGTCGCGGTGTTTCTTCTTTCCTCTTCTTCTTCGTAACGTCGTCGTATCGATATATACGTGCGCGCGCGCGCGCGCGCGCTTCGCCCGCAAGATCAAGCAAAGAGTGGTGTGTAGTACATGTTTTGTGTATGTGCTCCATTATAATAGCCTGGTGCCCTATTGTGGTATCCCTGTCGTTCCTTCTTCCGTCGCCGGGCCCGACGACTGTCGTCTTGCTCGTCGTCGTCGTAGCTGCCGTCGTCGTTCTTTAGAGCCCTAGATATAATATTAGGGGGTAGAATAAGGGATAGAGATAGAGAGAGAAGGTAACATCCGGATAACGTTGGATCCGCGCAACCCTCTACGCGAGTCTATCCTCCCCGTCCGCGAACAGAGTGGATTCGCCGTAACCCTCTCGAATCTCTGGTTCGTGTCGCGCGAACAACATCCCTCCTCCTTTCACCCTCATTCCCCCTTCCCGATCGACGATCATCGAGCACCCCTTGCCACACCGAGTGCACGATAATAAATCATTGACGTTAAAGGGTAGCGCGAGAATATCGATACACTGAGATAGAGATAATGCATGTATGTACCAATAATTGATATAGATCGGTAATCCTGTTGGGAAGCAGAGGGTTGCGTGCTCCCACGGAACATTGCCTCGTCCTTTGCTGCGTCCGCGTGCCAGCACGTGTGCGTAATGGTATCGTAGAGAGATAGAAAGGGGTAAAAAGAAAAGCTCGCGAACTGTCGAAAGAATGTGGAAAAAAGAATAATCCAAGTCCCTTAATTGCGTTCACCAGTTTTGGATTTACGCGATCGTTGTTCCGAATATCATTGTCATCATCAGGTTCTACGATCATCATCATCATCATCATCATCATCCGTCTGGCGCGTCATTTTCAACGGCGGCTCGCGTTTCGTCGCGAGACGAGAAACGAGAGTGGAATCGTCGGGCGCGCCGCGACAAGGGGGTTTGACAATGCGCCGATGCGACGACGGTGGTGCCAGCATCAGCATCAGCAGTACCAGCGGCGGGGTCCCGAGTATCACGGAGCGGTCTCCAACATTCGCGACGACCCCTAGCTACGATGACGATGACGACGTCCTCGCCTAATAATGCTCCTCTCGTATGCCCCTCATCATCCTCGTCGCCGCGAGAATACCCGTTAGGACCCGCCGATCTTATATATTGGTCTCCGTGCGACCTCGCACTCGAGATCAGTCAGTAGAGATCGGTTAGTCGATCGGACGTTGAGGCAAAAAGCGCGCGCGCGCGCGCGAGAGGGTGGTGGTGGTGAAAAAACGCCATAACCTCGTTCTTTCTCTTCCCTTCCTCGAGCAGGAACACCAATCACCTCGACCACCTCGAGGGAGACGCGACCGAAGCTCGCCGTGTGTTCATTTACCGTCTTCGTCGATCGCGGGTTGTTATTCGATCGGTTGTTACCGGGATGTGTCGATGAGGTCTCGGGTGCGGCGATTCGACAGACTACCACTACTATTATCATCGTCGTCGTCGTCCTCGTGGTGGTGCGTGCTGTCCTGCCGCCACCGGCCGTGATCATCGGCGACGACAGGCAGCAACAGCAGCAGCAGCAGCAGCAGCAACAGCAACAGCAGCAGCAGCAGCAGAGTGAAGAGGGAGAAGGAGGAGGGTACGTAGCCGGGCGTTCAGGATGCAGCATGAACCTCGGTGCCCCGCACTGGGAGCTCGCGAGCCTCGGCAGGGGGACTACGACGACGACGACGAAGAAGCGGGTGTTGTTCAGGTGCTTTCGCATCAGGTCGTCCTCGATACACGCAACGTCGTCGCGCGCGTCGAGAACTGCCGCCGTCGCCGGCGTCGTCGCGCTCACTCGGAAGTGGCGCGCAACACCCGGGACAGCGGCATCGGCAGGGGGAGGAGAGACCGCGAGGTGGTGGTGCAGGAGAAGGTGCAGGTGGCGCGGCAGGAAGAAGAGGCGGAAGCGGAGGTGGTGGACTATTACTACGAGCGTGTCGCGTTGCCGTCGAGGGAGCTCCTCGCCGGGGTCGTCGTCGTCGCCGCCGCCGCCGCAACCACCGCGACTCTCGCTGTCTCGGTCGGTCGTGGTACGCTGGTCCAGGGGAACTTCTAAGGGCCCCGCCAACCCGGACCGCTCAGGCAGGTACCTGGGCGACTGGTCCGGGCGACGCACGAGCGGGGCTGACATCATCCAACTACGGGGAAGGACTACGTCTCGATTACCCGTCCGGGAAGAAGGAGGAACCGTCGTCCCGGAAGTACGACGAGTCGAGAATCGGGGAACGAGTAAGAGCGTGCCGAGAGACGGGCCTCAGCCTTGGTGGCAGCGATGCGGGGCCTCCTGCAGTCCACCGCGAGTCGCCCGCGTCATCATCGTCATCATCGTCGTCGTCGACCACCAACCGAGAGGCGGTCGTTGCTGGTGGAAGGCGAGGAAGCACGTTGCAGCGTCGACGGGGTGGTGAGCGACGACGGGACGTCGAGGACGTTAACAACGTCCTCGATCATCTTCGCGAGCCCATGCGGCTCGATCCGTTCGGACTCACCACGGGACCACCCACGTCGAGGAGGAGGAGGTGGAACGAGAAGAAGAAGAAGAAGAAGAAGACGTTCGTCGAGGGCGCACGGTTCGTTCGCGATAACGAGGAAGCCACTGCCTTTCGCGTCCCTCGCAATTCCGCTTCGCGCGGCGTGGTGCGCGCGCGCACGCGCGATCGCCACGAGGATCACGAGGTGGACGAGAATGATTACGTCGGCGTCGGCGTCCGGGCCCCGAGTTGTTCCGCTCGAAGAGCCAGAGGAAGGCCACGGGAGGACGTGCTTGCTTACACTGCCTATATCGATGACAGAGACGACGACGACGACGACGACGACGACGACGACGACGGCGACGCGCGTGTTAGTGTTCCGGGTAACGAACAAGGACCCAGAGACGCGAGAGAGGACTACGCGAAGGTGGATGCGATTAATCGTGGTGTGCCTAAGTGTGCATCCTCGTTGGATCGTCGTTACGGTTACGCGCACCCGACAGTGGACGGGCACGAACGAGGAAAGGGAAGAGGATGTAGCGATAACACTGCCTGGTTCCAAAAGCCAATTACTAGGAGGAGGAGAGACGCCGAGAGAAGAATAGGGGAGAAGCCGCGTACGCGCGCGAGTTATTACAAGTTGCTGCTATTTATGCTATACCTTCTGACGTGGCCCCTGCTGTGCTCGACCAGTCCCTCGGGTCACTTTACCTCGACCTTCACGCAGAATCCGACCCTCGCGCGCAACAAGAACCTCGCGCAGCGAGGGCACGCCTCGCCGCTGGAGACATCGTATTTGTCGTCGTCGTCGTCGTCGTCGTCGTCGTCGTCGTCGACGGTGATCGTGCAACATCAGCATCAGCAACGGTACGTTCAGGGTGGCGATTACAAAACCGATAGCGAGCGTCATCGTCATCGCCAACAGCAGCAGCAGCAGCAGCAGCAGGAGCAAGTGCGACAATTACAACGGAAACAAAAGCGAGAGCAACAGTCGCAACAGATTTCTGAGAAGTTAGTCTACACCTGGGAGTTGAACCAGTTGAATCCTTGGCTGTCGGCCTGCGACTTGGCGGGACCAGCGCCGGCCGATCTTCAGGGTAGCTGCGGTCCACCGGAAGTGCCCAAGTACTGTCCCATGCTGTGTTCGGACGAGACGACGACGACGACGACGACGACGACGACGACGACGACGACGACGACGAAAACAAGGGTCGGCGAGGAGAAGAAGGAGGAGGGCGTACGGACTGCCCGGGAACAGTGCCTTTTTTATCTCGAGGAGTCGCACAAGGGGAAGATCTGTGACGATCCAAAATTGTCCCTCGAGAAACGATATCTGGACTTGAAGAAGCTGCGTCTGCGGCACTGCTGCGAACAAGCGGTGTTCAACGCCCTGGCACCGGGCGAGAACGGCCCGCTCATGGACGTGCTGAACGGCAGCGAGAAGTGCGCCGATGCCCTGGACAAGCTGTTGATCGTCGATCAACTGGCCGCGAGGCTGCATTGCGAGTTCGAGGAGGTCCTGGCGCGCTACGATTGCGCCCAGCCGTACTCCGTCATCCACAACTGCACCGATTGCAAGGTAAGGATCCATCCAGATTCTCGCTGCACTCGACCCTGAGACAGAGAGACGTCGCTCTCTCTCTTTCTCTCTCTTTCTCTCTCTCTCGAGGGTGATTCACTCGCCTTGTGCTTTGTCAACTTGAAAGCTTTTATTATTGCTCCTTAAATGAAAGTAAAACGATATATGGCGTGGAATAGAGCAGCTTTAGAATCCTAATAAACTTGAGTAAAGCGTTCTCCATCTGTCTCGACACTTGAAAAACGTGTTAACTTCTGTGGAAATTATTTCTTAACTTATATTTCAGTTTATTAAACTACACTTAAGCGCAAATATAACAATTTCTTGAAAAACAGATATCGCATACCATCGATTTATCTTAAATGGCTTGCAATGTTATATTATATGGAAAGTCCGACATATTTGATATTTTATTGCAACGTGCATTAATACCATTGAATCTCTCTAAAGATTTATAATTACTACTGTGGATTTATTTATTTTTTTTTTTTTTAATGCGTGGGTTCTAATAAACTTTAGTAAAAATTCTCCATCTTGACATTGATAAACTTGTTAATTTCGTGTAAAATAATTTGAGAATTTATATTTGAGTTTATTACTTGTGACACATTTAAGTTGAGTAAATCTTGTCACGTGTGCGACAATTTCTTTACAAAAAGATCGTATATACTTATGAAGATTTATCTTAAATGACTTGCAATGTTTTCCATGTTGTTTAAAATTTATTGCCTGTCTTTTAATTTAGAGAGAGAGAAAATCGACATCAAACATTCACGATATACTTTACATAGAAATAATAATTAAGATGTAATTAATCTCTTTCGTCGTTTTTGGTGGTCGTTTTTGATAAATCTATGAAAGCCACCATTGTTTTCGTTATAATCATAAAACATTTAATATCCAACTGCAATTTGCATTTACATTGAATCTCTGTAGAGATTTGTGTAATTATTACTGTAGATTTATTCTAATTGAGTGGATCCCCATCTATAATAAAGTGTTCTCCATCTATCTTGATATTTGATAAACACATTAACTTTATTAATTGTGTAAATGATCTAGGAATTTATATATTTGAGTTTATTACTTTATAACGCATTTAAGCAAAGTAAATCTTGACGTCTGTGAAACAATTTCTTAAAAGCATACCATATTTTACAGATTAATCTTAAACTGCAATTCTCATGGTGTTCTGATTTCTTTTTTAATTTATAGAAAAACAATCGCGCGACAGAAAAAATACACAGTGTAATTTAGATAGGAATAGTAATTAAGATCACATTGTTTTTATCATAAAACATTAAATATCTCATTGCAATCTACATCTGCAAATGATTTATAATTATTAATCTGCAATGTAGATTTATTTTATATGTGTGAATTCTGATAAACTTGAACAAAGTGTTCTTCATTTATCTTGATATTTGATAAACATGTCAACTTTATACATTTGAGTTTATTACAATACTTGTAACACGTTTAAGCAAAGTATAACTAGTCGCGTGTGACAATTTTTTTTAAAAGAAAGATACCATATATTTTACACTGAAAACAATTTGTTAACTTGATTGAACCTTTCAACTAAATTACTATTTTGTTAATTGAACAAATAATTGGTATTTAAGTCAAATATACATTTTATTAGATTTAATATGTTATATTTAATTTAAATTTTTTCTATGTTCAATTGACAAAATAATAGTTTAGTTGAAAGATTTATTCAAGTTGGCAAATTTCTTTTTTTTCGGTGTACATTTATCTTAAATGACTTGCAGTGTTTTCCATGCTATTTATAAAAATCCATGTCTGTTTTTTTCTAATTAAAAAAAAAAGTCGACAGAGAAAGTATACAGTATATTTTAGGTGGAAATAATAATTAAGATATAATTAATCTCTTTCACCGTGGTTTGATAAATCTACGAAAGTTCACTTATTGTTTTTGCGTTATATAATCACAAAACATTTAACATTTCGCCTGCATTAATACACTGAGTCTTTGTAGAGATTTGTAGTTATTACTACTGTACAGATATATTTTAAATCCGTCTCGTCCGAAAAATCTTACCTACGTCGCGCCAATCTGTAATCGCGCTTCGCCGAAAATTTATAACGCTCCTCGGAAATTGTACCTCCTACGCTTAGCCGAATAAACGGCTCGTAACGCAATTATTTGCGAACAATTAAGGGATTAAGGGGCGCGTAAAATCGCTCGTTGATTGGAACGCGAAAGAGTTTCGCGCATCGCAACGCAGCCTTCGGCGCGGGCGAACTTGCTGGAGAAATTCTCGTGAATTCTCGTTACCGGGAGTTTGCATCACGCTTCTAATGTGGGACATAGTAAATTTACTCGCTGCATCTCTCTCCGCAAGCCCGACGGATCTCTTTAAGAGAACGAGAGAGGGAGAGGAGAAACTAACTGTTCGTCGTTTAGCGAGCGCGTAAATTATGCGAAGCGTGTTACACATTATAATCTATATAATATTATATATACAATGCGTTCTTCGAGTCTCGGGGTTCGAATACTCGGGAAAGATTCCGCAGACTCCTTGGAAGCTTCCGCTACGCGAACGTTTCCATATAAACGCATATATATATATATATATATATATACACAGATCTTCTCTCTCTCTTACATCCTTCTTACGTCTTTATAGACGCATAAATTTCGAGATGCGCCAAAACGCGCGGCTATATATTTTAACTCCCTTGAATGCTTATAATCGTAATGAACTACCTGCAGTCTATATTTGGAGAAGGCAAATTCTCGTGTCTTCAGACACACGAATCTCCGCGTGAAACACAAGGGAGAGAAGATTCGAAATATATATCCTCTTTCTCCTTAAGGTTCTTCTGCGTATGTAGATAACTAGCGTAATCTGCGAGGGCGGTCAAATTGCAGCGAGACGAATTATTCGACTATCGATAGACGTCCTGGTATCTACGACATAGACACGGGACTAATTGACGGAGAGAATGGTAAATTGTGGGCGTATGCCTTGGAAAGCGAGCACTTTGTCGTCGTCATCCTCGTCGTCGATTGAGTTAACAAACCCCGGGAAACAATTTTTATATAATATACAATAATTATATAATTATACATATAATCGTAAAATTATGTGTAAAATATGTCCATTTTTATACATAATTATATAAATTTATATAAAAATTATAAGTATATATATATGTGTGTATAAATTTATATAATTATATAAAAAAGCACTTTTATCTAATTATGTATGGACATGTTTCTATATAATTTTATATTGTTATATATAAAAAAATGTTTCGCGGGACACAGATATCTTTCTCACTTTATTGTCCAGTATAGATAAAGCCGGCGGCATAAATTGTCGCTTAGTAATCGAACTCTCTTGTTCGATGTTAAAACTCACGCTATGACCGACAGTCTGCCTTTATTTGCTTTGTTTCGTCGCTATAGTTCTCGTCGTCGATGACGACAAAAGCTTGTTACGATAAAGTACAGGTGACAATTCACAACGAGCCACATTATGCCACCGTAGTGCGAAAATTATACTTCCAGAAGACGAGACAATCATTAGCAAACCCTTGTTCCTTCCGTCGAATTTGATTTTTTTTTTTCACGCGAGAGATAGATAGAAAAATCATGGAAAACAAGTATCAATGGATATAATCGCGCGAGAATCAATTAGCCGTGTCATTTTTCAAAGACCGATTATTCGCTGGATATTTTGTACGCTATTTATATTCGCTTCACATAAATTTATCCTTTTGCATATCATTTTGTTCATATATCCATCGAAGATATGCATGTATATATTAAAAGCGCGCGCTGCGGTATAAATACGATCCACGTTCGTTTAATTCAGTTCGTTTATTGTTACGCGAGATCGAGACGGTTGGGGATTGATTTCCTAGGTCGGTTTCGAGAGAGGTTACCGCATCGCTATTGGCAAACTACATCGCGACGTGTGCGGAATGCAATCCGACGAATGAATCTCCCACACAATCGGCATTAATGAGCGTTTCCAGCGGTAAAGCGAATGCTCTTAAAAGCGGATTTAATTTATCTCGTTGGCGCGTTCTCCTTCTTGCCTTTTCGTCCCGTTTTCTCTTTTCGTCCCCGAGAAAGCGAGATGATCTTATTTCCTGCGAGAAAGCAGCGTTCCGAGTAAATTTGTCCAAATTTACCTGCTGACGTTTCTACAAAATGTATATACAGGACGGCTAACGAGGAGAATTTCATCTCGTTGATTGTTTATTTGTTTTATTTTTAACGTGAATAGAGAGAAACACATCTGCTGTAACCGCGTGGGAATTATATTGTACTTTGCCATACGGGGTGCCGTAAAATTGGTGGAAAATGTATGCGATTATTTATTTTTTTTTTTCGTTCAACACACGCCTTAAGTATATTATTATCTCTTGTTATCCGTATATTATTCTATACATAACGTTTGGCACGCGAGATCGTCATAATATTTTAATTTTATATGTACCTATATATTGGAGAGAAAATTAAATTAAATTAAAAGTCGAAAATTTTATAATATGTCAATATTGAAATCATAATCATTTTCGATTTATACTCGTGATTAAAATTGATATTGAGTTGATATCGAATAAAAGCACTCAAATAAATGGCATGTATATTAATCTATTATCCGATATTGATTTTTACGGTATGAGTGATATTGATTTCTCTTCTCAGCTGATTGTGCCTTTTAGTTGCTTATCGTAACTATAGTAACTCAACTGATATTGAAAAGCGAACAAGTTAATAATAATTCTTACATATATTTAGGGGTAAATTATTTAATTCTTTTCCTTAATAAAAATCTATTAGCGAAAATTTATAATGGATAAATCTATCTAATATATTTCTTAGAAAACTTTATTGTATCTTTGAAATTCTCGTGTTAAGATTTTTCGACTCTCATTAATCTCTAAATATATGTTATTAAAATACTAAATGATCACAAACACCCTATATATTTTATATCTATTTAATAATATTAATA